GGATGTCCATCTGCTCGCAGTAGCCCGTGGACCGGCGGATGGCCAGGTCGGTGGCCGGGTGGCCGTTGAGCAGGATCTGGCCGCGGATCTTGCCTCCCGTCTTGCGGCCGGCGATGACGTCCATGAGCGTGGTCTTGCCTGCGCCCGAGGACCCCATGAGCGCCGTGATGGTGCCGGGCAGCGCGTATCCGCTGATGCCCTTGAGCAGGTCGATGGTGTCCTTGGGGTTGGCCGGGTCCGGCACGGAGTACCACAGGTCCTTGAAGGCGACGGTGACCGGGATGAAGTGCTTCTCGCTGTCGGCGGCAACGTTCAGTACAGCCTCGGGCTCGGTCGACGAGCCACGAGGGGTGGCCATCAAGCCGTAGCTATCGGACGCATCGCCCTTGTTCTCCGAGTCCAGCGTCACGTTTTCGGGGCTCTCGTAGCGGTGGAACTCCAGCGCGATGTACGAGAGGAACATGAAGAAGACGTACGCGGCAGCCATGAACACGATGCCGTACCAGAGCCAGAACTTCTCGGTCGGCACCTCGAACATGGTGAGCGAATAGTCTCCGACCGTCTGGTTGAAGCTCTCGCAGAAGTCGACGTCGCCGTAGACGCACGTGTCGAAGCTCGAGTCGCTGTACTGGTTCACAGCCAGAGCGCGCACGCCCCAAGCGACCGGGTTCAGCCAGTACAACCAAATCAGGTAGTCCGGAATCTGGTCCTTGGTGATCACGAAGCCCCCGAACAAGATGAAGAAGAGGATCGAGACGCTGGAGATCGGGTTGGCCACGTTGAAATTCGGCGACGCCGACGCCAGGAAGAAGAAAAACGCCGTGAACGCGAGGTTCGTGACGCACAGCATGACGAGGAACAGCAGGAACGCCCCGATGGTGTCCACGAAGCCGCACATCCAGTAGACCACGGAGCCGAACACCACGGTCTCCAAGATAATCGGAGGTAGCTGACTGGCCGAGTTCGAGAGCACGTAGGACGACGTCCGAAAGAAGTTGGCCCCGCGCTGCTTGTAGAACACCTCGCGCGCAGCCATGATCGTCGGGATCTCCGCGGAGTGGCCCAGCGACAAGCACAGAACCGACGCGAAAATGACGCCCATGACCAGCTGCGAGTTCGTCGGGTTGAACTGGTAGAAGACGCTCGCGTACAGCAGGCCCATGATGGTGTTCATGAACAAGCGCCCCATGAGCGCTGCCGAGTCGCGCATTGTCACCCTCATCTGTCGCTTCACGAGCAACGCGGTGCTGTCCCAGAAGTTCAGGTGGAACTCGGGCTGGGTGTTCATGTGCGTCTCCTTGTCGAGGACGAGCCCGGGGTACACGGGGTCTTCGAGGTCTGCCAGCACTTGTTGGTAGATGGACGAGCGCTCGAACGCGTTGGCAAAGTCGCTTGAAGTGCACGGGATGGTGCGTCCTTGGGCTTTAACTTCGTACTGCGCCTGCTTGTCCGTGCCGAGATCCAGCAGGAAGTCGGCCACGTCGCGACGCGGAGGACACTTGAAGCCGAGACTCTCGAAGTAGCCCAGCGCCTCGGCGCGAGGACCATGGTACATGACGTGGCCCTCGTTCAGGATGACGACGTCGTCGAAGAGCTCGAAGACCTCGGGCGACGGCTGCAGCAGCGAGATGACCACCGTCTTGCGGAACTTCTTGGCGATGCTGCGCTGCGTGGTAATGATGTCGAAGGTGGCGGCGCTGTCGAGGCCCGTGCTGATCTCGTCCATCATCATGACGAACTTGTTGCCGAACTCCATCTCGCCCGTGGTCACGCGCTTGCGCTCTCCGCCGGACACGCCGCGCGTCATGGCGTCGCCCACGATGGTGTTCTGGCAGTTGTCGAGTCCGAGCTGCTGGATGACGATGTCCGGGTAGTGCTTGAACATGGCCCTGGCGGCGTCGAGCGCGGCCTTGTTCTCCTCGGGCGTGCCGTTGGTGAAGTGCTGCTCGTCCCGCTTCGACAGGCCGCCTCCGGTGCAGGCGTGCGCGAACTCGAGCGTCTCCTTGACGGTGAGCAGCGAGTAGTGCCCGTCGCGCTGCGTCACGTACGACACGAACTGGGGCAAGTGCTTCTGCATGTCGGTGGCGGGCGTGCCGTTGTAGGTCACCTGGCCCTCCATCGTGACGTTCTTGTCGTTGGGGAAGCGGCCGCTGAGCAGCTTCATGAACGAGGACTTGCCCGATCCCGGCTGGCCCAGCACGAGCGTGATAGTGCCGGGCTTAAAGACGCCGCTGACGTTCTTGAGCACCTGCTTCTTGACGACGTGTTTGCTGGAGCGCATCTCGCGGAAACCTGTCTTCATGACGTTGATCAGCGTGGGGAGCTCGACCTTGACGTCGGTCTCGTCCTTGACGATGATGTCGGCGGAGATGGAGACGTCCTTGAAGCGCACCTCCATCTGCGGGAGGCTCTTGCCGAGCGCCTTCTCCATGCGGGAGGCGACGTGGTCGTGCAGCGCCTGCGGTCCCTGCGCCATGAGCGTCTTGCCGTTGTCGTACTCGATGGTGGCGCGCATGGGCGCGTCCGAGTCCTGCATGTCTGCGAGTCTGATATCCTGTCGCGCTCGCTTGGCTTCGGAGCTGAGCTGGTGTCGCTAGTAGGACTCAAATTGCAAAGTGGTGTACAGATGTGCACCGATCGATTGGGTGGGGGATCGCTGTGAAACGAGCGCGACGTCGCAACCGGTGGAGCCTGGGTGATCGCTGGAACTTGCCCATACCAAGCATTTTGTTTACGACTGTGGCACGTGACCAATCAGAGGGCCGCTTTAGATTATGGGACGGGAATCAACGACCAACACTCCGGTCATGTTGATTCCCAGTCCGCCAGTCGCGGACATAAGGCGGCCCCAGTAGTGGTGGTGGTGGTGTGTGCCGTGTGTTGTGTGCAATGCATTGGCGCCCAAACGGGGCCATTAATAAGGCAAACAGCAGCATCGAAGTGAGCCGGATCGCTCTTCGTCGGAGGCCAGAACGGAATCACCAAAATGGCGGCGAGTACAGTATTAGGTCGTCCGAGTTCCTTGCGGGCAGTGACTGTATGTTGGAGCTCGTCTCGTGTCGCGGTGCCTCTTCTCGGGTCTGCTGGACAATAATCTTGTCCATCGTGTCAAGACAAATAAATAAACTCGCTCCTTGTGTTATGGTGCGCGGATTTCGTCGTTCTCGTTTCGCTACATGTAGTGCACGGAGTTGTCGTAGTCCTCCTGCTTGATAGAACGCAGCAACACTGCTATCGTGAGTGTGCTGCCTTGATGCACGACTCGATTTCTCTGGAGCCACAATACCGTCAAATTCGAGCCCCACCCCGGTTGGAACGAGCTATTCGCACTCTCATCCGAATGTACTGTATTATTGGGGGCAAGTGCATTTGTGAGAACGTGAGCTTGAGCAATGCAGAACTGCAAGTAACTTCAACTCAAATACTTTCGTACGACTGCGTGTGTGTTCCTCAGGCGGGACCTTCACTTCAGCGGATTTGAGATACGGTACGTTTTGGCGGATTACACAATCCGCTGTTGTGTTTTGAGAGGCACAAGAGGCACCTTTTTGGCTGTAATCCTCTCGAATTTGCCTTCTCATTGGCGCCGCCAACTTGGCGGGTTGACGAGAAGCACCTGCAAGGCTACATATTTATCGTTGCTGAGGAACCTCAGATTTCACGTGGTTGGTTGGGCACTTTGCAGTAGGTACAGGAAGTACATACATCGGGCAAACGCACGGGCAAAGCAAGCAAGACCACCACTGCTGCGACAACGAAGGGAAAGCCAGACCATTCAGTAAGTACAACGGGGAGGAGAGACCCCCGACAAATGAGGGTGGAGACACGACACAACACGCTGTGAGTATGGTGTAAGGCGACGGTGAGTACTATAGTGCGGCAATGATCCAAGTGCGCGAAGCATTTTGGCAAGAGTCCCAGGCCTTGACGTAGGTAAAGACTACCAACTGAACGTCTTATTAGATACACCCCTACGCCATATGCACGTCCATTTACTTAAATAAATGCATTCTCACGCAGAGTGCAAGTTGACGGGCGGATACCGGAGGACGTGTTCCTCGTCCTGTTAGCGAATAGATGAATCCGCATTTCATTTTGCGGATTGTTCATCGGGACAGTCGAACTAAAACACAGCCTACAACGATACAGGAAACTTTGACTACTTACTGAGGTTCCTCAGCAACGATAAATATGTAGCCTTGCAGGTGCTTCTCGTCAACCCGCCAAGTTGGCGGCGCCAATGAGAAGGCAAATTCGAGAGGATTACAGCCAAAAAGGTGCCTCTTGTGCCTCTCAAAACACAACAGCGGATTGTGTAATCCGCCAAAACGTACCGTATCTCAAATCCGCTGAAGTGAAGGTCCCGCCTGAGGAACACACACGCAGTCGTACGAAAGTATTTGAGTTGAAGTTACTTGCAGTTCTGCATTGCTCAAGCTCACGTTCTCACAAATGCACTTGCCCCCAATAATACAGTACATTCGGATGAGAGTGCGAATAGCTCGTTCCAACCGGGGTGGGGCTCGAATTTGACGGTATTGTGGCTCCAGAGAAATCGAGTCGTGCATCAAGGCAGCACACTCACGATAGCAGTGTTGCTGCGTTCTATCAAGCAGGAGGACTACGACAACTCCGTGCACTACATGTAGCGAAACGAGAACGACGAAATCCGCGCACCATAACACAAGGAGCGAGTTTATTTATTTGTCTTGACACGATGGACAAGATTATTGTCCAGCAGACCCGAGAAGAGGCACCGCGACACGAGACGAGCTCCAACATACAGTCACTGCCCGCAAGGAACTCGGACGACCTAATACTGTACTCGCCGCCATTTTGGTGATTCCGTTCTGGCCTCCGACGAAGAGCGATCCGGCTCACTTCGATGCTGCTGTTTGCCTTATTGATGGCCCCGTTTGGGCGCCAATGCATTGCACACAACACACGGCACACACCACCACCACCACTACTGGGGCCGCCTTATGTCCGCGACTGGCGGACTGGGAATCAACATGACCGGAGTGTTGGTCGTTGATTCCCGTCCCATAATCTAAAGCGGCCCTCTGATTGGTCACGTGCCACAGTCGTAAACAAAATGCTTGGTATGGGCAAGTTCCAGCGATCACCCAGGCTCCACCGGTTGCGACGTCGCGCTCGTTTCACAGCGATCCCCCACCCAATCGATCGGTGCACATCTGTACACCACTTTGCAATTTGAGTCCTACTAGCGACACCAGCTCAGCTCCGAAGCCAAGCGAGCGCGACAGGATATCAGACTCGCAGACATGCAGGACTCGGACGCGCCCATGCGCGCCACCATCGAGTACGACAACGGCAAGACGCTCATGGCGCAGGGACCGCAGGCGCTGCACGACCACGTCGCCTCCCGCATGGAGAAGGCGCTCGGCAAGAGCCTCCCGCAGATGGAGGTGCGCTTCAAGGACGTCTCCATCTCCGCCGACATCATCGTCAAGGACGAGACCGACGTCAAGGTCGAGCTCCCCACGCTGATCAACGTCATGAAGACAGGTTTCCGCGAGATGCGCTCCAGCAAACACGTCGTCAAGAAGCAGGTGCTCAAGAACGTCAGCGGCGTCTTTAAGCCCGGCACTATCACGCTCGTGCTGGGCCAGCCGGGATCGGGCAAGTCCTCGTTCATGAAGCTGCTCAGCAGCCGCTTCCCCAACGACAAGAACGTCACGATGGAGGGCCAGGTGACCTACAACGGCACGCCCGCCACCGACATGCAGAAGCACTTGCCCCAGTTCGTGTCGTACGTGACGCAGCGCGACCGGCACTACTCGCTGCTCACCGTCAAGGAGACGCTCGAGTTCGCGCACGCCTGCACCGGAGGCGGCCTGTCGAAGCGGGACGAGCAGCACTTCACCAACGGCACGCCCGAGGAGAACAAGGCCGCGCTCGACGCCGCCAGGGCCATGTTCAAGCACTACCCGGACATCGTCATCCAGCAGCTCGGACTCGACAACTGCCAGAACACCATCGTGGGCGACGCCATGACGCGCGGCGTGTCCGGCGGAGAGCGCAAGCGCGTGACCACGGGCGAGATGGAGTTCGGCAACAAGTTCGTCATGATGATGGACGAGATCAGCACGGGCCTCGACAGCGCCGCCACCTTCGACATCATTACCACGCAGCGCAGCATCGCCAAGAAGTTCCGCAAGACGGTGGTCATCTCGCTGCTGCAGCCGTCGCCCGAGGTCTTCGAGCTCTTCGACGACGTCGTCATCCTGAACGAGGGCCACGTCATGTACCATGGTCCTCGCGCCGAGGCGCTGGGCTACTTCGAGAGTCTCGGCTTCAAGTGTCCTCCGCGTCGCGACGTGGCCGACTTCCTGCTGGATCTCGGCACGGACAAGCAGGCGCAGTACGAAGTTAAAGCCCAAGGACGCACCATCCCGTGCACTTCAAGCGACTTTGCCAACGCGTTCGAGCGCTCGTCCATCTACCAACAAGTGCTGGCAGACCTCGAAGACCCCGTGTACCCCGGGCTCGTCCTCGACAAGGAGACGCACATGGACACCCAGCCCGAGTTCCACCTGAACTTCTGGGACAGCACCGCGTTGCTCGTGAAGCGACAGATGAGGGTGACAATGCGCGACTCGGCAGCGCTCATGGGGCGCTTGTTCATGAACACCATCATGGGCCTGCTGTACGCGAGCGTCTTCTACCAGTTCAACCCGACGAACTCGCAGCTGGTCATGGGCGTCATTTTCGCGTCGGTTCTGTGCTTGTCGCTGGGCCACTCCGCGGAGATCCCGACGATCATGGCTGCGCGCGAGGTGTTCTACAAGCAGCGCGGGGCCAACTTCTTTCGGACGTCGTCCTACGTGCTCTCGAACTCGGCCAGTCAGCTACCTCCGATTATCTTGGAGACCGTGGTGTTCGGCTCCGTGGTCTACTGGATGTGCGGCTTCGTGGACACCATCGGGGCGTTCCTGCTGTTCCTCGTCATGCTGTGCGTCACGAACCTCGCGTTCACGGCGTTTTTCTTCTTCCTGGCGTCGGCGTCGCCGAATTTCAACGTGGCCAACCCGATCTCCAGCGTCTCGATCCTCTTCTTCATCTTGTTCGGGGGCTTCGTGATCACCAAGGACCAGATTCCGGACTACCTGATTTGGTTGTACTGGCTGAACCCGGTCGCTTGGGGCGTGCGCGCTCTGGCTGTGAACCAGTACAGCGACTCGAGCTTCGACACGTGCGTCTACGGCGACGTCGACTTCTGCGAGAGCTTCAACCAGACGGTCGGAGACTATTCGCTCACCATGTTCGAGGTGCCGACCGAGAAGTTCTGGCTCTGGTACGGCATCGTGTTCATGGCTGCCGCGTACGTCTTCTTCATGTTCCTCTCGTACATCGCGCTGGAGTTCCACCGCTACGAGAGCCCCGAAAACGTGACGCTGGACTCGGAGAACAAGGGCGATGCGTCCGATAGCTACGGCTTGATGGCCACCCCTCGTGGCTCGTCGACCGAGCCCGAGGCTGTACTGAACGTTGCCGCCGACAGCGAGAAGCACTTCATCCCGGTCACCGTCGCCTTCAAGGACCTGTGGTACTCCGTGCCGGACCCGGCCAACCCCAAGGACACCATCGACCTGCTCAAGGGCATCAGCGGATACGCGCTGCCCGGCACCATCACGGCGCTCATGGGGTCCTCGGGCGCAGGCAAGACCACGCTCATGGACGTCATCGCCGGCCGCAAGACGGGAGGCAAGATCCGCGGCCAGATCCTGCTCAACGGCCACCCGGCCACCGACCTGGCCATCCGCCGGTCCACGGGCTACTGCGAGCAGATGGACATCCACTCGGAGTCGTCGACGATCCGCGAGGCGCTCACGTTCAGCGCGTTCCTGCGCCAGGGCGCCGACGTGCCCGACAGCTACAAGTACGACTCGGTGAACGAGTGCCTGGACCTGCTGGACCTGCACCCGATCGCCGACCAGATCATCCGCGGCAGCTCCGTGGAGCAGATGAAGCGCCTGACCATCGGCGTGGAGCTGGCGGCGCAGCCCAGCGTGCTGTTCCTGGACGAGCCCACGAGCGGCCTGGACGCGCGCAGTGCCAAGCTCATCATGGACGGCGTGCGCAAGGTGGCCAACACGGGCCGCACCGTCGTGTGCACGATCCACCAGCCGTCCTCGGAGGTGTTCAGCGTGTTCGACAGCCTGCTGCTGCTCAAACGCGGCGGCGAGACGGTGTTCGCCGGCGAGCTGGGCAAGAACGCGAGCGAGATGATCGCGTACTTCGAGTCCATCGACGGCGTGGCCAAGCTCGAGGACAACTACAACCCGGCGACGTGGATGCTGGAGGTGATCGGCGCCGGCGTGGGCAACAGCAACGGCGACAAGACGGACTTCGTCCAGATCTTCCAGCAGAGCAAGCACTTCCAGTTCCTGCAGTCAAACTTGGACCGCGAGGGTGTGTCTCGGCCGTCGCCGTCGCTTCCAGCACTGGAGTACAGCGACAAGCGTGCCGCGACGGAGCTGACCCAGATGAAGTTCTTGATGCAGCGCTTCTTCAACATGTACTGGCGTACGGCGTCGTTCAACCTGACACGCTTCTTCGTGTCGTTGGTGCTGGGGCTTCTCTTCGGCATCACGTACGTCGGCGCCGAGTACTCGTCGTACTCGGGCATCAACTCGGGCATGGGCATGCTGTACTTGGCTGTCGGGTTCCTCGGCATCGGCTCGTTCAACAGCGCTCTCCCCATCGCGTCGCAGGAGCGAGCCGTGTTCTACCGCGAGCGCGCTGGGCAGAGCTACAATGCGCTCTGGTACTTCGTGGGCTCGAGCGTGGCCGAGATCCCGTACACCTTCGGCGCGACGCTGCTGTTCATGGCGATCTTCTACCCCATAGTGGGCTTCACGGGCTTCGGGTCGTTCCTCACGGTCTGGCTGACCGTGTCGCTGCACGTGCTGCTGCAGGCGTACATCGGCGAGTTCCTGGTCTTCCTGCTGCCGAACGTCGAGGTGGCGCAGATCCTGGGCATGCTCATGTCGCTCATCTTCCTGCTCTTCATGGGCTTCAGTCCTCCGGCCGGAGACCTGCCGACGGGCTACAAGTGGCTGTACCACATCACGCCGCAGAAGTACACGCTCGCGGCCATGTCGACCGTCGTGTTCGGCGACTGCCCCAGCGGCGGCGACGGCAGCGACGTCGGCTGCAAGCACATGACGAACGTGCCGCCCTCGCTGCCGGCGAACCTGACGGTGAAGGAGTACCTGGAGGACGTGTTCCTGATGAAGCACAGCGAGGTCTGGCAGAACTGCGCCATCGTGCTGGCCTTCGTGGCCTTCTTCCGCGTGCTGACGCTCCTGGCCATGCGCTTCGTGAACCACCAGAAGCGGTAAGTGTCCGCGGCCGCTGGACAGCAAGTAGACACCGTACTTACACAAAACTTGAAATATATCCTACACTACATTCCGTCTTTATCTCTTAGCGCTGGAACACGCATACTCGGTCACCAAATTCTCTTAGCTGGAAGATTTTTTTATCTAGAGTGAACTCGTCGTAGTACTCACCTGGCTGCATCTCCTCCGTGGAGAAGCTGTCTCAGCAACAACACTGGCAGAATCATCGGTGACATTACTGAGAGCAGCTACAGCAGCGTTGGCGGCTGCACCGGCAGCAGGGCAGCATCGGCCGTCTTCTGTCGGCAGTCAGTTTGCAGTTCTGTCCTGGGCTCAAGTTGTGTCGTGCGAAGCAACCCCCTGTCAAAGATGTTTGTCCGATCATTTCAATTTATCCTCTGGGTCTTTTTGGCTGAAGCACCAAATCACCCCGGGTTTTAAATCTTTCCGAGCCAGTCTCTATTTGAAGACTGGCGAGCTGAGAACTTAACCCGGAGTGCTGCCGCTCGGAGCTGATCGCAGCAGCAGCGCTTCCGCCGCCGAAGCCGTGATGTGATGTGATGACGAGCGCGTTCATGTGCAAGAGCAATGGCGTTTTATTCAGGGATATGTATGTACACAGAGCAGAGCTGAGGTCTCGGCTACTTCTTCTGGTGGTTGACGAAGCGCAGGGCGACCAGCGCGAGCAGGCGCGTGACCACGATGAAGCCCAAGACGAAGGCGAAGTTCTTCCAGATCTCGCTGTGCTTCATGAGGAAGACGTCCTCCAGGTAGTCCTTGACCGTCAGGTTCTCGGGCAGCGAGGGCGGCACCCCCGTCATGACCTGGCACCCGATCTCGGACCCGTCGCCGTCGCTCGGGCAGTCGCCGAACGCGATGGCCGAGACCAGCGCCAGCGAGTACTTCTGCGGCGACACGTGGTAGAGCCACTTGTAGCCCTGGGGGATGGAGCTGCCCGGCGGGTTGAAGCCGTTGAACAGGAAGAAGATGGACGACAGCAAGATGCCGAACACCTGCGCCACCTCCACCGTCGGCATCAAGTACGACATGAGCTGGCCGAAGTACGCCTGCCACAGCACGTGCAGGGACAGGTGCAGCCAGTACGCGAGGAAGCTCTTGACACCCGTGAATCCCACCATCGGGTAGTACGGCGCCATGAAGAGCAGCGTGCTGAAGAAGACGTACGGGATCTCGACGACGGTGGAGCCCACGAAGTACCAGAGCGCATTATAGGTCTGGCTAGCGCGCTCCCTGTAGAATGCCAGGCGGTCCTCCGACGCAATGGGCATCACACTTGTGAACGCGATGAAGCCGACGAATCCGGTCGTGCAGAAGAGCATACCCATGCCCGAGTTGATGCCCGAGTACGACGAGTACTCAGCGCTGACGTAGGTGACGCCGATGTGGACACCAAGAACCAGAGCAAGGGCGAAGCGCGTCAAGTTGTACGACGCCGTACGCCAGTACATGTTGAAGAAGCGCTGCATCAAGAACTTCATCTGGGTCAGCTCCGTCGCGGCACGCTTGTCGCTGTACTCCAGTGCTGGAAGCGACGGCGACGGCCGAGACACACCCTCGCGGTCCAAGTTTGACTGCAGGAACTGGAAGTGCTTGCTCTGCTGGAAGATCTGGACGAAGTCCGTCTTGTCGCCGTTGCTGTTGCCCACGCCGGCGCCGATCACCTCCAGCATCCACGTCGCCGGGTTGTAGTTGTCCTCGAGCTTGGCCACGCCGTCGATGGACTCGAAGTACGCGATCATCTCGCTCGCGTTCTTGCCCAGCTCGCCGGCGAACACCGTCTCGCCGCCGCGTTTGAGCAGCAGCAGGCTGTCGAACACGCTGAACACCTCCGAGGACGGCTGGTGGATCGTGCACACGACGGTGCGGCCCGTGTTGGCCACCTTGCGCACGCCGTCCATGATGAGCTTGGCACTGCGCGCGTCCAGGCCGCTCGTGGGCTCGTCCAGGAACAGCACGCTGGGCTGCGCCGCCAGCTCCACGCCGATGGTCAGGCGCTTCATCTGCTCCACGGAGCTGCCGCGGATGATCTGGTCGGCGATCGGGTGCAGGTCCAGCAGGTCCAGGCACTCGTTCACCGAGTCGTACTTGTAGCTGTCGGGCACGTCGGCGCCCTGGCGCAGGAACGCGCTGAACGTGAGCGCCTCGCGGATCGTCGACGACTCCGAGTGGATGTCCATCTGCTCGCAGTAGCCCGTGGACCGGCGGATGGCCAGGTCGGTGGCCGGGTGGCCGTTGAGCAGGATCTGGCCGCGGATCTTGCCTCCCGTCTTGCGGCCGGCGATGACGTCCATGAGCGTGGTCTTGCCTGCGCCCGAGGACCCCATGAGCGCCGTGATGGTGCCGGGCAGCGCGTATCCGCTGATGCCCTTGAGCAGGTCGATGGTGTCCTTGGGGTTGGCCGGGTCCGGCACGGAGTACCACAGGTCCTTGAAGGCGACGGTGACCGGGATGAAGTGCTTCTCGCTGTCGGCGGCAACGTTCAGTACAGCCTCGGGCTCGGTCGACGAGCCACGAGGGGTGGCCATCAAGCCGTAGCTATCGGACGCATCGCCCTTGTTCTCCGAGTCCAGCGTCACGTTTTCGGGGCTCTCGTAGCGGTGGAACTCCAGCGCGATGTACGAGAGGAACATGAAGAAGACGTACGCGGCAGCCATGAACACGATGCCGTACCAGAGCCAGAACTTCTCGGTCGGCACCTCGAACGTGCTGAGCGAGTACTCACCCATGGTCATGTTGAATGTGGCGCAGTAGTCGACACCGTCAAACACGCACGTGTCGAACTTGGAGTCGGAGTACTGGTTCACAGCAAGCGCGCGAACGTCCCAGGACATCGGGTTGAGCCAATACAACCAAATGAAATAGTCCGGAATCTGGTCTTTCGTGATCGTGAACCCGGCAAAGAGGACGAACAGTAAGACCGAAACCATGGAGATCGGGTTGGCCACGTTCAGGTCAGGTGACTCACACGACAGGAAGAAGAACCAGGCCGTGAAGGCGAGGTTTGTGACGAACAGCATCAGCTCGAAGATGAGATACGCGCTAATGGTGGAGACGTAACCGCACATCCAGTAGATGATCGACCCGAAGACCAGACTCTCGATCGCAGCCACCGGAACTTGACTCACTGAATTCGACAACACGAACGATGCGGTACGGAAGAAGTTGGCACGACGCTGCTTGTAGAACACCTCGCGGGCCGCCATAAACATTGGGATCTGAGCTTGCTGGCCGAGCGACACGAACATGACAGCGTTGAAGATGATGCCCATAACCAGCTGAGAATTGGTTTTGTCAAACTGGTAGAACGTGCTTGCATACAGCAGACCCATCAAGATCACCATAACGGTCCGTCCGATCAGAAATGCTGTATCGCAGCAGCGTCAGTTGACGACGAACAACGTCAATCGTGCTTTCCACGAAGCCAAGGTGGAACTCAGGAATGGCCAGCATGTGCTTTTCATTGTCCTCAATCAGGCTGGCGGAAATCGGGCCGTGTAGCTCGTCCATCATCTGCCCGTAGATGCGCAAGCGCGTGAACACATCCGCGTACTGGCTGGCCGAGCGCGGGATACTGCTCGAGGAGATCGAGCTCACTTCGTACTGCGCCTGCTTGTCCGTGCCGAGATCCAGCAGGAAGTCGGCCACGTCGCGACGCGGAGGACACTTGAAGCCGAGACTCTCGAAGTAGCCCAGCGCCTCGGCGCGAGGACCATGGTACATGACGTGGCCCTCGTTCAGGATGACGACGTCGTCGAAGAGCTCGAAGACCTCGGGCGACGGCTGCAGCAGCGAGATGACCACCGTCTTGCGGAACTTCTTGGCGATGCTGCGCTGCGTGGTAATGATGTCGAAGGTGGCGGCGCTGTCGAGGCCCGTGCTGATCTCGTCCATCATCATGACGAACTTGTTGCCGAACTCCATCTCGCCCGTGGTCACGCGCTTGCGCTCTCCGCCGGACACGCCGCGCGTCATGGCGTCGCCCACGATGGTGTTCTGGCAGTTGTCGAGTCCGAGCTGCTGGATGACGATGTCCGGGTAGTGCTTGAACATGGCCCTGGCGGCGTCGAGCGCGGCCTTGTTCTCCTCGGGGGAACCACCAGCCAAGTGCTGGGCCTCGCGCTCGGAGAAGCCTCCACCGCAGCAGGCGTGCGCAAACTCGAGCGTCTCCTTGACACTGAGCGACGGGTAGTGCTTGTCTCGCTGGTTGACATACGATACAAACTGAGGGAGCTGTTTGGTCAGCTTGTTGGAAGCGATCCCGTTGTACGTCAGTTCGCCTTCAACGGTGACGTTCTTGTCGTTGGGGAAGCGGCCGCTGAGCAGCTTCATGAACGAGGACTTGCCCGATCCCGGCTGGCCCAGCACGAGCGTGATAGTGCCGGGCTTAAAGACGCCGCTGACGTTCTTGAGCACCTGCTTCTTGACGACGTGTTTGCTGGAGCGCATCTCCTGGATGCTCGACTTGAGGACGTTGACCAAGGTGGGGAGCTCGGTCTTGACGTTGCTCTCATCCTTGACAATGACGTCGGCGGAGATGGAGACGTCCTTGAAGCGCACCTCCATCTGCGGGAGGTTCTTGCCGAGCGCCTTCTCCATTCGGGAGGCGACGTGGTCGTGCAGCGCCTGGGGTCCGCGGGCCATGAGGGTCTTGCCGTTGTCGTACTCGATGGCGGCTCTCATGGGCGCGTCCGACGTGTCATCGTGCGCGTCGCCCATTGTTTTGATCGCGCCCTAACCTGTGGTCCGAGAAATGTGAACGTGCACAGACTGAAGACTGCGTTGAGGCACCTGGAAGTTGCTGGAGTTGTCGCTCGGAAGCGGCAAATTGGGAAGTGAGCTATCAAACAAGTGGGGACGGACGGAACGTGATGATGTCTCGCTGGCGGTGGCAAACACACTGGAGTTTGCGGGAATTGACAATAACGTGGCGGCACTTGGTGCTGTCTGGGATTACGAGGGTTGTGTGAGTCGCTAATGGCGCCTCACAGCTGATGGTGGAGCTCCGTTTAAGTACGATTCATGGCGGTTGGGAGACTTGGATCGTGGATTTGTATGGAGCTGGCTGGGCCTGGACTTGAGTCAATGGAGTCTAGAGTCGACGACAAGGTGTCGTTCATCTTGGTACATGAACTGTGGACGTTGACGTTCCCTCACGATTATGATCCACATGCATTTTGCCTGTGCTTGCTTGTCCATCGCTATCAACTTGGTCAACAAGGGCTATATTTTCGCTTGGCATTGAAATCGTGGCCGTAACACAATAGCTGATGACGAGCAACGCACAAGGACCGAAATCTATTGCGGTGTGACGACTGCGTGCAGGCTGCTGGAAAATGTATTGTGGCAATTTCGACAAGTACATGGGCTAACAACATCCTGCAGCTGCCATGGTGTACAAATGGCTGGCATGGAGTCTTGTGGCTCCGACCACCATACAGAAGGTCAACAAGCTGTGAACTATTTTTCTTGCTCACCAGACGAAGAATTACTACCATGGTGCGCAGTACAAAAACTTGCTTGAAGTGCAAGAAGATATATTGGTCTTATCGTGACTACGAAACGGGTTACTTCTTCTGGTGGTTGACGAAGCGCAGAGCAAGCAGACCCAAGAAACGGAAGAGCACGATGAAGCCCAAGACGAAGCCGAAGTTCTTGTAGATCTCACTGTGCTTCATGAGGAAGACGTCCTCCATGTACTCCTTCACCGTCATATCCTCGGGAAGGGAGGGCGGCACACCCGTCATGACCTGGCATCCAATCTCCGACCCATCGCCATCACTGGGGCAGTCGCCGAATACGAGTGATGCAACCAACGCCAGCGAGTACTTGTGGGGAGTAATGTGGTAGAGCCACTTGTAGCCCGTCGGGATGGCGCTTCCAGGCGGGTTGAAGCCGTTGAAGAGGAAGAAGATCATTTGCAAGAGCACGCCGAAGATCGAAGCCACCTCCACCGTCGGCATCAAGTACGACATGAGCTGGCCGAAGTACGCCTGCCACAGCACGTGCATCGAGAGGTGCAGCCAGTAAGCGAAGAAGGTCTTGACGCCCGTGAAGCCGACCAGCGGGTAGTACGGCGCCATGAGCAGCAGCGTGCTGAAGAAAACGTACGGGATCTCGACGACGGTGGAGCCCACGAAGTACCAGAGCGCATTATAGGTCTGGCTAGCGCGCTCCCTGTAGAACGCCAGTCGGTCTTCTGTCGCGATTGGGATGACGCTCGTGAACGCGATGAAGCCGATGAATCCAGTCGCGCAGAACAGCATGCCCATACCCGAGTTGATGCCGGCGTACGAACTGTACTCCGCGCTTGCGTAAGTGATGCCAAAAACGACGCCCAGGATCAACGCGAGGCTAAAGCGCGTCAAGTTGTACGACGCCGTGCGCCAGTACATGTTGAAGAAGCGCTGCATCAAGAACTTCATCTGGGTCAGCTCCGTCGCGGCACGCTTGTCGCTGTACTCCAGTGCTGGAAGCGACGGCGACGGCCGAGACACACCCTCGCGGTCCAAGTTTGACTGCAGGAACTGGAAGTGCTTGCTCTGCTGGAAGATCTGGACGAAGTCCGTCTTGTCGCCGTTGCTGTTGCCCACGCCGGCGCCGATCACCTCCAGCATCCACGTCGCCGGGTTGTAGTTGTCCTCGAGCTTGGCCACGCCGTCGATGGACTCGAAGTACGCGATCATCTCGCTCGCGTTCTTGCCCAGCTCGCCGGCGAACACCGTCTCGCCGCCGCGTTTGAGCAGCAGCAGGCTGTCGAACACGCTGAACACCTCCGAGGACGGCTGGTGGATCGTGCACACGACGGTGCGGCCCGTGTTGGCCACCTTGCGCACGCCGTCCATGATGAGCTTGGCACTGCGCGCGTCCAGGCCGCTCGTGGGCTCGTCCAGGAACAGCACGCTGGGCTGCGCCGCCAGCTCCACGCCGATGGTCAGGCGCTTCATCTGCTCCACGGAGCTGCCGCGGATGATCTGGTCGGCGATCGGGTGCAGGTCCAGCAGGTCCAGGCACTCGTTCACCGAGTCGTACTTGTAGCTGTCGGGCACGTCGGCGCCCTGGCGCAGGAACGCGCTGAACGTGAGCGCCTCGCGGATCGTCGACGACTCCGAGTGGATGTCCATCTGCTCGCAGTAGCCCGTGGACCGGCGGATGGCCAGGTCGGTGGCCGGGTGGCCGTTGAGCAGGATCTGGCCGCGGATCTTGCCTCCCGTCTTGCGGCCGGCGATGACGTCCATGAGCGTGGTCTTGCCTGCGCCCGAGGACCCCATGAGCGCCGTGATGGTGCCGGGCAGCGCGTATCCGCTGATGCCCTTGAGCAGGTCGATGGTGTCCTTGGGGTTGGCCGGGTCCGGCACGGAGTACCACAGGTCCTTGAAGGCGACGGTGACCGGGATGAAGTGCTTCTCGCTATCGGGGGTGACTGAAAGCGTTGTCTCGCCGGGGTTGGCAGTGCTTCGGGGCGTCTGGACGAGGCCATAGTCGCTCGTTACTTCGTCCTTGCTGTCGGTGTCAAGCGTCACATTCTCGGGACTTTCGTGTCGGTGGAACTCCAGCGCAATGTACGAGAGGAACATGAAGAAGACGTACGCAGCAGCCATGAACACCATGCCGTACCAGAGCCAGAACTTTTCAGCCGGCACCTCGAACGTGCTGAGCGAGTACTCGCCCATGGTCATGTTGTAGGAGGCGCAGTAGTCAACGTCGTTGTACACGCACGTGTCGAAGCTCGAGTCGGTGTACTGGTTCACGGCAAGCGCGCGCACACCCCACGCCATCGGATTAATCCAATAGATCCAAACGAGGTAGTCCGGAATCTGGTCCTTGGTGATCGTGAACCCGGCAAAGAGAACGAAGAAGAGGATGGAGACCATGGAGATGGGGTTGGCCACGTTCAGGTCGGGCGACGCACAGGAGAGGAAGAAGAACCACGCAGACATGGCCAGATTCGTCATGAACAACATGAGCTCGAACAGCAGGAACGCTTCCACCGTCGCCAAGTAGCCGCACATCCAGTACACGATCGAGCCGAACACCAGACTCTCCGCCAGTCCCAACGGCAGCAGACTGATCGAGTTCGATAGCACGAATGAGGTTGTACGGAAGAAGTTGGCGCGCCGCTGCTTGTAGAATACGTCTCGAGCTGCGATGAATGTCGGGATCTGAGCTTGTTGGCCCAACGACACGAACATAACAGCGTTGAAGATGATACCCATGACGAGCTGGGCATTGGTCTCGTCGAACTGGTAGAACGTACTGGAGTACAGCAGCCCCATCAAAATCACCATAACGGAGCGGCCAACGAGGAACGCCGTGTCACGCATTGTGAGCGTGATCTGGCGCTCAACGACAGCTCTCGTGCTGTCCCAGAAGTTTTGGTGGAACTCAGGAATGGCCAGCATGTGCTTCTCGTTGTCTTCAATCAGGTTAGCGGGAATCGGGCCGTGCAGCTCATCCATCATCCGCGCGTAAATGCGCGAGCGCGTGAACACATCCGCGTACTGGCTGGCCGAGCGCGGGATACTGCTCGAGGAGATCGAGCTCACTTCGTACTGCGCCTGCTTGTCCGTGCCGAGATCCAGCAGGAAGTCGGCCACGTCGCGACGCGGAGGACACTTGAAGCCGAGACTCTCGAAGTAGCCCAGCGCCTCGGCGCGAGGACCATGGTACATGACGTGGCCCTCGTTCAGGATGACGACGTCGTCGAAGAGCTCGAAGACCTCGGGCGACGGCTGCAGCAGCGAGATGACCACCGTCTTGCGGAACTTCTTGGCGATGCTGCGCTGCGTGGTAATGATGTCGAAGGTGGCGGCGCTGTCGAGGCCCGTGCTGATCTCGTCCATCATCATGACGAACTTGTTGCCGAACTCCATCTCGCCCGTGGTCACGCGCTTGCGCTCTCCGCCGGACACGCCGCGCGTCATGGCGTCGCCCACGATGGTGTTCTGGCAGTTGTCGAGTCCGAGCTGCTGGATGACGATGTCCGGGTAGTGCTTGAACATGGCCCTGGCGGCGTCGAGCGCGGCCTTGTTCTCCTCGGGGGAACCACCAGCCAAGTGCTGGGCCTCGCGCTCGGAGAAGCCTCCACCGCAGCAGGCGTGCGCAAACTCGAGCGTCTCCTTGACACTGAGCGACGGGTAGTGCTTGTCGCGCTGCGTAACGTACGACACGAACTGCGGTAGACGCCGGAGGAGCTCGTTGGCTGGTGTGCCGTTGTAAGTCACCTCGCCTTCGTTCGTGACATTCTTGTCGCTGGGGAAGCGGCCGCTGAGCAGCTTCATGAGCGAGGACTTGCCCGATCCCGGCTGACCCAGCACGAGCGTGATGGTTCCGGGCTTGAAGACGCCGCTGACGTGCTGAAGGATCTGCTTGCGGACCGTGTGCTTCTTGGCGCCCAGACCGCGGACGCCCTTCATGAGCTCATTGGCGAGCGTGGGCAGCTCCGTCTTGATGTCGGTCTCATCCTTGACGACGATGTCGGCGGCGATGGACACGTCCTTGAAGCGCACCTCCATCTGCGGGAGGGCTCGGCCGAGCGCCTTCTCCATGCGGGAGGAGACGTGGTCGTGCAGCGCCTGCGGTCCTTGGGCCATGAGCGTCTTGCCGTTGTCGTACTCGATGGTGGCGCGCATGGGCTGGCCGGAGGCGTCCGGTGGTGACGTCGGCATGGTAATACTTGGACTCCTGGATGGACGTTCGCTTTCTGAGTGAGGAGTGGCGTCCAGGGAGCAAATTGGAAAGTGAGGATGGCTCCTGGTGGGTTGGTCTCGGTCGGGGCGTCAAAGTGACCGACGCGCAGCCTTACCTAATCATTGGTAACCGACTGAAGTGATAGGCAGTAGACATGTCCAAGCGCCCTGCAATGCAACTGCAGAAGATCGCACAGGTGATTATGAAGACGCGGCGGAATAATCGAGTGCGCGATGATGCACAGAAAGACCCACACTCTCCAGATTCCGACCGTCGACAAGGGGTTTTGTGGCTTTCCTCGATCGGGCACACTTTCGCACCACGCTACTGCCGTGAAGGCGCATATTTGCCTTTTTTGCAGTCGAGCACCCAAGTGTGAGCTGATATGCATTTGCACGACCCATTCCTTTTGGGTACGCCGTAGCTTTGATGTCGCAACGAAGGAGTGAATGTCACCGTAGTTTACGGGCGGATCGATTAAAAAGCGGCTGGTCTCGCATGGATGTACTGTAGACTGTCCAATCGAGCTGTACAAAGGCAAATGTCTTACCAGTGACAAGCTTCTTTCATGGCGCCCACATCAGTGTGAATTATCTCGGACTTAAGCGAGGTCCCGTCAACACGCCGACTATAACTCCGCCGTTGCCAGCTCCCGATTGGCTGGTATCTCTTCTTCACCTACCCCTCGTAATACAGTCGGTAGCAACTTGCTACATGTATTGCCGCTTGCAAATACTTTGCCCTCTAAAATAGACCACGCCTGTCTCTTAATATGAGTGGGCACGAGATAGGCGAGGGCTGATTTAGCTTTATGCTTTGGTGGGGGCCACTTTTAGGCCCAGAAACTCGGTTTGGCCCGTCTAGCATGGCATTTCTGCGTTTCCAAGTCGTAGCAAAGCCTGAAACAGACCCCAACCTTGCATCTTAGACCTGTACTGGCGATATATATAAATCAGACCTAGGTCTTAATTAAGAGCTTGCTAGACTAAAATAGAGATTATTAACGAGATAATAAGCATGCGTTGGCCAAAATATCTGCAAACGGCAATACTAGCAAGCCACAAGACAGCTTTGATGCATTCAACGGCGTAGGATCGGAGGATCGGAGGATCGGTGGCGGTGAAGGAAAACCTGGTGTACTGTATTCTTGATGAAGCACAGCCAGCGCCCAGGAACACATGACGCCGAACACGCGCGTCGCCGCTGTGCCGCGGCTTGAGTCAAGTCACAGCAGACTCTTGATCCATCCTGCCCGTCGGGCGGCCACCTGTTCCTGGACTTGTTCTACGAGCGTGGGGCTCTTTATCTGGAGCAAGCTGCGGATAGTGTAGGGCGTTTTGCTGTTAGTGGAATTTACTAGACACTAACTCACTGTTAGCTGTACGTTTGCTGACTGTTAGTTGACGAGTTAGTAGCAAGAGAATAATCATGATATATATCTTAAGGCTGATTGCAGTTAATGTCTTTCTTACCTACGGAAGAGATCTAAACACTCTGCGCCCTTGAGACCCGTCTTCTAGCGAAATATATTCGGGTCAGGCCGAATTCAGCTCTGCGTCTTCAAACTCGTCGACCATCTCGATCGGAGTGTGACGGGCCAGGTTCCAGGTCGGTCTTTCCCACCCTACCCATTTTATCAGGTACAGTCGCTGCATATCAACAGTCTTACGTGCGTAGATGCTTTCAACAACAAATACAGCACCGCCATCGCTGCTAATAGAGGATCTAGCCTCACTATTAGTTCTGTCCGCACGAGTTGGTCCTTAAAAAATAAAACACAACTTAACGGATGGGACTATCCGATCTAGACTGGCACTTCAACTAACTACGGCTCTGGCGCTGCACTGGCATCAAGAGTAGACTTGGCAGCATCTAATGTGATAGAACCGTTGAGTTGGGACAATGTGGGCCACAATATCGAATTAAAAGCGTCTTATCTCTTAACATATAGAAATCGGAGCGCGTAGATAAAGTTATTGAAGTGTAAAAATCTTTAGTAATTTCCGTTTTTGTGCAAAAATTAGTGGTGCTCGTTCGGCAAATACATGTTAGCAAAATTTACTAGACACTAACTAACTGTTATACTGGGAACACCCGGGGTGGACAGCTCCCAACGGATTAATTGGACGCGTAAGCGTAACCTGGCGCAACCTTCGTGCTACACCAGCCAGAAGGATGTTGACCGAACAGGTTGAACGGCAACTACAGACTGAGGCAGGAAATGCACGTCAACAGAGCTTCAGAAAGTGAACTGCGGCACGCGCGATATTCATGGGTGTGGCCCCACAGGGGCCACGCCCTTGAATCACGCGGGCCACAGCTCTTCCTTAACATGGCAATTAGCACCGGTACCATCACCAGCGTTTATACCACTGGTGTTCCCAGCCAAGTCGAAGACGACCTAGTTTACACGTACAGCTGACTCTATAGTTAGTGTATAGGGAGAACGCTAGCTGCGGACAATGGAGGTCGGCGGCGTGGCCTTCACGCATGAGCTACACGCGTCGGTGCTGGTGCAGGCTCGCGTGGAGTCGCTCTGCTTGGTCATGCGGGGCATCAATAATTACTGTGCTACTCAAACCCAAGAGCTCGGACAATGGGGCTATCTGGGCAACGCGGCGCCTGCGTCACTTGACACCCCTCCATGTTCGATGTCGGAATCCAGCAACTGAGCAACACCCTCCGATGTGGGCATTGTAACTTACAACGCGCCTTACGAGTTGTAAGGTGCTCTTCTGTTCCTGGACTCCTGCTTTCATCCTATCCGTCTCGCTGTCAGCTGAGCTTCCGCTTCGCGGTCTCCAAAATTATTGCTATCGGTTCAAGACCACTAAAAAAATATTGCAGAACGCTATCTTCGCGTTGAATTCGCTGCTGTCAGATTGCGTGCCGATGGTCGCTTCATCGTGAAAACATCCTCCAGGTTCATTACACTTTTTCGAATTGTAACTGAGCTATCCACTTATCGTCTCGCGCGCCAACGGCGACGATCACTTGCGGTCAGTAGTACGGCCTCAGGGATCGGACAATATATATTGGATATTGATTGTCGGCGAGGCAGTCATCACAATCAATATTGTACCAATATCAATATTTGCCCCAATATATTGCCATACTTGCCTTTAGTATGGCGATATATTGTACTGTACATGTACTAGAGTATATGAGTACGTTGAGTAATGTTAGCATGAATCGTCATGGCACTTATCCCCAATGGTTAGCGAGTCTTTACCCCTAACTGTACGTGTCTGAACATGATTGACGGTCTTCCTAGTGTCTAAAGCGAAAGTGACCAAACAGAAGCATCGACGAGCAATGTTGGAGACTCGGTTGGGGTACCTCTCCCTATTTCATGACGTCTGTTGCCAAGGACACAAGCCAAGTTATTATCACCGACGTAGGTACCGCAGTAACGCTGCAGCTCTGAGGTCTAAGTGTCCCCCCTCCTACGCATACGAAGTCTTTTCGCACGTAGTCGCAGTATCTACTCAAATTTATTACGTATACATGTTGGTGCTATTACGTGGCTGTAAAGAAAACAGAAGTGCAGCCCTGCGGACCTCAAGGCTACTCTCATGGAGATAACCATAGCTCGATAAGAGAGCAAGTCTGACGGGAAACGTGAAATGTCACGAGATGCCAGTCTGTCACGAGCAGATCATCAGCTGTTAGCAGGTGATGGATTGTACACATTTGTGTGGCAGATACCAAGGGCAACTTGCATGTTGAAGTGTCGAAGCTTCGCGAAGGTGTGATCAACTTGACCAGGTTCTAGATGCTAGTACTGTAGCTGTAGCTGAGGTAGCTTGGCAGTTAAAGCTTTCAATGTAATCTCACTTTCCATTCGGCATCGCAAGAGAGAAGAGCACAACAGCGTTATTTGAAGAAACTGACACTCGATTAAGTACTGACGATGGATTGGGGTCTGATGACCAGCGAAGTGCTATTAAGGCTGTCAGAAGTATTCAATAGGCAACAGCCACGGAAAAAGGAGAGGAAAACTAGCTTATAGTGCTCTTTAATATCGTAAGAGTAAGTAGGGGCAGTTTTTCTTCCTGAGCAATATTGACAATAAATAGTGGATATTGATGACATCGCTACAATACAATATTGATGCCCAACAATATTATAATTTTACAATATCAATTTTTATTTTCCGATCCCTGGTACGGCCTGCAGGTCAAAGGGCTAAAAAGCTCTTCAATGTGTATTCGACGCTGATTGGTGGAATATATTGAAGTTGGTCCAGTGTGAGCGTTTATTCAAGAAACCAAGGGTGTGTTCCTCCAGTTCCGCTGTTCGATTCCGTCGGATTGAACAATCCGCCAATTGAGAAGCATTCAGCGGATTTCTCTACCCGCTAAACCGGACGCTCACTGGCATCTGCTGCCTGCCAAGTTGCGCTATGAGATTAAATAAAAACTGGTGTAAGTTAGGGTGAATGCAATTGGAGGTGCAGCTGGTTGACTTTGACCTACGTCGAGTCCTGGGGCTCATGCCAAAAGGGTTCGCGCACTTGATCGTTGCCGTACTATAAGCCCTGATGTTTCCTGCGTTACTCGCGGGGCGAGACGCAGTTTGCATTGGAGTACATTCTAATATGTGAGTTGGAAGGCGACAGCGCTCGGTGCTATAGTACATGTGCTACAGTAATACCTATCAACGTACACTATATTCGCAGCGTGTTGTGGGGTGTCTTTGGCCGTCAGCCCCGTTTTCGGGGCACTTGGTTTGGACTTCTCCTCATTGTACATACTCAATGGCTAGGCTTCCCCGTCGCTGTCGCTGCAATAGTCGACTTGCTTGCTTTGCCCGCGGATTTACTGGATGCATCCGTCTTCCCCGTACGTCAAATTTTGAAGACTCTATGAAAACAAAGTGCTCGATCAGCTACGAAGCAGTGCATTTTTACACCATAAGCTTAGAACACATCCTTAACGCAAGAAGCTTTTACCATTGCGTGAGTAAAGCGAAGTCATTTAGCTGCGCCTCCTAAAGACCAGCAGTCGCCGAAGCAGTGCATTAACAGGTCAATTGGGTTCTGCTTTGGCGTAGGAGTCTCGATCGTGCTAGTGACTTGTGAGCAGCGCTCGCCAATACTCTTATACTCTTAATACAGTAGCTACTTCCAGTGACATAACTGAATAACTTACTGGCACAAACAATTCAAACTACAGCATGTCGGTATACCCATCGGAGTAGGAAGTTGGGTTATCTTACAACAAACTAGCAAACTATATTTCATCAGCACCACAAGTTGTAAATCACAATGGGCGAACGCTCCAAAATTTATTGAACACGACTCTGTGGAAGTCAACTACTTAAGTACTCACTATCCAGCCCCACCAGGGCAAACCGGTTGCGGCTACGTCTACTGTCAGTTCTTCTCCATACCGCTCATGAACTCGACGGTGGCACGCTGACAAGATGAGCACGACGCCAACGAAGTCGTAGTCAGACAACTACCCGCTTCGGAGTGATGAGTCTTTGCAGAGTGACGCAGTCGAAGTGCACTCATGAATTGACCAGGATCGATGCGGTGTCGTTATCTTTCTCTAGCCGAAGGAGAGGTATCTCGAAAATGTACAGTACTCTCCATGTAGTGCAGAGAGACCGATGCAAACAGAATGGCAACAAAGATATTGAGTGTATTCGTAGGGATATGTGTATTGCAGCAATAACTACGAAGGTATGTATGCGTTAGCGATTGTCATAAAGAGTCTGCAACGCCGACTCAAAACACTACAGCATGATGTGACGTTGTTGTTGTTGTTGTTGTTGTTGATCATAGCATGCCTATTAGACCAGCGACTGCTGCGGAGACTTGATCTCCACGAACGCAGGCGACTTGGGCTTGCCGCCGCTGTGGAACAGCGCCTCGATGTCTTCGAGCATGATGCCCTTCGTCTCCGGGCAGAATAAGTACACGAACACGCCGCAGATGCAGCACAGACCCGCGAACAGGAAGAACACACCGTTGATGTTCAGGTGCGGGAAGAGCTTGACCACCTCCGTCATGACGGCGCCCATGGCCCAGTTGGCCGCCGTCGACAGCGCCACGGCCAGCGCGCGCACGCCCAACGGGAAGATCTCAGCCGGGTAGATCCAGCACACGGGCTCCCACGAGATGGCGAAGTTGAACACGAAGAAGGCCGAGCCCACGCAGATGAACCAGCCGCCCACCTTGGGGCAACCGGCGTCGCCCACGTTGCGTCGCAGATAGCCGTGAACAAGATAGCAGCGAACAGGTGGCCGACGACCATGCCCACAGCGCCGATGAGCAGAAGCTGGCGGCGGCCGAACGTGTCCACCCATCGCATGGCCGGGATGGTGCTGAGGAAGTTGACGCCCGAGAGGAAGAAGGCCGCGTAGATGCCGGCGTTCGTGATGTCCTTGAAGATGAGAGCGCCGTAGCTCATGATGGGGTTGATGCCCGTGGCCTGCTGCAGCACTTGCAGCATCATCGCGATGATCACGCGCTTGCGGACACTCGGCTCGAAGATCTCCAGCAGCCCCTTGTCGTCGGCCTCCTCCTCTGCGATCTGGTCGCCGATCACCTCCAGCTCGTGGCCCACGTTGTCGGTCTGGCGGAGGCGCTTGAGGACACGCTCGGCCTCCTCCTTGCCCTTGTGCCTGTATGTCCAGCGAGGACTCTCCGGTACGAACCAGATGCCCAGCAGCACCACGATAGGCGGTGCCATGGAGATGCCGTTGGTTGTGCGCCAGCCACGGTCGTGGTTGTACACGATGATGTTGACGACGTTGGCCAAGAAGAGTCCGATGACCACAGTCATCTGCATGAAGCCCGAGAGCATGCCGCGCAGCTCCTTGGGGGCCATCTCGGCGCCGAACAGCGGCAGCGAGAAGGACGAGTTGCCCACGCCGAAGCCCTGGATGATGCGGGCGATGTACATGAGCGTGTGCGCCTGCGACTTGTTGAAGCAAACCCAGCACGTGCCGCCGCAGAAGAGCAGGCCGGCGCAGAAGATCGTGGCGCGGCGGCCGAGCTTGTCGGCCACGAAGCCGCCGATGAAGGCGCCCACAAGGCAGCCCAGGTTGTAGGCCATGTTGTACCAGACCGTGAAGGTGGTCCACTCGTCCGGCAGGTCGGACGTGGAGCGCGTGCACTCCTCGTAGGTGAAGTTGTGCCAGCCGACGCAGTAGTCGTAGAGGAACGAGTCCATGATGAGCATGGACGACGTCACGCCCTGGTCATAGCCGAAGAACATGCCGCCGAGCGCGGCGAACACGCACACGACGATGGCATAGGTGCGCGAGCCCTCGGTCGGTGTGTCGTCGATGTCGGGGTGCTGCGTGCTCACGATCGGCCCGCCCGCCATGGTTCCGAAGCAGCGGTCGCGAGGAGATCAGCAGGGAGGGAGCCCGTTTGCTCTCGGCACCTCTTGCTTGCGAAGAAGATTGAAGAGTGAGAGTGACCGAAGACCGCGCCTCGCTTCGGCTGGCTGGCCCGCAGGCAGCCTGCGCTGCAGGTTCAAGCAACGAGGCGGCCGGTCTGGCATCACCGACAGTGGCTGCGAAGCGAAGCGACTTGCAGAGCGATCTTGAAGTTGTCAGCGGAGACTATAGTCGCGGGTCCCTGTCACGTCGACGGCGAGCTCCTCTCCGCTTGATTTATCCGAGCCATCACGTGATGCCCTATTCGTTTTGCCTACCGGTCTGTACTGTAGTGCACGCAAATGCTGTTAGCCGGCTCAGGTCTGAAGTATTCCCAGCAAGGGTCCCAGCGAAAGCATACTCTGGTTCATACGATCGCGCTCGGTGCCACTGTAGTGACGGTGCTAGCTTGAAGTTAGGCCCGCCCGGCACAGGTCCAAAGTGAGGTTGTCGCTCTAGTCGTGCGGTGAGGCGGCCGCATCTTGTACTATGTATGCCGTCCAGCTGCAAGGCTGAAGTGCACCGGCATCAAGTCCCTCACGTACGATTCTGCCATTGTGGCGGAGAGCATTGGCACCGACAAGACGAGGCATTTTCGCAAGCGGGACGAGGGTGGATGTTTAACAAGATCGCCGGTACTGCGTCAACGGTTCCCAAGCCGCGGTTCGCCGACTAGAGCGCGCTGATTTTAATTTTTTGCGTTGTGCGGATTCTAGCAGAGTGCAAAAGCTCTCTCAAGACTCGAGTCGAGCATCATCAACTTGAACTCTTTAGTAGGAGTGACAACTACTTGATTCATCGGCCTGGACGTTGGCCTCGCCGGCTGCGAGTCGTTGTGCGCGAGAGTGCAAGTCGCCTTCATATGCTATCTTCGGGGAGGGCGGCGCACGACTGTTTGACGTAAGCCAGCGAGTTGTGCGTGTGTGTGGCGCTGTGTCACGGCCACGGCATGCATTGCACGCGGTGCAGAGATCTACCGCATTAGTTAGTTGGGTTGCGCCTTACCGCAACGGCGCCGCTTGGATCCTGCGTTCCTAGTGTCCATTGCTCCGGTCGAGCTCGAGGTCGTGGGGTTCTTCGCAGGTTTGCGAGCTTCCTACTGGGGTGACAGCTTCGTCTTCAGAAGTCTGAATCAGCGAACTTCGACTCGAGCAATGGGCTGTCAACTGCAACTTGGTCCCGCGACAGTAAGATCTGTCTTGAAAATAAGCCCCGGGTCTAAAGCTCTCTCCGTCAAGTTACCTCTTGAGTAAGGTCCATCGACTGCTCTACTAATATTTAGGAGACTAAAGTACTAAGTATTCAGAAGTTCTGATAGTTCTGAATCAGAACTATTCTAGCAGTACAAACTGTAATATTCAATCTTATAGTATATTGCAGAAGACAGTTATACCATCCTTTTTGAATTTATCGAACAACCAGACATCATAGTTTCAATAAGCATTATTACTACCAGACTATGTTACAATAGTTAGAAGGAATAATAAAGTTATTAGTCCCTCATATCAATCGTTAATTTGCCGAAATGATGTTTTGCCTAAAAGGTAGATAGTAATTCATCAAAATCAACAGCTAAAAACCCGCTGTAAAATCCAAGTCAAATCTAATCTTGGTGTTTTACTTCCGGCTCACAATACAAAATCTTACGCTAGGTATAAACAAAGTGTTGACTACGATGTTCATTAAGATTGAGTAATAGTACGGTTATGAAGCTGATATGTTGTCAGTTAGTAGGGTTGTTTCGTGCACCAGTGTCGGCAGAGTTATGTCTGTAATTTCATGAGTTTAATCATACTTAGTAGAGAACCGCTATTGATGTCTTAACTCTTTTGCGATGAATTTTATACTTGGAATTTGTATGGGTAACTCCCAATACAATACCATAAAACATGGCTAGATGCATGGTTTTACGCCGCAACCCGCAAACCAAAATCGGACATAAGACTTGGTTTTGTTCGTACCTAATGTAAAACATGCTACTTTAGCCATGTTTTAGTACGGTTACCGCCCCGACCCTTACTGGCTAAAATTATCATTCAAAATTCTGATTGGAGTGATTTTATAAAACATGCTAGTTAGCCATGCTTTGCGCAGAACCATCTCAAAATGGTTGATGGGCCATCCCCGTAATAAAGGGCTGACGAATTTGCACATAAGTACTTTCGTGCACTTTCGAGCACTGCACGAAACAGCCCTATCAGTTAGTCTAATTTGTAGTACTAACGACAATGATTGAGATTTTGTCTGCTCTGTTGGCGGCAAGTAGGGATGTATCGAGTGTTGAGCGTCCAAACACGGCTTTCGCTAGGTGGCTCACGCCTGTACACGATTGGCATCTCCCTACAGGCATACTTCTATCGGGTTGAGCGAGATATGACCGTGCTTGGTTCTGGGTTTAAAGTCCGTGTGCGTAGCGTAGCACACGGACTTTAAACTATAGACGTTGTCTTGACTTGCCGAGCAGGCTACACTTCACCGTCTCCCCAGATCTACGTTACAGAACATCGGTTACGCACACATTTCATGTAAGTTGAGCGACTATCGCTTAGTTACCATGCGGTGGAACCAGTATTTCGTACGTATGGACACCCTTGTATGTATTAGTCTCGCCCATGTAAAACGGTCACCGTTGCTAGCCATAGTTCTGAGTAAGGCGCAAGTCTAAAAAGCGTGAGATTAAAAGGGTTAGGTAATTTAAGCGGCCCATTCTGAGAATGAATCGTGTCCTGGTATTGGTTTAGCTCACCAGAAACAATATCAAATGGATCACTGCAGTATAGCGAGCTTGACTTCGCTCAGCACCTGTGAGCCACAGATTTGAGCTTGTACGCCCCTGAAAGCCATTGACTTGTTACATTGTGTATTGAGATTTGGCTAGTGTTCAAAAGTGCAAAAAAATTGATAACCCCTCAACGCCCACACGTTGTAGATACACCAAGAAACATGTTGTACGTACAACATGTTAAAACATGGGCGGATTAGCTGCATAAGTCAGGCCATCCCGCAAAATGCACATGGCTTGGGTTCGGCGGAGCAGAATACAGGATATAAACGGATATAAACTGTGCGAACGCGTGCTAGAGTAAATACAAAGCGAGGCCGTTGCTACGTCGATTCGATTTAGATAGAAAGAAACCGCTACTGAATCGACAAGGATTCCATTACTTGATATTTATTGCGTGTATTGTGTAAGTTAACTGGTGGTGTATTACTTACAACTAACTGTGCGCGTTATAGAGGGCCCACGGAAGTGGTGTATATAGTGTAGGAAGAACCGTTGTGCCAAGTTGAGCGTGAAGCGTGTTTTAGCGTAGATACCGGCCATCCTCCCGGATACTTTAGGAAGTAAAATGGTGGTTTGAGAGGGAATTAGGAACAGGATAGTGAATCGACTGGTATTTATCCTGCAATGGAAACAAATTTGAGGGGGGTATACAAAGATCAGGTTGCTTATGTGTGCTGTGGACCTCTGTAGTAAGTTGGGAAATGATGTGGAAGTGATAGTTCAAGGCTACAACTCGCTAGGTTTATGAACGGTTTCACTTGATGCGTCGTCGCTTTCGTGCAAGATGCCGTGCAAGTCACCCTGCTTTGCACTTCCTTAGAGTTCCTTGCCCAGTCTCTTGATAAAAAAAGCCACTGACTTCTCATCAAAAGTCCTTAGCACGGTGTATCTACACCATGTACATGCTGTCTCATACACCATGCACATGCTGTTTTAACAACATAATAAACGATTTGACGAAATGACCATGTCGTCGTTGTACACAGTCGGTACTCGAACTTATACGAGACTATAGTAAAACTAAGTATTGAGCGGATTTAACATGCTGTACGACTATCATGTAGGGCGAGTACCGTGAAATAAAAAAACAGGTATAAAACAGCTTGGGCGCTGGGGGGTTAAGATTGAATATATATTGTATTCCGTTGGGATAAAATTTACAGCGGTGTATTAGCTGTTGATTTTGATGAATTACTACTTCATTTGCCTATTTTGCTCGTAAATCGATTGATTAGCACCCTGATTTAGATTGATCGATTTGTAAATCGATCGCGTCTTGCGATGCATATGTTAGTGGATGTGCAGATTAGGCGATCGTTTTATGGAAGTCAAGTCGATATAGCCGCGCTTGGAGCAGAATACCCACCTTTATTGGGCAATCGCGCACCCAAGCGATGCATCTAGATCATGATCGATTTCAGCCCTGATTTGTACTCTGATTAGTTTAGTGATTGAGATCTAATAAGGGGTTGCTACAGATGGGCGTTTTAGCCGGTTTTCACAATAATTTTTAGGCAAAACATCATTTCGGCAAATTAACGATTGATATGAGGGACTAATAACTTTATTATTCCTTCTAACTACTGTAACATAGTCTGGTAGTAATAATGCTTATTGAAACTATGATGTCTGGTTGTTCGATAAATTCAAAAAGGATGGTATAACTGTCTTCTGCAATATACTATAAGATTGAATATTACAGTTTGTACTGCTAGAATAGTTCTGATTCAGAACTATCAGAACTTCTGAATACTTAGTACTTTAGTCTCCTAAATATTAGTAGAGCAGTCGATGGACCTTACTCAAGAGGTAACTTGACGGAGAGAGCTTTAGACCCGGGGCTTATTTTCAAGACAGATCTTACTGTCGCGGGACCAAGTTGCAGTTGACAGCCCATTGCTCGAGTCGAAGTTCGCTGATTCAGACTTCTGAAGACGAAGCTGTCACCCCAGTAGGAAGCTCGCAAACCTGCGAAGAACCCCACGACCTCGAGCTCGACCGGAGCAATGGACACTAGGAACGCAGGATCCAAGCGGCGCCGTTGCGGTAAGGCGCAACCCAACTAACTAATGCGGTAGATCTCTGCACCGCGTGCAATGCATGCCGTGGCCGTGACACAGCGCCACACACACGCACAACTCGCTGGCTTACGTCAAACAGTCGTGCGCCGCCCTCCCCGAAGATAGCATATGAAGGCGACTTGCACTCTCGCGCACAACGACTCGCAGCCGGCGAGGCCAACGTCCAGGCCGATGAATCAAGTAGTTGTCACTCCTACTAAAGAGTTCAAGTTGATGATGCTCGACTCGAGTCTTGAGAGAGCTTTTGCACTCTGCTAGAATCCGCACAACGCAAAAAATTAAAATCAGCGCGCTCTAGTCGGCGAACCGCGGCTTGGGAACCGTTGACGCAGTACCGGCGATCTTGTTAAACATCCACCCTCGTCCCGCTTGCGAAAATGCCTCGTCTTGTCGGTGCCAATGCTCTCCGCCACAATGGCAGAATCGTACGTGAGGGACTTGATGCCGGTGCACTTCAGCCTTGCAGCTGGACGGCATACATAGTACAAGATGCGGCCGCCTCACCGCACGACTAGAGCGACAACCTCACTTTGGACCTGTGCCGGGCGGGCCTAACTTCAAGCTAGCACCGTCACTACAGTGGCACCGAGCGCGATCGTATGAACCAGAGTATGCTTTCGCTGGGACCCTTGCTGGGAATACTTCAGACCTGAGCCGGCTAACAGCATTTGCGTGCACTACAGTACAGACCGGTAGGCAAAACGAATAGGGCATCACGTGATGGCTCGGATAAATCAAGCGGAGAGGAGCTCGCCGTCGACGTGACAGGGACCCGCGACTATAGTCTCCGCTGACAACTTCAAGATCGCTCTGCAAGTCGCTTCGCTTCGCAGCCACTGTCGGTGATGCCAGACCGGCCGCCTCGTTGCTTGAACCTGCAGCGCAGGCTGCCTGCGGGCCAGCCAGCCGAAGCGAGGCGCGGTCTTCGGTCACTCTCACTCTTCAATCTTCTTCGCAAGCAAGAGGTGCCGAGAGCAAACGGGCTCCCTCCCTGCTGATCTCCTCGCGACCGCTGCTTCGGAACCATGGCGGGCGGGCCGATCGTGAGCACGCAGCACCCCGACATCGACGACACACCGACCGAGGGCTCGCGCACCTATGCCATCGTCGTGTGCGTGTTCGCCGCGCTCGGCGGCATGTTCTTCGGCTATGACCAGGGCGTGACGTCGTCCATGCTCATCATGGACTCGTTCCTCTACGACTACTGCGTCGGCTGGCACAACTTCACCTACGAGGAGTGCACGCGCTCCACGTCCGACCTGCCGGACGAGTGGACCACCTTCACGGTCTGGTACAACATGGCCTACAACCTGGGCTGCCTTGTGGGCGCCTTCATCGGCGGCTTCGTGGCCGACAAGCTCGGCCGCCGCGCCACGATCTTCTGCGCCGGCCTGCTCTTCTGCGGCGGCACGTGCTGGGTTTGCTTCAACAAGTCGCAGGCGCACACGCTCATGTACATCGCCCGCATCATCCAGGGCTTCGGCGTGGGCAACTCGTCCTTCTCGCTGCCGCTGTTCGGCGCCGAGATGGCCCCCAAGGAGCTGCGCGGCATGCTCTCGGGCTTCATGCAGATGACTGTGGTCATCGGACTCTTCTTGGCCAACGTCGTCAACATCATCGTGTACAACCACGACCGTGGCTGGCGCACAACCAACGGCATCTCCATGGCACCGCCTATCGTGGTGCTGCTGGGCATCTGGTTCGTACCGGAGAGTCCTCGCTGGACATACAAGCACAAGGGCAAGGAGGAGGCCGAGCGTGTCCTCAAGCGCCTCCGCCAGACCGACAACGTGGGCCACGAGCTGGAGGTGATCGGCGACCAGATCGCAGAGGAGGAGGCCGACGACAAGGGACTGCTGGAGATCTTCGAGCGGAGAGTCCGCAAGCGCGTGATCATCGCGATGATGCTGCAAGTGCTGCAGCAGGCCACGGGCATCAACCCCATCACGAGCTACGGTGCGCTTATCTTCAAGGACATCACCAACTCGGGGCGCTACTCGGCGCTCTTCATCTCTGGGGTCAACTTCCTCAGCACCATCCCGGCCATGCGCTGGGTCGACACCTACGGTCGCCGCACAATGTTGCTGATCGGTGGTGTGGGTATGATCATCGGCCACCTGTGGGCAGCTATTCTGTTCACAGCCATTTGCGACGGCAACGTCGACGACGCCGGGTGTCCGACGGTCGGCGGCTGGTTCATCTGCGTGGGCTCGGCCTTCTTCGTGTTCAACTTCGCCATCTCGTGGGGCCCCGTGTGCTGGATCTACCCGGCCGAGATCTTCCCTCTCAACGTGCGTGCGTCGGGTGTTGCGCTGTCTACTGCGGCCAACTGGGCCATGGGCGCCGTCATGACGGAGGTGGTCAAGCTCTTCCCGTCGCTCAACATCAACGGCGTCTTCTTCCTGTTCGCGGGTCTGTGTCTGATCTGTCTGGTCTTCGTCTTCTTCTTCTGCCCGGAGACCAAGGGCATCATGCTGGAAGATATCGAGGGGCTGTTCAACAAGAGCAAGTTGCCCAAGTCGCCCGAATTCGTCGAGGTCAAGTCGCCCGTAAACCAGGTTTAGGACGGGTACTACGGCACCTCGGGTACTCTCCGTTCACTTGCGTCTCTGTCAGCTTGCTTAAGGAATGACCCACTGCGCAAACCCATCGCAAATTGAGTTTACCAGACTAATTTGAATAGCGTCAATCGATGCAGAGATCCGAAACAATACCGATCCCATGTTAAATCCATATTTTAGCCCATGACCTCTCAGTGTGCGCGAGCCCTCGGTCGGGACGTCATCGTCGTTGTTGTTGTGGACGTTCACCACGACACCGGCAGCCATTGCGAAGGGAGGGAGTGGGACCGAGGTAGTCGCAGAGCTTGCTAGCTTGTTGTGTTGAAGTGAGTGTGCCTGTTGTGGCAGACGGAGAATCGCACAATGACTGAAACGGTCATAACAAGCAGTATGTGATGACAAAGGGATGCCGGTATATACCTCGAGTCACTCCTTATTAGACCGATCATGGAGACGACACTATCGCTCTCATATTAACCAGCTGGGGTATTTAGCTGGCCTGGTACATGTGCATAATATGCAGACGGTTTCAAACGAAAAGATGCTTACGAACCTAAGCACGAATCGCGATTTAACCGCATCAATCGAAAGCAGCGTGTCTTGTGCTTCGTTTAAGCTATCGAATGCTTTGAAATGTTAAGAACTCGCGGAGTGACATCGGTCTAGAAAAATTATCTCCATTTTCGGATCCCCTAAACTCACGATTTTATTTGAGGCGTGTGACCTCAATATTTTTTCACTTTTAACCTATTGTATATTATTGGAAAGCTCGCGCTAAAATGAAGCGAATCAGAGTTTATTTACGCTTTTTACGTGTGCTTTTCACTTTCGAAATTTTGATGTCCGGTTATTTCCGAAAATGGATTGGTCAACTTCAAACGCGATTATCTCGATAACTCCAAATGGCGCCTAAGCATCATTCCGTTTGAAACCGTCTCAAATATATTATATGAATCGACTAGATATGTCGGACCTTTGTTCTACTCTACACCTGACTTCCACATCAGAAAACATCGTGGCCTCAGGATTTGGAGGCTAGCATGCATGGTGTGAAATGAGCTCCGTGCCATTAAACGCTGCGTAATACATGCCATGATAGTTGGAGCCGCTTTTAAAATGCCACGCAGCAGGGTGAAGGTCTGCAGATGGTTGCATCATAACTTGTTCTACATGTAATAGTCAAACGCGCAACTCAGACCATGAATCAAGACGTAGAGTAGCCGATTGACTGGTGTCGAGCAGAGACGTCCCGGCGCAACGTGCAAAACAAGACAGCATGTTCCGAAGATCCTAATTAGGGGGAAAACTATGGAGATCGAGGGTGCAAATAGTCCGGATCAAAATTAGCATGCATATTTGGTCCTCAAATTAGTTCTGCAAAATACCAGTAGCGCCCTCACCAAAACAAAATGTGGCGACAAAATATACGCACTGATCTTCCACTGAATTAACCGCTAGAAATGCAACTGGGCTACATTGTACGTGACAAGCCTGATAAAGTACAATTTTAGTTGCTGGTCATTTAAAGCAGGGACTGAGGTAGAATGGAATACCTAGACTGAATAGAATAGAATAGAATAGAATAGAATAGAATAGAATAGAATAGACTGAGGTAGAATGGAATACCTGGAATATACATCTCATCACCGTGTCATGAACCCATAGTACGCGTATCGAGTAAGTATCATTTCTACAAAGAGTAGATAAGAAATCGATGCATTTTGACATGAAGCCAGTGCAAATTTTGTTCTCGGGTTATAATGCAGAAAATAGTAAGCTCACTGGCCAATATATATAATAAAACTCGTTCATGTAGCACAGGGCTGACAGCTTTTGTTTCTCGGGCTCTAACGTACAGGCTCCGTGGTAAGTATTACATGTATAATGTGCGGACTATAAATACATCGACTTTATAATTGGTACGATGATAATTTTTGATTACGACTATTTTGCCTTTCGCATGGTTTTGCACCCTCGATCTCCATAGTTTCCCCCTAATTAGTCGCCGCGAGCTCCAACACTGAAGCCCTGCCCACCTCAGCTGTTCGATGCCAACGAGCTCAAACGCTGACTGTCAGAAAGTATGTTATACAGTAGTAGATCCGCCTCAAAGCAGCAGTTCTCTCTCAAGTTATGGGGTACTCTGAGAGTACTACTCTCCCAAGCACATATACAAATCCATACAGGCTAATATTAGCCAGAAACTGATGATTTGATTAACTGATTATTGCTGGTTGTGGGAAACTGAATTGCTGATCTTCCTTGGGTGAATTGGGTGTCAAAGGTAATGATTGTTGAATGATTGTGATGAGATATTTGATTGGAGAGTGTATCAATTTATTCTTCTTCCTTTTTTGTCCTTGGTGGGATTTGAACTCCGGCCAAGAGCGTACTTCCTGGGACCTTTACCCAGTGGGCTACCAGCAGCCCGTATGCAAATATTAGCCAATCAATGGTATTTTCACCTTAGCACTTGTTATGGCATACAGGCGCTCCTCGCCTACTACAAATTATGCTCAGTTGCGGACTGACTCGGGCGGCCTCGCCTGCCAGGCGGAAAGGGGAGGAAGCATTAAGGTACTCGGTGACATCGTCACCGGCTGCAGAGAAGGTCGACGTTTTTGACCACCTCGTAAGCCCGGCAACATCCGTACCACCATCACTCTAAACTACCCAACCGAACGTTCACCCAGAGCTGGAAGCGCGGACGCACCAGCACCGAGCTGCTGTACGCAGCGCCAAGCGGAGCAGACAAGCGAAAAGCCCAGACGATGGTATTGCCACCGCTCGGTAAGGACAGATCCTCGCTAAAATTGCTGCGGAATTTGAGGAAGAAGTATAGCTAAGGGCAATAGAGATCGGACACAACGCCAGTCAAACAGGTGACTGAGCTTATTGTCTGCTTGCCGTTGATATGGCAGTAGGCCAAGCTGACGACTTCGACAAAGAGTTTTACTGCTAGATAAATAGATGCACATGCTTGCCTTGCATTGCTCCAAGCAGGGGTCGGACAATACAGTATGAAATTGTATTGCGAGGCCAAAGCTGCAGTAGTAATAACGGCAATATGAGTGCAACCAATAATAATAATCGGTACAATTTAAGTATATTGTACCATTCGTGACCAGGGCAGCCGAAAAATAAATTGACGCTCAAGTAATTGCCATAAATATCATTGCATGATTTATGAGCGGTGGCTTAGACCGTACCATTATTTATGATACCAGACTACTATTCCACACTCATAATTTATGATACTATCTCAAAATCATACACGATGTAGTATGCGAACAAAGGAAAGCTTATACTCATACAACAAGTCATATGCAGATTTATTAACTGTCTGGAAGCCAACCGTTTGACAGGCATGCCAAGCGGCTGCCAGCTCAGCTCTAAGCACCGTTTTGCAACTTTCAACAGCACACGAATCTCCTCACCTCAACGAGCATGCTGCGCGCGCCCCGCCCTCGCCCATGTTTCTCCAACGCGCAGGTCTCGGCGTACTTCTTCACACCGTGCAGTGGTGAGTACGACGAGCCTGTGCCCGACTACTTCCGATGCGGTACCCTACAGAAGCAGACGAGGCGCAACGGGTTTACCAACCTGATGCAGCACGTCCGCCAAGAGCACCCGGGCTTCGAAGCCGAGATGCGCTCTGCAACAACAGCTGAGACCGGCTCACTGATCCACTACGCTCGCCGTACGTCGGTGAACCGCTTCGGCTGGCTGGAGTGGGTCGTCAAGGCTAACCTGCCCCTCGTCTTTTGCGAGAACCCTCTCGCACGAAGGTACGCTCAAACTACTATTGCTATACTATTTACGAATACTAATTATGCAGTACTCCTTTCCTAGGTACACGAGTCTGGACCCGATTTCGGTCGAGACCCTGAAGGCGCTCATGGAGGCGGTCGCCCAGTCAGTGGGGCTGGACATCGCGGCGGAGCTGCTGGATCGTTTTTGGCTCATGTTGGATGGCTGGAGCTATGCGTCGGTGTACTGTGTCGCAGTATTCATATACTACGAGATCAACGGTGTTGCTCAGTACGCTCTCCTGAGCATGGCCCCAATCATCCAAGAGCCGGACGATGACCTCTCGGCACGTACGCACCGAGATTTCCTGGCTGGTCTGCTGGACGGGTTCGGCAAAACGCTGAGTGGCTGCGTTTTCTTGGTCGCAGACAACTGCTCCGTAAACAGGTGCCTTGCTGTCATCATGCAGGTCCCTCTGGTTGGCTGTGCGAGTCACAGGCTGAACCGGGCTGTGCAATGCCACCTTGAGCAGTACGAGGACGACTTGGCGGTCGTGCAAGCGCTCATGCTGACGCTTCGCACGCTGAAACAGTCAGCCAAACTTCGGTAAGTCTTGTACTATTAATACTTTGGATTACTATTTGTTATATTGTTGCTTGTAATATCAGCTTCAAGACCCCGCTGCGCCCGATCATCCGTCAGGATACGCGATGGGGCTCCACCTTTGCTATGGTTGAATATGACGAGTTATCCGACCTTACGTATTTATTGTATGCCTATTAACAGCCAATTACAGCATTTGTATTTATTTGCGCCAATCATAGGGAGGTCATGGCAGAGTTTCGGCCAATATATTGCGATAGGGTTAGGGAAGTCCGATATCCGACGCTATCGGACGTATCGGGTCGGAGGGACTTGCAAAATATGTGTATGTCTATACAAATACTTAGATAAACTCGTATCACACGCATATATCCCATTTATCCGACCTTATCGGACCTGTACCATAATTGAGGTACATATGCAGTATTTGAAACTGAAAATGGCCATCTCGACGTCGTGATGTAGCAATGTATGAGCGTGCATGGTGTCTATAATGAGCGCGTAAGGGAAGCCGCTAGGCATGTACATTAACAGTGGAGGAGTCTTATTAAATATACGTTTACTATATAACGAATAATCTTATAACAATGCAGCGTGGTTGGCATCGTGCAGTCCGCACGTGCTGCGTGCTCATGCAGCGCGCAGCACACAGCTCTTGGGCCGAGCAGCATGCCGCCAGCCTGCCAGGTAAGGCACTAGCACTCGCGGGGTCTTCACGGCGGCGGTGGTGGTGGCAGCTGCTTCTGCGGGCCGCGGGGGGCTGTCGGGAGGGCGCGCCGCAGCTTGCAGGCGCTCACCCAACGGGCAGCCTGCCGGCCGCCCTGCCGGGCAAGTCATCAAGGTTCTCCGGGCAGCCGTCCGCCCCGCCACCGCCCCACCAACCAGTCGCCGTCCTACTGCTGCCTCCCTGCCGCCGCCGCCTCGCCGTCCAGCCAGCCACCGACCTGCCTCCGCTCCGCTGACCTGCCGCCGCTTCGCCAGTCCTTCCTGCCGCCGTCGTCCTGCGGCTTCACCGTCGTCCTGGAGCTTGCTACCTGCCGCTGTCTTCCTGCGGCCGGATTCCCTCGGCGCCACCGCCGCGGCCTCCGGCACTCTGCCCTCCACGCAAGTCCGCCACCCAACGCTAGAATAAAAATGAGCAAAAGTGTAATCGGTGTGTGGCCCACAACATAATACACAAACTTATATATTTGTTTTTAGAGTCCATCCTTCTAGGGTACCATGTTTTTGGTACAGGTCGGATAAGTCCTATAGTCGGATATTTCATGGTATGGTGCATCGGTATCATGAGCTGACCAAGTTCCTGGACGCCGATGACGATGATATCCTGGATTTGCTGCCGTCTCCGGCCTGCAAGCGGCGCTTGAAGGACCTCTATGCCGAGTTGAAAGACATCAAGTCTGTATCAAAGGCTCTACAAGGCAGTGATGTTACTCTCCTTGATGCGAGAGTGTGGTTCGGCGGGATGATCGCAGCGCACCCGGCTTTTGCGGACTACATCGGTATGTACCACCTTATTACTCTGTGATATTGCTCATTAATACTAATTTCGTTTCTGCATATTAATTTAGGGCCGCGCGCTACGATCGTCCACAGCCCTGATTTTGAAGCGGGTTGTGTGCGTATCCTGAAGGGCAGCAGCGTCCGACTCACCGCCGCAGAGAAACGGGTGCTGCGTGCGTTAGCGTGTACCTCGGCCGTCGCCACGAACGGTGCGGAAGACGGCGGCGAGGTGCCAGAGGTTCGTTTGTCCAGCGTCTCGAGAAGCGTCGCCGGCTCGAGGCGCGAAAGCCCCGCTACGATCTCATCTTCAGCATCCCGAACAAGGTCGAGCGATTTTTCAGCGTGGCGCGTACCACGTTGCTCAAGAACGCAACAGTCTCCAGCCCGCTACGCTGGAAACAATTTTGTTTCTGCGCGAGAATGCTGACTTCTGGGACGTTTCGACAGTCGATCACGTCAATTAGTGTGAGTAACAGTACGTCTAATACACGTTGAAGTTGCACCACATTATTTATTTATTGCTCGAATACATTACATTATTTATGCAGGTACAAATGACAAGATCCTTGCATTATTTATGAGGCTCTATCTGCACTAATAAACAAAAATACCATATTCGGCAGCCCTGTTCGTGACATGAGCTATTCATTGCCAAAATGTGACAGGAAGGCCGCAAACTTCACGCGAACTTTACGCAAACGTCTCATGGCTGATATCGAACGATTGCTGAGGTGTCAGGCCAACCTATACAGTGAGAAAATACAGGTGGAGGCTGACGACGATTACAATAACCCTGTACTGTTTCCAGGACGGTTTTGGTTAGTGTTGCTGTCCGGCAAAGCGCTATTGAGTATACACCGCTTGCTCCACAAAAGCCTCGCAACCCAAGGCTGTGTCCTCGACCCGAAAAATAGAGATTATAATAGTTCATTTTCATCATTTGAGACTGCCTCGAACAAAATGATACTAAGCCACAATTTAGAGTTATCGAGATAATCGCGCTTGAAAATTGGCTGCTATTTTTCGTATCTAAGTGAAGTTTCGAGAAAGGGCCCGATTTGTGATTTAAAAACCTGAACTGTCACTAAAGCGAACGCTCCCTCAACACCTCACTCTCAAAGAAGATCTACACCACCGCCGACATGGTAGCCCACCGCTCGACCTCCGAGCTGCCATCGCAGACCTTCAGCGGCCCCGAGTCGTCGCCCGCCGGCACACAGGCTTCCGGCGCTCTCGCGCCACAGTCCGTTGGTGCCTCGGGGCCGCCCGAGTCCCCTCCCTGTCAACACCCCCCTCCTCCCGAGCAGCATACGCCGTACGCGCCCGAGCAGCACGCTTCGGCAGCTCCTGGGCAGTAGCTTGCGCGCACCTCCGATCCGCAGCAGGAGGACAGTGCCTCCGAGCTGCACGAATCACCGGCGTGCACGCCTCTCGAACCGATCGGCAGCGCAACCAGAAAAATCGACCCCGCGTGACCTCCCCGCACGTTGCGGCACATGCCGCCAGCGACGTCTCGTCTGAGAGCGAGGAGCCTGGTGAAAGCAATGATGATAAGGATTGGAGCACGGCCGAGTCAGCTGAAGAGGATAGAGAGGTGACGGGGGACAGCGAGGGAATCGAAGACGATGAGCAAGCCGAAGAGGATATAAGTATCAATTTGATCGAGGTTGATATTCACCAGAAGGTGACAGGCCTTATCAGAGCTGACAAGTGTGAGCGTCGCTGCCTTCAGGGAAAGGCTCAAGAGCTGCAGTCTCTGGTTAGTTCAAAAGTGTAGCAATGTACGTCGTCTAGCCCAACTGATCAATCAATGTGATACTTATGTCCATGCTAATCCAAAATGATATCAATTGACAGCATGTGTCACTAATGTGAAACATCGCACGAAAGTGAAGTTTTAAGACTATTTCAATGCGAATTTGAAGAAACGAAGGGTATCATTGGATCCGCTGTACAATTTTACACCAGGGTAGCCAATAAAAAAATCTTAATTTTGCTCTGGGACGGGAGATAATTTTTTCGCGGGGTCATATCTTTGGCTAATCTAACTGTTAGAAGTTGTGGAGGGCCTCAAAAGGTAGCTAAGACGCCCCTCTTTCCAACGAGGTACCTAAATCCCAATTCGTACTTTGGTTGATTAGTATCTTTTTGTTCGACGCGGTCTCATTTATGAACGACCAACCCCAGAATTTGATATTGTATTGCTATTATTGGGGCAATATCATATTGTATTGGTTTCATGAACTTCCAATAATAAATAATTGTTGTGGGACAATACCATAATAATTGTTTTGTTCATATTTTTCCGACCCCTGTGTTAGTGAGATTAGGGTAAATAGGTGTATTATATGTAATAGGTATGTGTTGACAAAGGGATGCCGGTATCGTAACTTGGGGAAATAGAGCGCAAATCTCCAAATACCGGTCGATTTAGAGCTGAGTGTGGTCACCAGTATGCCAAGGAAAGTAAAATGAATTCTGATGTTAGCTCCAACTCTAAACTAGTGCTTGTTCCTGCTCCTGGCTTTTGCCTACGAATTCGTACAGCTTCTCGAATCCGGCCTCTAGAACTCTAAGCACCAGAGCGAGCTTTGCTTCCGATCGTACAACATGCACTGCGGCAGACACGAGACCGGCCAGGGCTGGCCACACTGAGCTAGGCAAAATGCGTGGTGAGCACAATACATGTACGTCAAACGTACAACTCGTGCACTTGCAGTGCAAGACGGGTGCAACAACACCTACTGTATGTGTTGCAATGACACCAACCAATAGTAACTTACTTACAACATCACCTCGTAGCGAAATCAATGCATGATGTACTTGTACTGAGGTACGAAAATGCAGACAAGTGAGGAGGACAAAACGCGACGTGATATCTACAAAACGGACTACTGTAGATGGAACTGAAACAAAATGGTATCACCCGAACCGATTCTACTTACGCCAGCGAGGGCTGCGGAGATTTGATCTCCACGAACGCGGGCGACTTGGGCCGCTGTTGGCCGTTTTGGATGGTACACTTGTTGGTCCGTACGGCCTGGAGCCACCACTAGTAGGAGAAAGGAAAAAGATTGAATGGCTGAGCCTCCCAGCTCTTACCACTACTCTCGGGCTTGAGCCCGTTTCTCATGCAACGACCCGCAGCTCTCAGCTCTGCTAATTTTCTCAGGTACCTAGTCTCAGCTTTCGCCCGGGTCTCAACTCTGACCTTCAACTTGGTCTTCAATGTGCATTCCAACACGCCTCCCTCGAAGCATGAGCTTCGACTAATCTGCATCACCAATGCCGGCCAGCCCCAGCATGTTCTGCAGACGCAGCGTGTCGAGCGGCTTCGTGAAAGTGTCAGCGGGGTTCACCTCGCCTCTTATCTTGTGCGCAGTTCAATCACGCCTCGTTCAAGTTGCTCACGCGCAAAGTGCCAGCGCAACTCAAATGTGTCGGGTGCGACGGCTGTAGGTAGGATTCGTAGCCATGATGTGCGCGGCTTGGTTGTCGATACCAATGCGCAGCTTCAGACACTTGTGTGGCAGTATTTCCTGCAGAATGTTGCTTTCTGCAACTGCCTCCATTGTCGCTTCACAGGCGGCCACGTACTCTGCCTCAGCCGTAGATAGAGCGACGATGAATTGGCGTCTCGACATCTAGGATACCGCCCCACCAGCCAGCGTGAACACGAAACCTGTCGTGCTTTTGCGGGTCTCCGGGTCGTTGGCCCAGTCACTGTCGCAGTAGCCCTCAAGCACCACAGTCTTCGACTCGCTCGACTGTCGGTCATACGTAATTCCATAGTTCACGGTACCTGCGCGGTACCGTAGGACTCGTTTCAGAGCCCCAACATACTTGCTGGATGGCTTTGCTACAAAGCGACTCAGCTGGCTCAGTGCGAACGCCAAATCAGGTCGGGTACTAGTGGCCAGATACATTAACATACCCACTGCCTCTCGATATGGAAAACTGGTGTCGCTTTCTTCATCATCACCAAGCGGCACGAGGCGAGCATTCACCTCCCAACCGAGTGTGCCTCAGCTTAGCCAAATTTCTCTAAAATTTCTCGAGCTTACTTGCTCTGGCGGATGATGAAGCGGTCAGCGGTTTGCTCCACTTCCACCCCGAGATACTGCGTCAAAAGTCCCTGGTCCTTGGGTCCGTACTCCTTGTCCAGGTCTTCGAACAACTTCTCATCCTTGGTCGCCACCAAGATGTCATCCACATAGACCAAAACCAGCATGATCTCCCCACCTTCAACATAATAATACAGGCAGGGTTCAGTCAAAGACCGTTGATAGCCACGATCCAGCATCCACCGGTTCAACTCGGTGTTCCATTCACGTCCAGACTGTCTTAACCCATAGAATGCCTTCATTACCACGTAGACGTGCCCATCCACTTCACAGGGGAACCCCTCAATCGACCTCACATACTTTCGTATTCCTAGCTTCGCGTTCAGGTATGCTGTATTGATGTCTCCGCCATAGAGCGTCAGATTCAGTGCTCCAGCTAGTCCAACCATCAAACGAAACGAAGACATACGAGCCACAGGCGAGAACGTATCACCGAAATCGATTCCAGGGCGCTGGCAGTTGCCAAGTGCAACCAGCCTCGCCTTAAAGCGAATTACGTAGCCTTGGGGGTCCGTCTTGATATCGTACACGAATCTCGTCTTGATTGGCTTTGCGTCTTTGGGCACGTCCTCGATGGTGATCTCCTCCAGAACATGTTGTGCCCTCATCGCAGCCATCTCCTCCAGCTCTGCCCTTATGAAAAAAACCCGGTACTTACTACGTCGAGACTCCCTACGGTTGCGAGGAACGCGTACATCACTTGCTCGGATCGGACGGCCATTCTGATCCAACACCCGTGACGTGTTCTGCGTCACATTCATCACATAGTCCCGCAAGTAGGCCGGGCGCCGACGCTCATGATACTCGCGCAGCCCAGTGCGCCGAGTTCGCTTTGGCTCCTGCCTCTCAGCACTCTGCTCTACACGAATCTCCTCAGAAGGGGTCTCGTCACGTTGACGTTTCCCCATCAATTTTCCACAGACACTCGCAACAGTAGTCGCTTCCTCATCGTCAAGTTCCTCTTCAGCAGCCACTGCATTTCCATCATCAAGTTCCTCCGTGTCGCCTACGTCAGATCTATACTGACCAGCAACCGACTCGCTACCGTCACAAGATGCAGCATCGGACGTTGCAGCAACATCGTGTTTGGGTGGTGAATCCATAGTTCCAGGTGAGTCTATCACGGATGAGTGCTGCTCCGGTTCCGTGTCATCACTCGGACAATCATCCTGACTCCCAGTCAAAAGCTCACTCTGCAACTCACTCTGCAATTCATCAAGCTCACACTGTGTTTCTGTCTGCGTACTTCGTATTTCTGCAGGCTCACTGGGTAGTGCTACCGTCACTCCACCAACATCCACCACACTGCTAGCTGGTGTCGCTCGAGACGCCTCCCTGGTATCTGTGCGTGAGCGGCCACTGCCACTCGGAAGTGCACTCAAATCTCCACTTGCCTCTGCGCTTGGAGCTGCACTTGCGCTTGGAGCTGCACTCGGAGCGCCACACATCTCGCCTCTCTTGAGATCCACGGTCGGTCCGGCCATGGTCTCGTGCACCGATGGCGCGGCGGCAGTATTGCCTTCTGCTTCCAACTCCATAGTAGACTCATAGAGTGTCGAGACAGCGTCGTCGTCCTCGACGATCTCACCAGATTGTACAAAGTGCAAAGACTCCAAGTCATCTTCCTCCACAGTTACTTCATGTCTGTCGCGGTACATCACATCCTCTGCAACACGGAGGTCCGACACAAATTTTGCTGTGCGATTGTCCGGGAAATACACCTTACAGTATATCACGTCCTCAGTTGTACAAAGTGCAAAGACTCCAAGTCATCTTCCTCCACAGTTACTTCATGTCTGTCGCGGTACATCACATCCTCTGCAACACGGAGGTCCGACACAAATTTTGCTGTGCGATTGTCCGGGAAATACACCTTACAGTATATCACGTCCTCAGCGTAGCCGAGTACGAAACCCAATCTGGCATTGTCATGGTGCTTCTTCCTTCCTGGTGTGACTGGTACGTGAACGTATGCGAGCGCGCCAAACTTGCGTACGTGATGCAAGTCAGGTTTTACACCAAACAGCATCTCATACGGGACCCCACCTGTGCCTTTGTTGTTGATGCGGTTCTTGATATACACCGCGTTCCGTAGAGCCTCAGGCCACAGACTCTTAGAAAATCCAGCATCGTGCATCGACGCCTTCATCATCTCCACGAGAGACTGATGAGTCCGCTCGCATAAGTTCAGCTGCGAACTCTTCGGGCCAACCAGAACACGCTCGATACCATGAGCCTTATACCACAACTCCATCTCCGTGTTAACAAATTCACCACCCGTGTCTGTCAGGATTTGGCAAACTTTGTATTTGACGTGGAGCGTTCTCGTCAAAACTTGACGAACCTTGTGTCGACCAGCTTGTCTTTCTGCCCACAACACATATTCCTTGATGTGGCGGTTCACCACTTCGCTAGACTTACTCGTAAGCAGGTGCAGCGTCACGAATCTGGAGAATCCGTCCATGATGACGAGCACAGCTTCGAAACGAGTACCGTTGTCCTTGCTCGGGATCAGCAGGTCCGCGTAGACCACTTGGTTTGGCGTTTTCGTGTTCCGCTCGAGCTTCTTTAGGTGCGGCTTCTTCTTTTGCTTGCCGATATGGCACGCGTCACAGGCACCAAGGTCGCGCTGCTTAATCAGCATGCCACGTACGAGCCCTTTGTCGACCATTACCTTCAGATACTGAGGGCAAGTGTGACCCAGCCGCTCATGCCACAGCCTGAGCGATGCCACACCGTCCGCAGCCGTGAAGTTGCTCAGAAGCTGGTCCTGCGGTCCGACGATATCACCATTAGACGGGTGGGTAACCTGGAATCCCCACGTTGCCTCATGTGGACTTGCCACAATCACTGTCCTCCCTTCATCTTGCACTCGAAAGTCCCGTGACTGACGATCATAATCAAAATCAAAGCCCTGTTCAGCAGCTAGTCCAATGGAAAACAATCCGTGCGTAGCACCAGGCACGTAAAACACATTGTTCAGAGTCACTGTAGCTTGTTCTCCATCAACCATAGTAATCAGCGCTACCGTGCCTACTCCAGCAATTCGCGAAGCCAAAGCAGCAGTCACGCCTTGAATATGCTGGGACTGACTCGGATCCGGAGTAAAGGCAACATAGTACCAGGGGTTCCCTGTCACGTGCACGTTCGCGGCGGTGTCGAAGTACCACAAGCCACTGCTGGTGTTTGCTTCGCCTTCGTCATGGTCTTGGCCGTCATGCCACCAGCCAACATGCGCGTGAGAGTCATTCCCTTCCTGTTCTTCCTCATCCTCCGATGTCGCTAGTCTCTCAGCACCACCAGAATCAGCTGACAACCCTGCATCAATTATCAGAGCGTCCAGCCGACTCGCCGACTCGCCAAGCTCATCGTTCTCGCTGGACGAATCTGCGTCACGGCTCGCATCGTGCCGAGTCGTCATGTTCGCACGTGGTTTCCGCTTCTGCTCATTAGTATTAGCTCCGCCCCCGTGGTTGCCCTCCACTCGATCAGGACACTCAGCCCTCAAGTGCTCGGTGCTCCCACAAATGAAGCACTTCTTGGGTCTTTTCTTCTTTGAGTCCTTAAATTTGCCACCCAGTTGTTGGTCCTCACCATTTCCAGTTTTCACCTTACTGCCAGCCCCGCTAGTCACACCAATCTTCTGGTTACCGCGTTGTCCAGTCCCGCTCTTGGCCTGGTATGCCTTCTGACGAGAGTCCGCAACACGAATCAGCTCGCGAGTCCGCTCTGGCGTGATGAAGTTATCTGCGCTGTTGTAGCCCACTCCACTCTACAGACTCTTAAATTCGTACTGGTGCGGCAAGCTGTTCAGCATCAGCTCAACCATGGCGACATCATCAACCTGGTAGTTCAACGAAAGCAACTCCGTCCGCAAATTAAACATCTTGCTTAAATGCTTGTTAACATCTCCACCCGGTGACAGCTTAATCATCTCCACCTCATGCCGGATGCTCTCTGCGCGATGAGCCATGGTCGTCTTGTTTGACCGGCTCTCGTAGATCACGCAAAGCGCCTTCCACATGTCCGTCCCGGTGGTCTCGTCGCGCACTTGGTGAAAGATGTCCGCTGGCAGCGACATCCCGATGATAGACATGATCGTCAACGGCTTGTCGTCGAAGTCGTCCTCTGCCTCCGCCGAGGTCAGCGAGGATCTCGTGATACTGCCCTCCACAATCTCCACGAGCTTCTTCTTCCTGAAGACAATCATCATCGCCCATTTGTACTGCTGCCAGTCTTTTCCGTTCCAGTTCTTTGGAACTCCTTCGCTAGTGTACTTCAGCGGCTCCGCCATCTTGGATCACCCGCGTGCAGCCGGAAGTCCGTAGGTGCTGGGCTCAGTACCCTTTTGGATGGTGCACTTCTTGGTCCGTACGGCCTGGAGCCACCACTAGTAGGAGAAAGGAAAAAGATTGAATGTCCCAGCTCTTACCACTACTCTCGGGCTTGAGCCCGTCTCTCATGCAACGACCCGCAGCTCTCAGCTCTGCTAATTTTCTCAGGTACCTAGTCTCAGCTTTCGCCCGGGTCTCAACTCTGACCTTCAACTTGGTCTTCAATGTGCATTCCAACAGGCCGCCGCTGTGGAACAACGCCTCGATGTCCTCCAGCATCATGCCCTTGGTCTCCGGGCAGAATAAGTACACGAACACGCCGCAGATGCAGCACAGACCCGCGAACAGGAAGAACACGCCGTTGATGTTGAGGTGCGGGAAGAGCTTGACCACCTCCGTCATGACGGCACCCATGGCCCAGTTGGCCGCAGTCGACAGCGCCACGGCCGGCGCGCGTACGCCCAACGGGAAGATCTCAGCCGGGTATATCCAGCACACGGGCCCCCACGAGATGGCGAAGTTGAACACGAAGAAGGCCGAGCCCACGGCGATGAACCAGCCGCCCACCTTGGGGCAACCCGCGTTGTCCACGTTGCCGTCGCAGATAGCCGTGAACAGGATGGCAGCGAACAGGTGACCGACGACCATGCCCACAGCGCCGATGAGCAGAAGCTGGCGGCGGCCGAACGTGTCCACCCATCGCATGGCCGGGATGGTGCTGAGGAAGTTGACGCCCGAGAGGAACAAGGCCGAGTAAATACCGGCGTTGGTGATGTCCTTGAAGATCAGAGCGCCGTAGCTCATGATGGGGTTGATGCAGCACCTGGAGCACCATGGCGATGGCCACACGCTTGAAGATGGACGGCTCGAGCAGCTCCGTGAGTCCCTTGTTGGCGGCCAGCTCCTCCGCGACCTGGTCGCCGATCACCTCGAGCTCGCGGCCCACGTTGTCGGTCTGGCGGAGACGCTTGAGCACGCGCTCGGCCTCCTCCTTGCCCTTGTGCAGTTACGTCCAGCGAGGACTCTCGGGCACGAAGAAGATGCCGAGCATGACTACGATCGGCGCCGCCATGGCCACGCCGTTGGTCGTGCGCCAGCCGTTGTCGTGGTTCTCCACGATGATGTTGACGACGTTGGCAAGGAAGAGGCCCGTGACGACCGTCATCTGCATGAAGCCCGAGAGCATGCCGCACAGCTCCTTGGGGGCCATCTCGGCGCCGAACAGCGGCAGCGAGAACGACGAGTTGCCCACGCCGAAGCCCTGGATCACGCGGGCGATGTACATGAGGCCGTGCTCCTGCGCCTTGTTGAAGCAGACCCACGAGGTGCCGACGCAGAACAGCAGGCCGGCCGTGAAGATGGTCCAGCGGCGGCCCAGCTTGTCGGCCACGATGCCGACGACGAAGGCGCCCACAAGGCAGCCCAGGTTGTACGCCATGTTGTACCACACCGTGAAGGACGTCCATTCAGCCGGCAGGTCCGACGAAGACGATGTGCACTCACTGCTCGTACGTGAAGTTGTGCCTGCCGACGCAGTAGTCGTTGATGAACGAGTCCATGATGAGCACGCCCGAGGTCACGCCTTGGTCGTAGCCGAAGAAGAGGCCACCCAGCGCGGCGAACACGCACACGATGATGGCGTAGGTGCGCGAGCCCTCGGTCGGGACGTCATCGTCATTGTTGTTGTGGACGTTCACCACGACGCCGGCAGCCATTGCGAAGGGGAGGGAGTGGAAGCGAGGTAGCCGCAGAGCTTGCTAGCTTGTTGTGTTGGAGTGAGTGTGCTTGTTGCGGCAGGCTGAGAATTGCAGAATGAATGAGGCGGTGACACGATCGGTGGTGCGGCAGCGGTGCTGTAACCCTTGCTTGATCGATACAGGCAGCCTCGATGGATTTATACATGTGCTTGGGAGAGTACCCCATAACTTGATTGAGAGAGAACCGCTGGTTTGAGGCGGGCCTGCAATGTATTAATAATACTTCCCGACAGCGAGCGTTCGAGCTCCCTTCGGAACAGCTGAGGTGGCAGGGGTTCAGCGTTGAAGTTCGCGGCGACTTACCGAATTATAGGATCGTCGGAGCGTGCAGTCCTGCTTTGCACGCGGCGCGAACGTCTCTGTTCGGCACCAGTCAGTCGGCGTACTCTACAACTTGATTCATGGTCTTAGTTGCGCATTTGAAGAAAGCAGTTTACGATGATAGAATAAGGTGTATTTAGGTTACTTACACTACGCTGGTGTTTATTATTCCTACCGCGCCGTGCTGATAGAAAGCAGTTTACGGAGTTAATAGCACCTTGCTGCCATCATGGCCCATGATTCATGGAAAAATATGAGGACCTTCACGCTGTGTACCAGCTTGAAGATGCATACTACGGTACTATAGGAAGACTCCACCTTGCGTGGCGTCTAGAAGATGCTTAGGAACAACCTCATGGCATGCACAAGCTTTTTTTGTTTCGCCTTTTTGCCACAAATACCAAAACTTTAGGCATAACTGCAACTGGTGGCATACTAGCATTGAATCAGCACGTACGCGTGTAGTATTCCGCGTTCATTTCGAAGTTTCTGCTTCCCTACAAGGATATTTCTACAGATTTCTAATGGGGAATAAAGAGTAGGGCTTTCTACGTTACGATGGTTAGCGAACGATTACGTAAAAAATTACGTACTCGTTAAAAATAGAACGTAAAGATACGTAATTCACTGCGACCTTTCGATGCCCATTTGGATATTTGCCATGCGCTCGCGAACCGTACCCCCCCTCGCCCCGCGAGTCGCCCGAAACGCGTCAAGCCGCTCCGATGACGCCCGCCGAGAGTACTCAATCTCGACAGCAGCACAGCGCACCAGGTGCTGCGCCTTCGCAATCTCGAGAGCGTGATCGCGCCCAGCAGTACAAGGCATTCCTGGCGCCGCGATCATTTTACCACGAGCCATCGCTACCGCCGATATCCCCGCTCGCGAGCCCCCCAGTTCGTGCCCGGCTCACGTTTGAGGATGAAACCAAGATTGAAGACGCGAGAGACTCTACTTACCGCCAACCTTGCAGCAGATTAGCTGATTATGTTGCTCAAGCTCATTCCACGTCGACTTCGCGTTTGGACTTCCCATCTCCTCCAACCGCTGGAGGAATCGCTGGAAAATCAGCTCTAGGGAAACGATCGGCTTCTGGCACCGAAGCCAACACCCGCAAAAGGGGTGGTCGCTCAGCTGAAAACGACCTGGAAGAGCTCGGCTTCTCTACACCGCTAATGTGCAACGACGTCGATCGCCAAGAATTGCTGGCTTGGCTTCAAGTAATCCGTGTGTGACAAGATCAAGCGGTGCAGTTCCAAGTGACTCCACTGGAAACACGCCGAGTCGTTCGCAGCAAAGCCGCGACCGCCACAGAAATTCTCAGCGCCCCCAACACAAAATCCGTTCACCCGCACCTGGATCTACTGTAGCGGGTTCAAACGCATTCGTTGGTGCTGGGCGTGATGCTGCTGCCCCCACCGCTTGTTCAACATTCGGAAGATGTGCAAGCCACAACATTGGATGTTCATTAGACTGGTATGCAAGGACGAGTTTGCGACGTTGCCCGAGAAAGAACTGCGCTCTGAACACGCGAGGTGTGCGTTTTGTACAAAGTGCAATACTGAGATCAAGTTTGAAACGTCCTCCACGGTGTACGTCACCAAACACATGGGGAAATTCCATACCAAAGAGCTGCAAGAAGCGGAGGCAGCGGAGGTGGCTCGTAAAAAGAAGGAAACTCAAGTTCTCGTGCATAAAGAAGTTGAAGATCTCCCTGACAGATCGACCCGTCAAGAGCCTGCTACTGCGGAAAAGCAAGCCCGAGCAGATACGTTGGCGGCAATTTGGGTTGCCAAATCCATGCGGCCGTTCAATATTCTGAAGGACAAGTATTTCCGGAAGTACTCCCGTTTTCTGAACTCTGTCGAAGGGTATATCAAGCCGGCCAAGCCGTGGAAAGCGCGTGAAAATGTCGATAACATCGCCGGTGCACTCCGTGAAACGCTAAAGGATGAAATTGCCGATGAATGTGACTACTACACTGCGTCGGCCGATATCTGGACATCCAAGAGCAAGCCCGCATTTATTTCGTTCACCCTCCACTATCCCGCAACTTTGATCTCAAGAACTGGGTCCTCGAGATTAAGGTGCTACCGGGAAAGCACGACGGACGTCGCATTGCTAGCTGTCTGGAAAAGATTATGGTGTGGTGTGTAACGGGGTGGGGCAGGCCGCGCAGCGGCGCTCCCCGAGCGAAGCGAGAGAGGGGCGCCCCCCCCCCCCCCCCAAAGTGCCGTCCTCAGGCGAGAGCCAACGCGCGAGTGGCCCTTGTAGTTTAACCCACCGGTGACCGCTCTTATCCCGATTTTGCAGGGATAAGATTAATATAGAAATTTGGCGGGATAGGGTAAGCGAGGTCCCCAGCGGCCTGCCCCGACTCTTTGGGTTCCACCGGCTGTCAATCTCATTGGTCAGAGTTATCCAATCAAAGTTTGGATACGGCCGTAATATTAAGCTCTGTCGAGATTTCGATCGAAAAAACCTTGGTGTAATTCGCAGGATAATGCGAACATTTGCTAAGTGAGTGAATTGTTCTGAGCTGAATATCGCGGTTGATGGACGTGCTCGGCAATCGCTGTGACACTATCCCAGGGCAAGCACGGCACGGCACATGAGGGACGCCTTCTACTGCAACGACGAGACGTACGAGGCACAACCGAAAGCAGAACAACTCAATCTCGGTACGCTGCTCACTCTAGCCAGTCTGTTGCCCCATTGCTGACGTGTTTCTCGACTGCAGGCGAGGCGAGCGCTGGCGGCACAAGCCCCCCATTCCATCGGCTGTACACCCGCCTGACTTCCTCCTTCCTCTTCGCCATGCAGGGCTACGGCTACTCGCAGTACCAGGCGCACTCGCCGCATCACCAGCGCAGCGGCGAACTTTCCAAGCTCTACTACAAATCCCTGGACCACGGTACCAATAGCGGCGGCTTTAATGGCCCGGCGTGCATGAACTCCAGTAGCACGTGAACCCGAACAGCATGCAGGCCCTGCACCAGGCCCGACGCCGTAGCAGGGGGACTTCGACTACGAGCCCATCAGCACCCAGGCAAATACTACGCGCGGTCGCCCAAGGCCTATCGATACAACTGGGGCGGCTCTCAGAGCCGCTCTGTTGGGATGCGGTCATACGTCAGCCCATACGGACAAACGTTCGCGTGAGGCGCCCTTAATGAAGGAGAAGAAGCGCGTGTTCAAGCTAAACGATGGCGTCAACCATCACAAGACGCTGCAGGACGACGCCGGACGATCAAGCAGTCCATCGTGTGATCTCGAATCAGAGTGCGGAGCGCGCCTAAAAGTAGGCGGATCGCCGAGGACCAAAATGGCGGTGGCTAAAGCGGTGGCGTCAGCGATGAGGGCTATAATACCCAATGGTGCTACCAAAACAGGCTCTCACTGCAACAGCAGCCTTTGCAGGCGGATGTAGTGAGTATGTGTTTTAGTGTTAGGGTCTAGTATAAAATAAAATAAAGTCATTCCATAGAATTGAGCGACAGTCAAAATCAACCTGTGAAAAGTCGCGGTCGCTCCTCAGTGGTACAGTACACATCGTGTGGGGGGAGATCTTCTCCGAGAAGATCATGGCCGACGCAAGTATGTACATCGACGACACGGCGGCCGACAGCAGCAGCACTGTGGGCGGCAGCAGCAGCGATGACGACGAACGCTCGAACCAACAGGAGCTCACAGCGCGAGGGCGCTTCGAGAGCCAAGGGCAGCTCAGCGATCAAGATACCGACTTAGACCGCTCCTCCTACTTTGTTCTCTCGGGCCTTAACTACACCTACGAGGCTGTCCCGGTGCGCATGTATGTCCTACTTGTGGTGGCTATTTGATATCTAACCGTCCTGCTTGCATAAAACAGGCTTTCACGCCGGATGTCAACCGAACAGCGTCAAACAACAAGAAAATTTATGGCAAGCGATGTCTGTAGGGGAGGTACGTGCACGTATCTTTGGTGTTTCAGTGGGCGTCACGATGACTCAATTCCGATGTATGCCTAGACGTTGGAGAGATTTCAATGGCACCAGGGGTTCCTTGACTTTCACACCCTCCAGCCAGTACGCAAACCTTCACACGACCGGGTGGGTATGCGAATTACTTGAGTTCTGTGGCGTAGTCTAACAAATGTTATTATGCAACAGGTTTACGAGCCTAGAAATGCGTCTACCAACCATGTAGACGCATTTCTAGCCGCCCTCCCGCACTACGAGATGTATACGCAGTTTCAGAATGACGAAGACTCGAATCACATCTACGCGTGGTTGCAAGCGTCCCTGAAAGCCTCGAAGGTATTTCACGCGTTCTGTGGTGTCAGGTGTACTTCCAACGCTAACGTCCCATTGACCTCTGTGTAGATAACGCTGTCTATGATAAAGCGTCGACAGCGCCTGTGCGATTGGGATATTGAACGCTTAGACGTTTTTCTCGATTCCCATGTTGAACACCATATCGTCATGGAGGCAGATGAATCGTACGACGAGAATGCTATCCGGGAGCATACCAAGGAGGGTTTTTTCAAAGAGCTCGAGTATAAAGCTCGAGTCCAAGAAGCCGCTGCGCTCGAGTGGCTTGCTGTCTGGACGTATCAGACCGAGGTGATGTTTCCTCGACTTGGTGTGGTGTAGTACCCCGCAGAAGAAGTGGGCGCACCGGGCGCCGGAGGAAGAAGGCGCCAGGACACGAGTGATGGACCTCGACGCGGCTGATGGAACGCGACGCGGATGGATGGGCGCGACGCAGGGCCGAGCTCGACGGGAAAGTCGGCGTGGGTGATGGGCCGTGAGACACGGTGCCAGAATCCAGTGCGACGCGTAATCATCCGACGGGTCGACCAGCGCGCCCGGTTCTGCAAAACGCGCCGACCCTAAACCCCGCCGAGCAAAACGCGCCGAGCAAAACGCGCCGAGGTAAGATCTTGATTGCGCCACGTAAATCAGGTTGAAGCACGGTAGTGCAAGCACGACAGAAGTAAGGATAGGCACAGAACGGTAGGCTTAGCAAGCGGTAGTACAGAGTAGCCAGTAGCAAGGACATAGGATAAGGTAAGGACTCAGTCCCGAAACTTCTCTGAACCACAAAGACCTCCCGTCTTCTCCGAGGTTCCAGGGAAACCACCAAGCGCCGGCAAGTAGAGACGCCTCGATATCGCGGCCCCCCGTCGTTTGCTGGTTCGGGTGCTCACCCCCCACAGACCCGTGCTGGAACAAAGGCACGTTAAACGTATACCGTTTACGTGGGCGCCCGATAACGCGCTGCCTAGGCGAAGGACCGCACTGGCCTGATAACCGCCGTGCACAAGACCCCCCGTGTAGGCCCGATAACGCCGCACAAGCCCCAGGAAACGCCGACCCGATAACGCCGCACGCCCGACGGGAACGCCGAGGAAACGCCGGCCCGATAACGCCGCACGCCCAAGGCTCGACGCCCTACGACAAGGAACAAGCGTCAACACAAGAACCCCCAACTCCGAAGCCTGCGAAAACTTGGGCCTGTATTTCGAAGATACGCTACTTCAACAACCGGGAATAATTTGCTCGGCGCGACCGCTATCCAGACGCGCCGAGTTTGTGCGAGATCGCATTCATGAGATTTCTGCGAGGGCGCTACTCCACATTGGAGTATCGTTGTGACGCTAGTACGTCGGAAAGTGCTTAGCCCAGCTTCACAGAAGCATACATATTCTGATTGCGATGCTGAAATGTAATGAAGAAGCCCAGGCCTACATATATTCCGTCATCGCTTTCGTATTGTAGCATAGATCTCAACGTTGACAACCAGCTTGGGTCAAAGCTGGCTTCGCTCTCCCTCACAGGCGTATTTGTATTTAAGTTTGTATGGCAGATGTCATGATTTACTTCGCAGTGAAACATAGATCTCAACGTTGACAACCAGCTTGGGTCAAAGCTGGCTTCGCTGTCCCTCACAGGCGTATTTGTATTTAAGTTTGTATGGCAGATGTCATGATTTACTTCGCAGCGAAACATAGATCTCAACGTTGACAACCAGCTTGGGTCAAGGTTGGCTTCGCTCTCTCTTACAGGCGTATTTTGTCAAGATCGACTTCGCAGTGAAATATTGACTCCCACCTAATTATCCGACTCATTCTGCTGCTCGGCCCCGCTGAGCGTACATTCCACCGCGCCGAGCAGCTCTACCAGCACTTCCGCCACGGCCTCCCGCTCGCTCTCATCCGGGGGCCTCTCAGTCGCAGTTAATCCTTCTTCATCCTGTCCTGCTGCATCTGCGCCTGGCCGCTCTGGCTGATGCACTTGTACCTCTACGTTTCGCGTGACACTTGGAGCCGGTAACTGCAAAGATGACACCGAAGCAGCCCCATCGGCATTCTGAACATCGGTCTCGTATTGTCTTGGCAGTATAGCATCCGAGGAAGCTGTGTCCATCGTTTCCGCGCGTAACTCCTCTTTCGACCGACACATTCGGATCCGTCCGACTTTTTCAGAGTGCGGAAGTTGATCTCCGTTCTTCCATTTCTAGTGCCAAATGTTTAAGCACGATACAGAATTACCATAGGATACGTGTCGCGCCTTGGAACACAAAAATAGTCTTCCTCGATCAGTGGAGCACTGCTTGCAGTAATGACGCGTTGTGCCGGGAGGTCGATTCGATCCAGGACTGCCAGCACCACGCAGTACCGAGCAAACTTTGCACACGCGAAACTTGAACTTTCCCTTTGCTGTCTTGTCCGTCGGCACCATCAATTGATGCTTCGAGCTTGCCGTCGAAACTGGTGTCTGGTTAGATCTTGGCTCCACCTCGGTAACAGCGGCTTCGGCGACTGGCACCGTTTCCAGGAAGTCATCATCTTCGAGAGCGAGTAGCTCCTCGTGTAGCTGAATGAGAAAATCCGCGTGTGAAAGAGGGTTTTCCCCCACCGACTTCGCGTACTCACAGTGGGTGATAAAAGCGTTAATAACAGCTATGTCGAGAAGCCCGTAGAAAACAGTTTTGTAGTATTTCTTCGGTCGCATGACTCGTTGGATGGAGTACCTAGTCAAAAGCATTTTCGGCGTAAGTGAGAACCGCAACAGAGCAACACGCACCTTTGCAGACGTAACAGGTCGTGACTGTCAACCCCCCCATGTACTTGTTGTACAGTACCACAAACTCCGGACACGGAATGTTTCCCTGTGAGCCGTCCTTTTGCTTCCTCCGCACAATCGCACGTCTAGCGGAGGCCCCAGTCGCCACAAAGTAGCAAATTTATGAGTCGACCCACCGCGTCGAGTACATTTGACGATTCATATTGTTCCGAGCAAGAATGTATGAGCCGCGCGGCATCCCTCTCGAAGCTGATTTTTTGTCGGTCTTCACGTCTTCGGGGAAGCCAAGACGCGTCGTAGAAACCGTCCCGATATTGTAGTACCCCATGTCCATCAAACGAAACCCCAACGTCACCGAAGAATACTCGCGATCAGTGATGATGATTCGCTTCTTGGATCGATCCACCCGACGCTGTTCCCACAAGGCTTTAAGGTTTCGAAACTGGTCCACTTCTGGTGTCAACAAATTGACTGTTTTGTTTCTTACCGCAATAGACCTCGAACCTGAGCATGAATCCACAGCGTTCAGATACCGACTATATAAAATAGCGCAAATGAGCATACCTGGAGCAGTAGTGGGTTTTCCCGCAACACGCAGCGAACAGCTTGGTGCCGTACTTGTGCGGCTTATTCTTCAGGAAAACTCGTATTTTGTTCCGCGAACTTCTTGAAGGGATAACCATCTCGTCGAATGCAACCCAGCGCCCTAGTTCCATTCCACCCTTGAAAGTAGTCTGTAACTTGTTTATCACGTTGCGAATCTTCCATGCCCGGTCCGTCTTAGCCTGCGGAGCCTGGTTGTTCGTAAAGTGGAGAAATCTGGCGAAGGACGTGTTATTGCACCCTTTATTAAAATAACGTGGAAGTTACAGTACCTGTTAATCTCCTTGAAACGCTTGCGAACCATAAATGGCGACCAAGTTCCAGCTGGGATCGCTCCACGGGCTCGCGTCTTCCAATGATCGTGCAGTCGAGACTTTATCGGGCAAATAGCCCTGGATATTACTAGGGCCAGAAAATGCATGATCTCCGCGGCAAGTACGTCTTAGAACGCGTCCAGCTCCTTTTTCTTTCCTTGAAACATTTCCTTGCGTTTGTGGATGTCGTCCGTCTTCTTTTCAATGGACAACTTCGCCTGTCGAAGTCTTTCCGGTCGTGTCTGACGCTCGTAACGATTAGTTTCCTCGGCAATCTCCGTCCAGCGAGTCTTCGGCATGTAGTAAAAAAAAGATCAGAAGGTTTCATCGTTTTCGCTGCCTCTATAGCCGAGACAGTAAGGTGAGGAGGATCCATAAACACATCCGTAGCGCCGGACAGGTCCGAGTCATCCCGTTCGTCGGTTACCGGTAGCAACTCCCACCCATTGCCAGACATGCCTCGAAGCATTTCATCTGTTATGTAGTCCTGGGGGGCCGGCAACCGCGCGAATTTCCTCTGCTGTTTCGACACTAAAACTTTCGTTTCTGGTATCACCCGCAATATAAAGCTCATTTGCAAACTCATCTTCAGAATCGTCGTCGGCACTCTCGCCAGAACAGCCATCCGATTCCAGCACCTCGTGATCGTCATCAATACCCACGTTCACTTCATCAGCAAGCATCTCCGCACGTCTTTTCGATTTCTTCCCAGATACTCGACTCCCGGGAGACGAAAGAGTACGTCGATTTTGCGAGGGTGTTGCGGTTGTTTCTGCTGTCTGCCGGGGCGATTTTCTTTTTCTGGGAGCCTTTCCTGACCCTCTGGAATCTGCTCGCGGTACTGGCGTAGCATCCGCATCCGCATTTTTTGAGATCCCGTCACCCCGAGGCTCAACACCACCACCTGCATTTGAGATCGCCTCTTCTTCAGTAGTCTCGGGAAAGTAATCCGGGTAATCGTACTCGTAGTCATTTTCGGTTCGATCATCGGTTTGCCGGCTCTCGGTAGCCACATTGTCAGCATCATTGGTTACTCCCAATCCAATATTTTCTGGAATCGATGCTATGCTTGCTTGGCGAGCTGTAGATCCACCGCTGGGTTTCTCGTTCTCATCGGTATCTTTCCGAGGGCTGTCATGGCCTACCGTCCCGGTAGCATCGGTGACTTCAGCTGGAGCTGGGTTTTCGAGCATAGCTTGACGTGCTGCTTTCTGGCGACGCCTAAACTTCTCCAATTTGTCAGGGCAGTTCAGATTGGAGGCAGGCTCCTAGCTCGTTTGGGAATATCCTTCCATTTCACCTCAAAGTAAGACAAGCCTAAACGAAAAGTTTCACGAAGAATTATTTCCACTTCGTACGCTTCCTCCGAACCTGGGCACCATTATTACAGTTAGTACATTTTCCCCAAAACCAACATAAGAGCATGTGACAAACACGTGCTGCTTGTTACCTTCAGAACCCTCTTGGTGTTTTGCAGGGATTTTAGCCGTCACGTGGCTACCGAGACCTCGGTCAGGCAAGTCCGCTTTTCGGGTTGCTTTTTTCTTCAACGCGCGTGCCTCTTGAAGTTGTGCTACCTTAAAAACTTGTTGAGGAGCTCAGGACAATGCAGATTCGATTCCGGCTCCCACGACGCCTCGTCGTAACCCTTCCACGTCACATGGTACTTGGGCTCTCCACGCACGAACTTCATCTCGATGATCTTCTCGACTTCAAACTCGTCGTCTGCGGCATTATGAAAGTCTACTATAAGATCGCAACGACGCTTTGCTAGTGAAACATGCGTTTTGCTTACCAGATGCCTCGTAGTTCACTGTCCTCGCTGCTTTTCTTCGCGCCTTCCGGGGCGGCTGGGCGTCGCGCCCGCTGCCTACTCGGCGCTTCTGTGCCATCTCGACGAGTGACGGTGGAGGGGGGGGGGGGGCAAAAGGAGCACTTCTTGCATCCGGATACGTTGGCATTGTTGCCCTTGATCATACAACTATACTGATATTAAATTTCGAATCTAAACACATCCGGATACGAAGCACGACAGAGCATATCGTATACTTGTAATATCTCGATGTTGAGTTGCAAGTGCCAATTTGACATCGCAGGTGAATTGCTTAGCAGATTCCTTTCGCAATAACAAATAGACTGGTACTGCTAGATGTCCTAAACGGCTTCTAGAGCTCCTCAACATTGTTTTCACAGTGATAAATACACGCTCGGCGTCGCACTCACCGTGCACGTAACCCGCTGCATGGCAACGGTCATCACGACCGAGCTCGCGAGAAGCGAAACGACGGGCATGACGGCCGCACACCCACCCACGTGCATGTAAAGAAGAGGGATTCAACGCTGGGCTGGCGAATGTCAACATTGACACCGTGAGGCGCTGGAACTCCAGATCAGCGAGGCATCGAAGCTCACCAGAAAACTTGACGGCAAGCATAGCGGCACCCGGAGAAGCGACTGCTGCACGGCGAGCATAGCTGCTGCAAGCATAGTGGCGGCGTAGGCGTCAGATGAACAGCGAGCATGGCGGCGGCGGCGAGTGCGAACGTCGGGCAGCATTCCGGTGAGCCCGGCCACAGCATCACGGCGAGCGTAGCGGTAGCGGGGACAGCGAGAGCAGCATGACGAGCATGGCGGCGGCCGGCACAGCGAGCGCAGCACGGCGGGCATTGCGGCGGCCAGAGTAAGGATCAGCAGCATGGCGAGCTCGGTGGCGGCCTTGGCGGCGACGGTCGATGCGAGCCGGGCGACGGCATAGTTGGGGAAGCGCGCTGGAGCAGTAGCTGGCGATTTCGGAAATGAGGTTTGGGACTGAGCGCGCGGAAACGATCTTCTGGCACGGATCGCAGCGCGAGCACGATTGGCCGCGAAACGGCTGGCCAATTACACGTCGCAAATTCAAACGATGGGGGCGCTGATTGGCGTAGATACCGGAGCGAACCCACGGGCGAAAATCTGCGTGTTGCGCGAACTCAAAGCGCAAGTTGGAAAAGCGCGCGAAAAGCTGTGTGTTGCGCGAAGCTTGATGGCTGAAGCCAGGCTGATACCACTTCGTGTGACCTTGGATTGAGCCAATGCTGATTGGCTTATTAGCTTCAACTTCAACCCTCGATAAGCACTCCGAATTATAGTAGTTCTTGATTTAGTGACTACCTAGTACGAGGGCATTTCTTTTGCACTTCTATAGTAACTTCCTTTTGCAAGTTCTTCTGCAACAGAAATGATGGCAAACGGTGCCTGAACGTCGCTCGCCTCGCTACCTAGGCCAGTGTGGTGTCCTCACAAAACGCGGTACTCGTAGATATGAAATACCAACCAATCCGTGCACACGGTTTCTATAGGTGAGCGCTGACTATCCCATGTTGACTATCCCAGGTCAATGTTGACTTATGTTATGTGTGTTCACACATGGTCGGTGATATGGTGTGGTCAACATCAGAAGCAGCGGAATCTTGGAGGTTCGACGACATCCGACGTGTGAGAAATGGAGTTCAAAGCCCGACCAATCGTTGACGACTACCGGGCGTATTGGGAGGACTGCCGCGCGTATATGCAGTACCCGCCTCGGCTCTTCGTGATCATGAGAAGCCTCCCGGGCAGTGGCAAGACAACGTTTGCTCAAGAGGTCGCTCGTTATGCAGCAACGGTTGATTTCCGCGCGTCGATTTGCTCAGCTGACCTCTTCTTCCAGCGCGGAGGATCCTATGTGTTCGACGCAAGTCGGCTTTCGGAGGCGCATCGAAGCTGCTACGAACAATGCAGAGAACTCCTGTGGCGCAGCCCCGATCGTGGCGTGGATATCGTTATTGTCGACAACTGCAACCTTCGGATAGATGATTTTGAGCGCTATCAGGATCTGCACATTCCCTCAGACAAGCTTGCGGTTGCTGCGTTCGAATGCCCCCCTGGCATAGCGGAAGCAACACAGCTCTTGGAACGAGCTAATCGTGTTGGCCACGCTATCCCTGGTCGCACTTTCGTGGAGTACTTCAACATCTGGAGACACAGCGCACCGGAGGAGCCGCGCCCCGACAACGAGGTGTATACCATCGATGAGCTGCACATCGATAACGAGCTGACCACCGTCAATATGCCGCGCGCCTACATCATCACGCTGGAAGAGTTGATGAGTGATCGCTAACGTGCTCCGGCAAGGCCGAAGAGGTGACTGGTAGCTTCAGTAAATCTCTAATTTGACGTATCCACTCTTGTGTCGGCGCTTATCTCACCACTTCTGCATCGTTTTGTAAAGACAACCATGTGCATCTACTCGTACATCTCTCATTGAGTCACCAAGTCGACTACGACTTGGAACGTGTCTACGCTGGCTTAGACACTTGTTACTGAAGCCAGCTCAACAACGACTTATACCAAGTCAACGTTGACTGACAGTCCTCTTGATTCTAAATCGAATTGGTCCACATCAATTTATTTCAACTGTAGGATTTGCGGTTTCACTTTCTCAAAGAACCTTGACTGCAGCAAAGTGCTGATGGCGATGCTGATGACGAAGCGATCTCAGGCTGCAGAGAGCGAGGGAACGGCTGGCGGTGCTGCTCGCCAGGCGCCCATGACGAGGAGCAAGAAAGCAGCAAAGGCGACGGACAAGCCAGCGACAAAGCGGACGAGCGCGCCCACTGACAAGTCAGCAAACGCTGCCAAGACCACGCCTGCCACCGGCAATGCCAAGCAGAAACGGAAGAAGGGGGAGGGGCCAGACACTTCGCCAAGCCCCCGTAAGCAGAGGAAGACTGCCAAGAAGACTGGCGAAGGATCCAACGGGACGACGCGCGAGTTGGGCGCCGCGAGTGCATCGGAGGATGAGGTGACGACTCGCGATGAAGAGGCGACTCCCCTGGTACCCAAGGACGCGCTCCGGTCCACGTGCTTGGCTCTACAAAAGAAGATCGCAGGCGAAAAGGGCGAGCACCGGCAAGGCCCACGGCGCAAGGCAGGATTACTGCAAGATGGCAGACTACCAGAAGCGTGTGTGGGCGGATAAATACACAGCTGCTAGGAACAGCGGCAACGACTTGGGCTAGGAGGCTTTGAGCAAGTTGACTCAATTCAAAGCGTTCAAAAACAACCCAGAAGAGCTCCAGCGTCACGAGCCTGCGCTGCTGAAAGAGTTCTACGAGGTTTACTTAGCGGACCAAGCCCTGAAAGCAGACGCACACGCGCAGACCGCTGGATCGGGTTCGTCGAAGCTATCGCAACGTGGCGGAACTGAGCACCTGGCGATCGAGCAATGCGACATCCAGGCGGCTCAGCAGCTTACCGCAGCCAGAAACCAAGCATCGCTAGCGTCAGACCAAGCTCCAGGGCCTCCAATCTCGCAGACACCCATGGCCGTGCAGGAGGAAGGTGCCCCAGCTCGGAGCCTGCAATCCCACCCTTTGCGAGGGGAGTATGCGAATTTGAACTCTCTATTTTGCAAGCACTGCAGCAGTTCAGAGAAGCTAGAGGAGGAGCAAGCGCGCTCAAGGAAATTAGAGGAGCCGTTAGCAGCCGCTGAAAACGAGCTGGCCGAACTCAGGAATTTTTATCTCCCAGACAACGATATAACTATCGCGTTGACGAAGAAGTTGCGGAATTCGATTTTACAACTAGCCGAGGAGAAGGCGATTTCAAGTGGCTTGCGCAACAAACTTGCCCATGTGGAAACTGAGTTGAATTTGTCGAAGCAATCCGTCACCACGCACGCAGACAATCTACTTAAGGCGCAGGCTAGCCATGCTAAGAAACTCCAGGATGTGCACGAAGACATGAACAACCTCACGAGAGAGGTCGACGAGCGCAAGAAAAAACTGGAGGACCGGGAGAACGAGGTGGCTACGCGAGAGAAGAATATGGAGAACAAGGAGGAAGAACTACAAGTCAAAGCAGAGGAGCTGCAATCTCATGAGGCCAAGCTCAAAGAGGAGGGCCGGCGTCTCCAGAACGTAACGCATCTCCTGCAACGGGAGTGGGAGCAGTTGGACGCGGATAAAAGAAACGAGAGAAGCCGAGACGAGAGAAGCAACAAGGAGGCCGAATATCGCTGAGGCAGGCGAAGATTTTGAATGAAATGAAGCGCCAGACCCGGCTCCTGGAAGAGCAGTTCAAGAACAACGGGTGCCCAGCTGCGTTTAAAGAGCTCGAAACCAACCGCAACCGGATTGAGGAAGAGAGGACGGCGATGCAAGCAGAACGGGATGGAGTGAGAACGCAGTCGGAATCGATGAAGGCTGCGCTAGAGGCGGTGAAAACGGAGAACAGCGGATTGCAAGAAACCATCGCGAGACGAGAGCTGCAGCTGCATACGTACAAGTATAGCGCGGTGACCGAGGAAGCTATCGAAGAGTTCACGGAATGGAACGCCGAGATCCGAAATGGTAAGCCGCTTGAGTTTCTGCTTCAGTGTGGTTTGACATTGTATTGACTTCCATTGTCTGTGGATTGGAAAAAAACTGTAGGTAACACGAGCACAATGCAGAAGAAGCGCGACTTCATTCTGGGCAAAATGAAGGAGGCGTTTGGATCGAAGACGGCGGACGCTGAAGAGTTCAAGGCGCTTGCGGTCGAGTTCTGGGAGAAAAGAAATGAGTTGGTCCACGACAAGACAGGTACCGTCATTCACTCGATGGACCACGGCAGATACGCGTGTGTATGCGCGAAGATTATGGAAGCATTGGCTGCGTTTGAGAGTGCCATCCTGCTGTAGTTGTGTGTGCTGCTGCGTAACGATGAATGAATACACATTTCCAAGCCACCGATGACTTCGAGCGAGTCAACTTTGACTCGAATACGCTTGTTTTATTGATCGCGAAGTCAATATGGACTTAACCCAAGTCGACATTGACTCAAACGTACTAGTTTCAGTAATAGCGAAGTCAACGTCGACTCTGAACGAGTCTACATTGACTCGGTCGACAGCGACCCAACGTTGACTTACAAATCCAAAAAAAATAAACTCGGTTTCAGTATGAGCCCCCAAAAGGGTTGTTTTACTTGAGTTTGTATAGACAGTATCCGAAGCGAAAAATGGCCGACTTTTCAGATGAAGAGGATCGCCAACTCGTTCAGCTCGCGGCGGTGTACGAGCAAGCGGGAAGACGAATCGACTGGGTGTCAGTGGAGAAAGACATGAGGCCGTCAACATGGAGCGCAACCAAACTGCAACAGTGAATCAAGACGCTCAAGAGACGATATGGCAATAACGTGCTGAGTTTCCCCCCGCGCTATTTCCGCCCGCCACCAGACCGAGCAGGACTGCATTTGGAAGCCAAAGCCGCGTCTCCTCTACGGTTTTCGCCTTCACCACATACCATTTCGATCCTATCACCGCAAGAAACCTACAACGCCACTGAAGGACTATTCTGCCTACTCACCAGGCGTGATGTGCGCGCGAGTGAACGTCAGCAAAATTCCGCGAAGATTACAATGGCTGGGGTGTCCATGCTGATCGAAGAAGCGAATATTCAAGTGAATGACGTGTTTCTGGATGCCGGATCCGGCGTGGGAAATGTTCTCGCTCAAATCGCTCTGCAAACGCAAGCATTTCGTGTGGTTGTTATTGAGATCGAACGTGACCTGGTCGCTAGAGGTATGGAGCTGATTGCGTCTAGGGCATCGCGCTTTCCACACTTGCTCAAGATCAACGTCGTCACCGCAGACATCCGCAATATTGCTGAAGTCAGCGATACAGTTATCAGTGCTGATCCAGACTCGAAGTTGGCTCAACCCAGCTCCCTTATCAGCTCCGCCACCCTTATATTTTGCCACGACACTGTGTTCGAAGATGATGTGGTTTTTGGCAATGCGTGCTTTGTGCATGAAGCTAACTCATCTACGTCTGGTGGCGCTGACAACACGAGGGTGTCCGCGGCATCGTAATACGTGCCGAACTTCGTTTTGCAAGCGGTGGAAGTTACTGAAAACAATTCAGGTTCCGATGACTTACAGCAGCACCCTTCGGGGTTTACACCTGTACGCAGCTGAACCAAGATGGTCGATGCAGTAACTACGATCACTACTCTAACATTGCCGCCGAGGGTCAAACCAACAACTATGTATTAATTGCATGAAAATCAATCACAACTCTGATCAACTTTGACCTGCAGTTGAGTTTGACAGCGTAATGAAGCCACTGTCGCCCCATGAGCTGTCATACGAGGTCTAGAGAACCCAATACAAGATGAAGTGTTCGTAGCGGACGAGCTTACTCGAGTCGACGTACGGCATCGTGGGCTCCGTAACCAGACCCCAGCTGACCATGAAGACTGCATGCTTCAAGCCGCCGTTGTATCTGTCGTTCTTGGAGTCTTGCCACACCCCGCTGTCCCTGTCGTGCTCTTGGCGTCCTCCCTGCCGCTTGTTTCCACCGTCATGCCTTCGGCATCGCGCTTGGACATTCGCTGTGGAGTCGACTCGCGTTAGGGTGAAGTGTCAGCACCCGCATGGTTTCAGCGGTGGGGGCACGTAGCTTAGGTGGGCGCAGATGCGCAAGATCGCCTCCTTGCTATACTGCCGGGAGTAGCCAGTGAACAGTTCGTCCTGAATGTAATACGCCTGTCGACAACAACACCACCAGCATGGGCCCCTAGATATGAACGCCAAAGCTGCCAAGACGCCGCCTTACCTTGTGGGGGTTGAAGATGGTGTCCAGCTCGCACACCTACCGAGTCCACAACATCTCTCAGCGTCAGCCTCCCTTCTGCTAAAGCTCCAGTAGCCCTGACGCCTCACGTACATTGCCGAAGTAGCGGTCGGGCTCCTCCACGAACAGTAGCGTCCAGGTCTCGATCGAAACAACTCGGCCTTCGCAGTGGCACCGGCAGAGCCGTACTCGTAGCTCCTCGACCAGCGTACCTCGCGCGTGTGAAGGCATCTATAGAAGGCAATGATACAAGGGAAAAGAAAGTTAACATTAGTGAGCGGTGCATCCTATCAACTCAGAATTTTACCATAGCGGAGAAGCGCTAATCCTTCGCGGGCACCTGGCAATCTGCGGGTGTAAATGCTTGTACGGTGGCCAATGGTGGCGTGGAAGCCCGGCACCCATGCCCATCTACCTTTCAAGGTGAGAAATCCGCAAACAGATCGCATTGGCAAAACGCTCTCGGCGGGACTTTGAAGAGTCGCAGTTACCCTAACCACCTGTATGGCTTGAACCGGCACTTTCCCCCGAGGTTTTTCTTATCCCAGCAAAATCGGGATAACGGTCGCCGGTGGGTTAAGGTCAGGTTGTGACTCCACTCACTTTAACGTGCGACAGTATACCTTGGTGCATCTGAGTGTGTGGATATGCATTCAGATATGGAAATCTCTCTTCCTCAAGTTGGAGTATTGGCCATAGATTCGATAGCCCGATAGTAATTGAGTTCATTACGTAGGAAGGAGAAGAACATGGACCCGGGCAAGAGATAAAAGCTTGTTTTGGAGAGCTGACACAAGTGGAAAGCGAGAAACCAAGTCAGCCGTAAAGCAAAATGCTACATTTTACACCAAGAGCACCAAGGGACCGAGGTTGTTTAGCTGCGGAGTGTTCCAGCAAAAAACACGGACAAGATGTCTGTGTAAGGAGTGTCGTGATAATCGACGCACCAAAGAGCAGTAGCAAGAGGGGGAAAAACATCACAGCAACACTATATACTAAGTTAGCGAGAAATGACATTTATATGGAAAATAATTAATTCCTGTTGTTCTACCACTACTAGGTTGTTGCTAGCTCACAGCCCCTACTTACCTGTTAGCGACCCTGTTCGACTGTTAGTTTTCAACAGGTTTTCAAGTTTGAGAACCTGTTGATCTGAAAACCTGTTGCGAGTGCTCTTTAACTGCAAGGCAAACACCTAGCAGTCATCAGGTTAGTGGCGAGTGCGAATACGCAATCGGCAGGGCAAACATCTCGTACTAACGCTTGAGGGTCTTCAATCTGGTGCATTCGAATATCACGCCGATAGCTGGGACTGAGAGCGTACAAGATACACCAAATAAAGTCAGCTACAAGCAACCGGAAGTAATTTAGAGAGCTGCAGCCCAAGAATACAGCGCCGCCACGATACTGTAATCTCTGGACTAACCCACTGTCCTTGCGCATCCGAACGAACCACGATCAGGCTCTCGGTTATTAGTAGAGTACCTCACGGAGGTAAACTTCGAGTCGCGTACGAACGAACCACGATCAGGTTCTTGTTCAACGCTCTCGGCTATTAGTTGAGTACCTGGCGGAGCGAAACCTCGAGTCGCGCATTCATTCCAGACTGTTGTATCTAAGATTATCTCCAAGGTTGGAAGTGAGAGCACATATCTGTGAGCAAGCATTCAAACTCCTGTTGCTATCTGTAGGCACTTCTTACACTCTTATCGTGGGTAAGGCTCGACGATGGTGCGCCGTTGAAGGATTTGACTATTTGCAGCTCATCGCTCCTAAAACGTGCTGAGAGTCGCATTGGGCCTTAGTACCTTGTCGGGCACGACATCGCGCACTTCAGGCTACGCAGTTTCCTCATTTTTCTTTTCTCCTTCAATCGGTTGGGATGGTTACGACACATCTAGACCACGAGATGGTCGACGACAGCGGTGGTTCCGCGGACAGCGACGCCCTCATCAGGAGCCCGACGCTGCGGCGAGGCTTGGATGTCCAAGACGGGCTGGCATGGGCTGGATCCAGTGGCTCAGACAACAGTGACTCTGACTCAGAATCTTCCTTTGATTTCGACGACCAAGAGGATGTTCTGATGGAAGGAGCAGACGTTGCCACGCGCCGAGTGTTCACCGTCGTTGGTGTATTTGAATCCTTCACAGACGCAATAGTAGCTATGGTGGACGAGGACGACAATGTTCACGCGTAAGAAACTCGCTACCGGACAGTCCGACTTCTTGCGCGTGTGTACTTGTGCCAGTCCCATGACGGATGTACACATCGGTTCCGAATCAAATCGACCCTCGGTGACACGGTGCCAGCCACCTTTCATCTCGAGCAGTCCGGCGAGCATGGACAGATCGCAACCGGGGCCCGCCGTCGTGGTATCCACAGGAAGAAGTGGACGCTCTTCTCAATATGGGTTGGGGCGAAATGCACCTGCGATTCATGTTAAATCACCGTTTTCGCGATCAACCTCGGATGATGCGCATCGTGCCTACAAGAAAACAACTAGAGAACCGCAAAGCTTTCCTCGTTCGACAATCTCCGGACGGGTGGGATGTGACGAGTCATGCTTCCTTCACTGCTTGGGCTAGTACTCGAGTCTGCTCGACTCGTGCGCAGTTCGAATCTGTGACGGACGCGGCCGACAGACGGATGGATGACATGCTGGTGCTTGATACCTTCACTTTTGAGGGTCAAGCCGAAGGGGAGGGGATATCATTCGGTGTGATCGTCACTTCCAGGCGCATGTTTTTAAACGTGACGAAGGCTGTGAGAGACCAAGGTGAAGAGCTCGTGTGTGCAACTGACGGCACGTACAAACTCCATTTTGGCGGGTGGACTGTTGTGGACTGTAGCTCTACAGCTGTGACTTGGGCGCGCGGGACGAGTGTTCACCGCTTCATTCCCTGGGCGTACATATTCGTCAGAAGCGAGTCTATTGCTTCGTACGAACGCATGTTTCAGGTGATTTCAGAACGGGCTCAGGCGTTCCTGGGTGTGGTAGTGAGACCTGCCTTTGGCAGTCTCGACCATTCGGAAGCTATTGCATCTGTGTTTCAGCAAGTTTGGCCTGACGTGACCCCCGGCAGGTACGCAAGAAACGATCGCTCTTCGTCAACGAGGCGACCTATGACGAGATCATTCGGCCTGGTGTTGACCTGCTGCGGTCGGCTCGAACGCACCGGCGGTTTGTTAAGATGGCTACTGTCATCACGGAAAACTGGATCGCTCACGGTGAACGCACGTACGCAGAGTGGTTCAAGGACGTGTATTTGACTGAGAGATGGAACCGTTGGCACATCAACGGTGCCGGTGTTGGTGGGATCACACCGAGCCAGCAGGGCATCGAGTCCCATCATAGTGTGATAAAGAAAACGTGTGTACCTAGCTCAAGGGCATCTACAAGCGGTGTTTTGCAGGGAATTCTTCCACGCATTCTGAGGTCCGACGGGGAATCTCTTTGTCCTGATAGTGCCGCCCACTTTTGCGAAGGCCTGATTCCCCCTGAGATGATTGCAAAGGCTATGCGACTAGTGGCGACAGAGAGCAACTACAAGCAAGTCTTCAAAGGCTGAGGCCGCAGTCACCGCTTAGTAGCGATTGTGTTTAACACGTCGAAGTTCATTATGGGGGGTCGTGGACTGCTGGGAGCTGAAGTTGACGACGAACGCGCAGAGAAATTCCTACACTCTCTAAACGGGAGATTGCCCCCCGGCATCAAGGCCAACGAAGTGGAAGCCGAGCTGCTGTCTTTGCACAGAGTGTTGGTGAAGTCACAAACACTCCCTAAGGCCTTTGAGCTAGTGCCGATTTGGTCGACTGAACGCATCCAAAGCGTACGGGGACTTCTACACTGCATGTGTGAAGCGTTCGTGCGTTCAGGATGGGTCTGTTCTCATGCCCTAGCTACTTTGTCGATCCTGGGCCTACTGAATGTGCAGGCCGCTATGGCAAGTGTACCAGTAAAGAGAACACCTGGCGCCCTCGAACTCGTCGTCCCGCTTTGGCCCGCGAAACAGATCAAGACGGTTTCTGTGATGTAGACCGGCTAATCCGGCTCTTCCTTCGACAGCCTGGCCAGCCCCTGTAGTGGCGTGTCATGGATGAGCTTGCATTGAACGAGAACTCGGAGGAGACCACATTCATCGGAGAAGTAGTAGCCCTTCGGCTCTCTGACGGTATGTACAAGTGGTCAGTGAGATTCGGGGATGGACGCCTTCTAGACTACGGAGCTGAGCAACTTGCGCGAGCGGTGAACCGCGCCCACAGTCTTCAAATCAGCGTCACGAGCTAGAGGGCTCCCATCTGCGTACATCTACCTGGTGTACAGTTTGCATTTTGCTCAACAGATTGACTGATTAGAGGCTAGACGTAGCGAGCGCTTCGGGTGTTGCGAACTAGGGACCTGCTATCCAAATAACCTAGCATGTATATTTGCTGTTTACTCTCAAGATAACTAGATGTATTGTGCTCGTGTGAGTAGATATTAACCACAGCGTTGCGTCAAAGGCGCTGCATCAGGCAAACAGGGTCGTAGCTCACACAAATTTGAGATAGGTATACTTTTACTTGATAAGCTTAAGACATGTAGCACATATCAATGCTAGAACAGGAGAATTATTTTAGTTATGGGAATAGTTGTATTAGCGTATATATTTAATTAACAAGCTGCACTTCAACATGTAACACTGCAACTCGTTGAAGTTGGCGTTCGTATGTACGTCACATCACGTTCCATAATGTGCATAAATGGAACCCGATGTACCCCTCGCAATATCATAATATATTCTTTGACAAAGGTTATTAACAGACGACAGCCGAGCAGGGTTAACGACAGGTGGACAGGGGCTGGAGAGACACAACCGCCGAAGAGTGCTAAAGTAACAGGTGATAAATATCACCCCATTTATATAGACGCAGTGGAGTATTCAGTCCACTTCGGCAGGAGGGGTGGGGGACGTCCGTATCCCATTTCACTAAATGGGGTTCGTGTCGCCTCCAAAGCAACCCGTTAACCGGGATGATGCCAGACTAGTAGAAGAATGATTGACGTGTTTTCGTTCGGCACTTAAATTGCCATTAAATAGCCTCATTTTATTTTCAAAAATGATTTCTTCGTGTTATGCCTCAGCAGCTATACGCGTTTTGATTGGCTAAAATCACGTTGTTAAAATTAAAGAATTCCCAGAGGCCTCGAAATGCAATTTCACTGTTAACCATTATTTCTGTTTGATACGGTAGTAGTAAGTGTACTACCACTACAATGCAGTATAAGTACATATTTCAGCGTGAGAGAGAGCAGCAGTGGTGAAGTGCAACATTAATTTGATCGACTTGATAGATCAGAATGACTCATCCGTAATCGATAATGAATATTAGTTTGCTTTCATTTACTGGGGACGAAGCCCCACTTATAATCATTTATCACTCCTCTTTATTTTATTTCTTACCTCTATTTACTTACCTCTCTTAACCTGAGACATAAACGGTTAGGGTTTAACAATCTTCTCTTTAGAAACGCTTCACTGCGTAAAACCTGGAGTGACCCTTGATGAGAAGGGGTCAATGCCCTTAAAGTGGCTTACAATTAAACCATCTATCGGATTCTAACTGTCGACTAGGACTAAGTGAACCTGGAACTTTAACCTGACAATTTGTATTAACATCTCACATATTTTCTTTTAAACAGCAAATTCACGTTCGAACCGCGAGAAATAGTTTTTCTTCTCTAAAACAATGGTTTTGTGATGTGTAATAATACAATGCAAATATGTTATCCATGAAATAATGGACCAAACTTTGCAAGCCGAATCAATCGTGAAACTACTTTGGATTTTCTTAACACCACTTTCATTGTTGGGCTTGATCTTGACAAAGTTTTTGCCTTGCAAAACTTTTCTTCAGTATGCCTGCATTTGTTTATCGTCGGGGTCGCCACCTCTTGAAAACTTAGAGGAATTGGATTGATACGTTAGCGGGTATGTTTCCTCAATCCCTAGATAAAAACATGGTGAGCCATTTTGTTACTAGACAACGTATCTTGAGATTCGCACTTTTTTGTACAGTGTGAATTTAAAGGTTTTAGCCATTTAAAAGGACTATCTCCGATAACAGCTACATCGTAGACAATCAAAGGCTGGTTGCAATACACTCTTTAACGCATCTAACACGGAAGTGCCATTAGGAAGCAGAGTCTAGACTATGCCTCTATGAACAGAGTGCCAACAATCACACCGAACCTATCCTGTGTAAACGGTCGTTCCACAGTCTGGAGACGCTCGGTGTACCTTGGCGTCCAGCGGATCTGCAGCTTGTTGATGACAAACCGAGTCACATCCAGGCTCGCCTGTATCCTGATAACCTACAGGATAGGTCCTGGCAGTGATGCAGGTAGCCTCCTTATACCCTGGGTTTCTCTGCTGGCTGATGCCACTTCATACGAACGGAAAGGTACACTGGTAGTACTGTACGTTGTATGATTTCTCAAGTATTTGTACTTTTATCGTTACTGGAGAGAGCGCTCGGCGCTCCTCGACATGCAGGGGTGCTACGTGTCGCCGCTACTTCGCCATTGACTCTATCAGCGACGAACACGTTTCGTTGTGGTACTGTACTGCGCAACTAGCAGCGAACCGACTCCAGGCGTCTACAGGAAGTAGGTCACAACAGCGGCGGTGACAGCGGCAACGCTGCCGGCAGCAACCGAGGCGGCGCCCGACGAGCCCGAAGCGGAGGCCGAAGCAGCCGACGAGTCCGTGGAGCCCGAGGTCGTAGCGTCCGACGAGCCCGACGAAGCGGGGGTAGCGCTAGAGCCCGACGTAGTGGTGGCAGCAGCGTCCGAGGAGCCCGAGGTCGTGCCGACGGTGGTGGAGCCCACGGCGGCGGAGCCGGCAGCGGCCGAGCCGGTCGTGGTGGCAGCAGCGTCCGTGGCAGCCGACGTAGCAGTCGAGGCGGCCGTCGAGGTGGCAGCAGCAGAGGCGGCCGTCGAGGCGGCAGCCGAAGCCGTGGTGGTGGCGTCCTGGGCGGCAGCGACGGCGATGACAAGAGCAGCAGCGAGGAAGCCGAAGACCTTCATGATAATACTTGGTGGAGTGGTGGGGGGAGTAGTAAGCTGCTCGGCAGTTGCTGGGTAAAAGTGAGAATGAGAGAACGTTAGCCGGCCGAGTTCGAGCTGGAGCTGAAGCGGAGCCCAGGTGCAAGGTGGCGCCTCGACCGCATGGCGCGCCTAGAGCGTTGCGACGGCACGGCCTTCAAGGAAGGTACGAGACAGCAGAAGATCGAGCGTTCCCGCATCCATTGTCGCCATGATGGTTGTGGCGTCGAGACTCCAGCTGGCCGCGACAACGCATACATACTGAGACCAAGTGTGCAAGAGTGATGGTCAGCTTCAAGTTGGACCTGTTTTACATGTATTTGATCTCACGTTGACGTACCGTACCGTCAAGCAGTGCGGTGCGGTGCCGGGATAGCGGCTCTCGGTGTCGAACGCCTCGAGAAGGACAGCATTATTGTGGACACCCACCCACCCATTGGCGACACTTTCGAGCCCTGCAGTATCAGTTGGGACCTCATGAAGCTCCTATATTACAGCACCGCATGGCATGGCACCAGAATGGCCGCGCCCCTGGTTCAGAGAGCGAGCCTGGGCGTCCTGTTGTCGAGGCGCCCTATATGCTAGGTATGCTGCGCACAAATCGTGCGGAGGTTTTAAGCGTGTGTGCGGCGTGTTGCCCACCGGCTGGCGGCGTCCATCCACAGCTCCATGCGGCACGTGGGCACGGGCCTCGACAGACGATGCTTGGCGCATCGCAACGCATGGCTAATTTCTCGTGGCGGGGCACACTGTGCTGTAGGATACAGCACAGTGCTCGACTGGACAAGCTCAAGGTCTCTCTCAACTTGTGACAGCTTTTCATCAGGTCCAAGTGCTGCCCTTGCTGCCGGAGCTTTGAAAGGCGTGCCGAACTGAGTCACTCGTGGCGGCACGTCAGTGCAAGCGCGTTCCTGCCGCAGTCTCTGCACGGTGCATGCGTAGTGCAAGCGGCCAGCCTGGCCAAAGCGTATCCGTGCGTTCAAAACACACAAAATCATCCGCTTTAACGCAATGAATGCCCTACTGTATCAATTCAAGCACACCGTCGTCGTAGGCCTCATGATTATCATCCAACCTCCGGGTTTTTAGTACATGTGCACCGAGTAAGAGGCCAACTTAGTCACCACGTTCCGAGAAATCTTTGGCCATCTTGTCTGCATTTGCAATTCGGATCTTCTGATATCGATCGGGAACAAAAAACACAAAAAGTAGCCAGCTCCAAAGACGATCAAACACGGAAATCGTGCGTCGAGATTAGCGATTACATGAACTGCAGCCCTACAACCGACCGTCTTCAAGCTCGGAACTGCCTAGGAACATGAGGAAAATCCATCAAAATGCAACCACGCGAGCTCCGCTTGTGTCTTGTCTTGTCGTGGCGATCATGCGTGCGTATCTTCCTCATCAGAGCATCGCAAACGCGAGTCCCATCAGCACCGCCACGCCCAGCGCGTTAGTCGTCGCGAGCGTTCGGGCGCCCGAGTCCTCGGACGGGTTCGGCTCGCTCGACTGGGACCGCGACGAGTCCGACGTCTTCCGGGGCTTCCTGGTCACGGGGGTCTCGATGTCGCTGCCGCTGCCGCTGCCAAAGCTGCCACTGCCACTGCCGCTGACGTCGGTCATCGGAGCGGGGTTACCGGCCCAAGTCGGACCCGCTGCCGGTGCCGGGGCGACCGCAGGGGAAGCGGGGTTAACAGGAGCAGCACCAGCCGCCGGTGGGGCGTTCGTGGTGCTTGGCGGGGCAGTAGCAGTAGGCGGAGAGGTGGTGGAGGCAGCGGGGTCTGAAGTCACGCTGCCGGCTTGTCCCCCGGTGTTGGTCGCGTCTTGGGCAGCAGCAACCGCGAGCACGCATACTAGCAGAATCGAAAAGATGCTTAACTTCGCCATTGTTCGAAGCAGGAGAGTAGCGAGGAGGGAGGAGGGTGGACGTTGAGCTGAGCTGAGCTAGGCAAATGCGGATATGGAGGAAGGTGGCATGTAGTGCACTTGATAGAAGTCGTCCGTAGGCATCGATGAGCCAAAAACGGTTAGAGTGATTGTAAGAAGCTGCCCGCCGCCGCGTCCCAGTCCTTGGCTTCTTTCTGAGCGAGCCAAACCATCTTTCACAGTTGACAACTCGCGACCTTCTCGTAGAGAACAAGCTCGAGAGGAGCTGACTGTCCCCCGTTGCAGCGTGGGCATCTGACTGGAAGGGATAAAGGTCGTCCTGGTGGCCAGATGCAGCAAGGCTTTAGCTTCGGGATGGCGAACTCCGACCGAAGCGATCGTGTCTTTCGCAGCAAGTCGCAAGACCAACACAATGAATCAAAACTCGGAGAAAGACACCCGGAACTGCTTGTGGGTCTGTACGACATGGACGACATCCAGTTGCGAGATACTGTTGAGGGCGACGGTATTCGGCAAGTGCTGATGGAGTCATCTCGCCACCGAGCAGGCAGGGAGTTCCCGCGCCGATACACCGAGCCTGTGAAGGTGAGAGACCGAGCTCCAGGACTTATCGTCGAGCAGACCGAAGACTTCCGGGCAGTGACTGCGAATGGTCTCAAGTACGAGAAAGCAGTTGAGGAGGAGCACGACAGCACGGAACAAGACTCGAATTCGAGCTCGTCATCGATGTTGCAGTGGGTGGGCACGCTCGTGATAGGGATTTCCATGTTGCTCACGTGGCCAATTGGCCTTGCCTACATGCGTGGCTGATCACGTTGAGCACCAATGTTAACTACCGGCACCAGCGTAGCACTGCGATCTAGCAATAACTACCCGAACAATGTCAATATATGTAGTGAGTTTAGTAATGTGCCTCGTATTCGAAGATGCTCGTTCTTTCAATCAATAGCAGCAATATCGGGTGTGGCTGCAAAACTCCTCGTATCAATGCAGCAAATGACATGTACCCCCCCACCACCACCACCAGTAAGTAGAATATGGTCTATAATGACGACGCCGATACGAAGAACTTTCAGAAGTTGCGACAGGGCTTAAAGAGCCAATCGATACAATGGGCTCACTCTGCAAAACGCCAAGAACAATGAAGCTGTCGTGCGTTATATTGGGGCGCAAAGTGACCAGATTCTCAGTGGAGGCTGGTCTCGATACCAACGTGGGTTAACTACGGCAAAGTATCGCTCTACTTCACGAGTGGATGCACCTCTGAACCAGTTGACGCTTTACTGGGTGCGTGACGTGTATCTCTCGCGGGATAAGTTCCATGTTGGCTGGGATTATTTTCTGCGAGAGGCAATCGACTGCGGCGCTGTGGAGGAAATGCAGGATTCCGCGACTGTGCGGTCCTTCGATCCAATTTCGCGCCACGACACGTTCTGGTAGCACTGGAGCCACTGGGAGTTGGGTCAAGACTGAAGTGCCAACAGCTCGTCCACAAGAAAACATTGGTCTGAGGGAGCTGTGGAGGTACTCGGGGCTGATATCGACACAGCCTCCTCCCGATGGAACGCTGTCTAAGGTTTTTCAACGGCGGCTGTCGTTCCGCGTCCGCATTCAAGACGAGCAAATTGCGGACGTGATTTTCGCCAAGAACGGGCTGGAACTTCGCTGCGATGACTTGTCGTCGCTGATCGACGTCCTTATCATGAGTAGAGAAGCTTATGAGCGTGGAGACGCAACGAGACACCCGTCCCGAGGCAGCAACGACAAATTCTTTGGTTTCACGGAGCAGATCTGCCAAGCCAATGGGTTTCAACTAAGGCTTCGGTGGGGTTTTATCGACTCCAAGAGGACACAGCACAGGTGCATACATGGCTCCGCAATATTCTTGTTGGCGCAGTGGCACGGGAGTGGCTACTGCCACGGACGGATTTGTTGGGAAAACATGGTGGGCAACCCGTTGTATTCGAGCTGGACGCTCGTGAACATGCAGACGTCCCGAAAGTCGAATTTACCGAAACATACGGTTGTCACCATGACCTGGTGCAATTGGGCAGGTTGATGGACGAGCTCCACAAAACGAAGTTTGCCTTGACAGACAAATTGCTGTGGATCCGGGACAAACTTCTCTCCGCTCGCATCGAGTCTCAAGCAGTGACCGCCGAAAAAGTGCTTGCGATGCTCCGTCGACTGCAGAAAAGCCCAGCGGAAAACCTACACGAGGTTGTGTCAGCGGTTTTGGCAGCTTGTGCCAACCCTGAAACGACCCCTGAGCTTGTGCTTGAGATGCTGCGCGATTTCATGCCGCTCAGTTGTGCACTGTGAAGATGCAACGCCGACAAGAACGTTAGGAGCTCAGCATATTTGGATGGAGTACTTGTGATACGGTAATTACATTGTCCTTGGCTACAAGCATCATTGCGTTGGCTACGATTAAAGCAGGAATCCGTGGACTACTTGAACCACGAGGGTTTGCCCAGAGCAGCCGCCTTGACTACCAGTCGTAGTGTGCTCGACGGTAACCTTACGCAAGGCTTCCAAGAAGCGTCCAAGTTCACGCGCGACCCGCTTACGGCTCACAAAGTGTAGGACCAGGCTGTCTGGATTCGGTCCAAACACGATCACGTCGAGGATTTTGCTGCACAGTTCGCTTTGGTCACGACGGTGAGCAAAGTGCACAATGTCGTACACTTTGTCGTGCAGGTCGACAAACTCCGACAAGTCCTTCTCAACTCGACGGCTTCGTGCTCGAGGCTTATCGCCATCTTGGGGGGTCGAAGTGGAATTTGGCCGGTCCTCGGCACACACGTCGACCACATATCGGTCCTTCTCGGCCGCGTGCGAAACTTGGATTGCGCTGATTTTCTTGAGCCCTTGAAGTGCCTCCTGTCGAGCGGATACAACGGCGGGCAGATGCATCACAGGAGTCAGTTGCCGGAGCTTCGAGCCCATTTTCTCGGATAGATATGGCGACGTGGCTTCTTCGTGGTCAAAGTGGCGTAAGCTAGTAAAACTTGGTCGGTCCTTGGTTGATATTTGAACTATGAACCTCGTATCTCGATCCTGTGTGGCTGGCATCAGCATTTTCATGTGTTCATCCTACCACGATAAGATGTCTGCAGATGGCTGCACTGGTACTGTACTATATAGTACATCATCGCTGTCTCTGAGGGTGTCTAGGGGTACTCTTGTTGCTCTTATATGGGATGGTTGGGCGGATGTTGAGCGGACGACGAGCGGACAAGACGAACATTCTCGATGCTCATTCTGGGACAAGACGACAAAAGAAACATGAGCGTTGCTTTCTTTGGGGACGGGGACTCATACTCGTCACCTGCAGTAGCTACGCGGAACCACCGCCGCGCGCCAAATAAAGCTGTCGCTGCGACAGACGCAGTCACACCGGCGTCAATGACTCCTCTGCTCTCCAGCATCGATCGCATCAACGCTGCTCTGGAAGCTGCACTGACACAGCCTCCACCGCCGACCGGGACATTGCGTGTGTGCCACGCAACGGAAGACGAGTGGAACGCGTTTGCTGACAGCGAGGATCCAATCGTTCGACTCAATTATCTTGAGTGGTTTCCTGACACGGAAGAGATTCACATCATCGAGTTTGCCGACGCTCCCCACGAAGATTACGTTGAGGAGCTAAACGATCAATTTCGTAAGCGGCATGTCAAGAGATGGCTGAAAGGCCACATGGCCGCCAAGAATTCTCAAGGGCGACGATGGTGTCCAGATCTCAGTTATGGGCCACACGAAGACACACCGCACTCCGTGCTTCCGCCAAACATTCCAATTTTTGCAGACTTTCGGACGATCAAGGTTGACATTGGAGTTTCTCAGCAGTGGGGCATGGCACCAGGAGAGCTCGACCACAAGGCGATGGCGATATGGGCTGTGATGCCAGGAGTTGAGTACGTGCTGTGTGTGAAATTCGAGCCCGACTTTACGAATGCGGAATACAAGTTGTATGATGCTCGCGTCAATCCACTCGTGCAGCTGGCTCCACTCCCAATCGTCGCTCCAAGAACCGTGATCCAGTTGGACGGACGTCGAATCCTTGGTATTCCACCAGGGATGGCGCTCCCGGTAGGGTTTCCTGCAACTCTGTTGGTGGATTTGTACTCTCCATTGGTCTGTGCAATGCGTCAATAGACGTCCAGCAATCTAATCTCTTGCGCAGCAACTGCCGAGTCAGAATAATAATCTGTGATTGCACCATTTAAAAAAAAGGCAAGAACACATTGTGATCCTGAATGAGCGAAAATACGGAGGTTCAAATGGTGGCCACCTCGATTCTCGTTATCAGAAGCGACGATATCAGTTATGGAACACATCAGTTGTTATGAATTCAGATAAATGACGGCCAAGTGTCCATGTCCAGCTCCAAAAAAATTCCATTTTTACTTTTACACTATTTTTTACTACCCCCTCCTACCCCCCTTTCTTTATAATATTTTCTATAAGAATACAGAAAAAAGCTGGACACCTGGACACTAATAACATACATTGATCTAGAACTGATATAGTCGCTTCTGATCAAAAGAAAGCTGGCCACCAAAGCTGGACACACGTGGCCACTCACCTGGACAGCAACTTAATGCTCGACATCTCAGCGCAACCAGACGATGCAACACCCCCTGTTTTCAACCAAGGATACAAAAAAATACACACCTGGACACACTTCCGCTAAAGTGATGGGTTCATAGATTGTAATACTGCGACATCATAAAAAAATTATGATCTTAAGCGAAGAATATATAGAATATAAAAAACATAACCTTAGTAATATAACAAAGTAATATAGCAACAACGATGTGCAACTTCATCAAAGCCAACGGAGAACAGTGCAAGCTTGCTCGCAACAAAGATCGATGCGGGAAACATCAGATTATTGCAGTTGAACAAAATAATCTTGAGATCAGTATAGTAGAAGAAATGTCGCCACAAGTCAATACTCCAGTCATTGCCGAAGTTGTTGATACACCAGCGCCATCGGTAATCAAGCCCGTCGAGGTCTCGAATGTCGAAGTATGTAAAGTTCCAGAATTGGATCAGTCGATTGTCGAACCGGTGATCGCGGAAGGGGTGGTATATAAAGAGGATCAAAGTTCGGATTTGGAATTAAATAATTCGATTGATGAGGATGAGTTCTTCTTTGAGAATTATATTGAAACAGAACGTTTCATTCAGTATGATGTGAAGGAAAATTCGCTAGATGCCACGGCAATCATTGGTGCTTTCGACGAATACTTCAATAGTAAAGGCCTGGATATCGCTGATTCAGAAAAGACAGACAGAAGGGCATTTTTAGATGGATATCGCTATTGCTTTTATATCCAGCAAGGCAGTAAGACATTGGTTCATTATTATTGCAAGAGCCAACAAATGATGACGAACATTCCAATCATGCTTGATGAAGTTAATGTCGCCGAGTATTGCGTGCAATATGGACTCTATGATTCCCGCCTCTACAAACTTTGTTGTATGATGAAGCGATCGTGGTTCAGTGATAATAACAATACTTGGAACTTGGCTGGTATGCTATATCGCAAGCAACATGTCGAACTTGGATTGATGCGGAAGACATATCTGTGTATTTTGCATTCCATGACCAATCGATTTGATCAAGCTGCTGCGTTAAAAGTATTCAATGATTGGGAAACATCCAAATATCATCCGAAGCTATCTGAGTCTCAAATCAAATCCATTGCTGGTGGAACTGATCCAGAAGGATACAAGCAATGGAAATCAGAGTATGAGCCAAAGGAACTCAAAGAAAAGAAAGGCAAAGACGAAGACAAAACAAAACAAGATGACTTGACTGTTCCTTATTATCCTAAGTTTAATATCTACTACGAAAAGGGAGAATTGCCGCCAATCTTCGATTGTAAGAACACAGAAACGTATCTTGATGTTATTAGTCTGAAGAAAGAAGCCATCACAATGGAAAGACTCTACAAGTTTATCAAAAACAACATTGCTTACATTTTGCAAGGGGGGAACGGATACTACTTGACTAAGAATCGAGATGCTTTCGGAGACATCGATTACACAGTTATCCCCCGTATCAATCAATTCGATATGATGTTCAATATCAACAATGCGATCGAATTAGATGATAATGGACTTATTGAGACTGATAACACAGAATTTGACACCGATAGCATCATTACTTTGCCGCTGTCTGACGTGATTCACCATTATAGAGATGATATCACGTTTGGTAAAGTTGATTTTATGCCGTACAACGCGAAGACAGGTGCTTGCGATACTAAGTTGAATCAGTTCAACTGGAACTCCAATGAAGTATTTAACAAATTCAACGGATTCGTTCATACCTACGATCCTAACTTTATTGTCGATCAATCAAAGTTTAAACTCTTTGAAGATCATATCAAACACATTTGGTGTGGAGGTCGTGATGATTTGACTAATCACATCATGAAGTTATTTGCTTGGTATGTTCAACGTCCGTATGAAAAGTCAGGAGCTTGTGTCGTTCTTGAGGGGGAGGAAGGTTGCGGTAAGAATATTGCGTTTGAGATTCTGAAAAATCATGTCATTGGGACTCGCTACTGTCTTGAGACGCCAAAGATGAAAATTCTGACTGGTCGCTTCAACTCGGCACGCGAGCATAAGATATTGACCGTTTTGAACGAAGCAGCCAATGTCAAGCAATCCTCACATGAAGACCAAGACGAACTTAAAGACTGCATCACCGAGCCGACTTGTATGATTGAGAAAAAAGGCATCGACCCTTATCGAGTCAAGGACTGTAATAATCTCTTTATTGCATCCAACAATTCGTACAGCGTGAAAGCGTCAAAACAAATGCGTCGATTTCTCTATTTGCTGTGTAGAAGTGATCGTCTCGGCGATAAAGCATACTTCAAGGCGATGATTGACGAGTTTGATAATACTGATAGTGGTATTCATTTGTATCATTATCTTATGAATATGGACTTAAATGGATTCCATCCTCAGAACGACGCGCCAATGACCAAAGAAAAGTCTGATATGCAGAAGTCGGCTATTGAGAAGCCTGTACAATGGTTTATCGAATGTGTGGCCAATGGGACCAGCAACAGCATTTTCCAGGAAAGCCAGCATAACAAAACGCCTGATACGTCAGAATTTGTATCGATTGATGACATGCTATCAAAATTCACTAAATGGATGATTGAAGAGGCCAAGGATGCATCGTTATACACGCGAGATCGATTCGCAAAGACGATATCTAAAGCCCTAGGGCCTAACTACAAGAAACAAGTCCATAAAGTTCGTCAAAGAGGCTATGATCTATCGGTTAATGGTCTCAAAGAAACGATTATCAAATACACTCGTCGGACTGATTTGTTTGATGATGATGATTAGTCATATGCGCAAAGGCAAAAAAAACGATTGAGTTAATGCCAAACCTACTGGGTTGATTGAGCTTCCATCCATCTAATATGCTTTTGAGATTTGAAGTGATATGTTCTGCCTCTATATTGGTAATGACCACCGCATTCACAGGTAATCTTCGCGACAAGTCTCTCCTTGTTGAGTTCATTGTATGTCTTGTTTCTCTCATTAAGCACTTCTTTGTTGGCTTCCCAGTATTTCTTTGTATTTACTTTTTGCTTTTGCTTTTTCAGCAGTCCAAATGGAGGTACCTTATTCACACAAGTTTTCTTGAATTTGTTGATCCATAACGTTTCGTAGGCGCGCAGCTGATTTCTATCAGCAACCTCATACTGCTTGATCAACATAATCTTAAACTCATACGGACCATACTTTCGGAAGTATGGATAAATTGCAATTTCACCGGATGGTTTCCCGTCATCCCAACGCTTAAACTGAGACCGATGTCCAATCATACGATGCTTGAGTTGATTAAACGTGCTACCAACGTAGCAAATGTCGCTTTGACTACAGACGATTTTATAAACTGAACCGATCATGACTGACTATTGTTATACTATATTTTATAGCATTTATATTTCAAGATCAAACATAACTAAAGTCATCCAAGTCGAAAACTGCCACTTGCGGCAATTCCTCTGCGACGACGAGTCATGGGAGGAGCCATTCCCACACCGCTCACATCCTTCACCAAACCACGCAATGGAGCAGCTTCAGGTCCGGCCGCGGTAGCAATACCATCCAAAAGTCCGGAAGTGATCGGCTTCCAATTTGTTTTGAGAAAGTTCCAAGCAGCGCTAGCACCTTTCTTGATACCACTCCAAAGATTACCCCAGAAGCCAGAGCCACTAAGCCCTGATTGATGTGTTCGTAGAACTTCCCCGTGAGACATATGTAATGTTGTCCCTTTGCCCGCTTCGTATGCCTTTACCAACTTCTTGTAGTTTTCAGGATGGAAATAATGTGTGTGGCCTCTGTTCAATTGAGAATGACTCAAGCGAACGGGTTTGCCATGTAGGACTTTAACAGCCTGCGCGTGGCTCAAATCGACAGCAAATTCCTTGTACATCTAAATTGAATATCGGTGCTACTTATATACAGAGCGAGAGACAAAAATGTCGAAGGTTAATAAATCTAAAACACTCAGTCTGGATGAAATTAAAAATAATATTACTCGTGATATCAGAATGGGAAGCGAGTATGATAATTTGTCAGACACTACGGTAAATCTATACACCAGACAACTGATCAAGCTTTACAAGGCCGGCGTTGCGAAACAGCAATGGTCCCCAAATGAGTTCATCTCCAATATCCAGTATCCAAACAAATACGACGATGCTTCGTTTCAAAAGACTTTTAAGGTTCAGAACTCGAGTATCATTGCGCTTCTGATGAGCATCTATACAAGTAAAGAGAGTCTCATACTAACACTGAACGCCATGTGTAAAATGGTCAAGAACAGATTTCGTGATGCATTCGGATATTACAATGCGATTCGAAAGGAACTCAGTAAGCAAAACAAAGCTGCAAAGCTGGACAACGAACTAACGCCAGAAGAAGAGAAGAAGTACATAAGCTATGAAGAGCTGATGTCCGTTCCTGGTAAAGCCCATAAGGTGCTCACCGAAACGTACGGCAAAGTATTTCTATCTCGATCCGAGTTTGAGGAGCTGGCTAAAGCTAAGAGGACTGAGTACTTAAAGATTGTGTTTGATTACATCACACTATGGTTGAACGTGCATTATCCACTTCGTTTAGTATGGCCGAGCGTTCTTCTCACTCCAGAAGAAGGTGCAAACTATCTCGAAGGGAACATATTACACCTAAACGATTTTAAAAATGTTCGTCTGATGGGACCACAAACGATTCAATTGGATAGTACAACGATGAACTTGATTAAGTCATATCTCGAATTCTTGACTAATACAGTTGGAGAGCATCCTACTAAACTACTATGGCGGATTTTCAATCGACAGCCAGGTGAGTACGATTACACAAATTCAAGCAATAGCTTTAGTCAAGTGCTATCGAAGCTCTTCATGAAGTACAATGGAAAGCCAATGTCAATGAATATGATCCGGCACATTGCTGAGTCTCATTTGATCCAATCGCCAGCGTACGCTAAACTTACCAATCGCGAGAAGAACGATCTGCATTCCAAACTACTTCACAGCACTATGGCAGCTAACACGAGCTACAACAAGATTGCCAACCGAGCAAATGCTTCCGAAGTATCATTTGAACCTGACGATTCATACGATCACGCACCTGAGCCTCCTGCAAAGCCCACTGCACCTCCTCCTACAAAGCCTCCTGCAAAACCCACTGCAATGCCCGTAAGCAGACCTAAAGACCGTCGGGAGCGCATATTCCATGGTGCCTTCACACCTACTGGTAGCGACAAAACGCTTGAGATTGACATCTTTGAGAAATAATTTATTTGATATAACATACATAGCGATCATGGAGCAAAAACAAAAGAGAACATATCGCAAAGCTGGTCCATTCCATGTGGAATTCCATGGACTTCAAGCTTGCTTAAGAAGCGACAAATCCAGAGTAAATATCAAAACAATGCTGGTATCTCATGCGTTTGTAGATCTATGGTGGCTGATTAGAGAAGATAGGCAATACGATAAGGCGTTGTTTGACCAACTCGACGAGCATGAGCGAGATTTCATGCGGTATTGCCTAAATAAATGTAAGATTACTTCAAGGCAGTTTGATAGTTCATACAATCAACTTCTCGATGGATTAGTAAAACGCTTGAAGATGCTTGAAGGAGCAAAAAACATTGGCGATGATTCTCTACTGATAAAAACGGAAATGAAGTCAATCCTTGACAAATTATACAAAAAAAATGTCTTTTCGGCATCTTACTACAGCCAATTCAAGCGTCTGATGAAGCTTTAGATCTCTTAGACTCGCGTTTGAAGTTAAGCAACTTTGAGGTATCGATATAACGAGGTTTCTTCTTCGTTTTTTGTTCCTTAGCAAGATGACTAACACTGATCTTCTGAAGCTGATTGGACAATGTTTCAATATTTGTCGAGCCGTAGTCATTTCTGGATGGAGCTACAGGTTTCGAGTGATCTACCTCGCCCGATCCATCGATCTCCATTGCCTGAGGCATTAATTGTCGTCGAATTCTCTTTCGTCGATGCATTTTTCTTTCTTTTGGATAGTATATACAAGTAGATAAAATGAGCTTTCCAATTCTGTTAAATCTAAACAACCAAGTGGCTACTCACCAGTTCCGATATCGATTCTCGCAGCCTATCGACTTCAGTCAGTACGAAATTGCACTAGGATCAATATCCATCTACTACTCCTGGCGAGCAATTACTGCTCAGCGTCAAAACAACTCATTTAAGATCATATGGCCAACTGCTTCTACTACGACGACATACACGATTACGCTCCCTGATGGCACATACTCGGCAAGCGACATCAATAACTACCTCCAATATTGGTCAATCCAAAACAATCTCTATTTGACCAACAATACGACTGGAACAAACTACTATTTCATTTCATGCGCTGAGAACCCATCGAGTTATGCCTTGCAGTTTAGTATGCAACCAGTCAAGAATATCACAGGATACACTGCTGCTAGCGGATTTCCAACGATGCCAGCTACTGCATACACGCCTCAGCTCCAAGTAGATAATTCTGCGTTCGGTTCTATCATTGGATTCAGCCCAGCTACATATCCTGCCGCTCAAACAACTAGTGTTTATGCAGTTAATAGCAACTTGGTGCCTCAGATAGATCCGACAGCTGCTGTCGTGATCACTTGTTCAAATCTTTACAATCCAATTGCAAACAATAATCAAGTACTACACACATTTACGTCTGCTGGGGTTGAGTATGGGGGACTCATAACCACCTCACAGGGACAAGGATTAGCCTACTGCCCAATGCAGGGTACTAATTCGGAATTGACTTTGTCATTTCTAGATCAGAACATGATCCCGCTTGGTATCATTGATAACAACGTATGTATTCGTTTGTTGATTCGACCAAAAAAAGGTAGTAGTGAATAATTTCACTGACTAATGTACTAACTTCTTTTTTTTTACAAGTCGCAAACATACTCGATGACATTGCGATATATTTTTCTATCAGTGATATCCATTAGCATGGTAGTCATCTTCTCTGATGTTGTGCGTTTGTAAAGATCAATAAATGTTTTGATCGGAATATCAGTGGGGAAGTCGCGACAGATAATACCAAGGTCGCGGCTCGTTAAATTTCTCCCAAGAATTACGTACTGAGAGTTGATTCTAATGGTCTTTGGTATTCCAAAGTAGCTCTGGCTGATGTAGATCATGCTCCAAGCGGCCTTCCTTCCCCTTATGAAGTATTGTCCAATTTGAGCTTGAGTTTTCTTTGGTTCTAACACGAGGTCATCAAAGATAATCAATTTGCTCGTTTCAGAGTCGTATTCGCTCATTGCTGGGACCATTCCTTCTTCGATCACCTGGACATTGTCGATAGTATCTTTTAGGTGATCATACAGCGTCTCATTGGTCTTTGTACAAATGATTATTCGTGTAAAGCATTTGCTAAGAAGCGCAATGATGTAAAGAACAGTGTTCGACTTCCCTGATCCACTTGGACTCGCGACAACCATTCTAAAGGGCAGCTCAAAGTGAGGATTCTTGGGGAATCGCTTGAGCTTGGTCTTTGGAATTGACTCGTAGAAGTTTTGCATCTTATAGTATAGTGATCAAAAATGTCTCTGCCTCCAACAATCAATTCTCCTTTATTCAATAGCTCTTACTTTAACTCATCCGATGGCTACCTTACTTTAACTACAGGCGATCGAAGATACTTGCGGCTTGGTGGTGTTGGAACGTTATCTGCATTGAGCGTGATCGGCAATCTTGATTGCGGTTCTCTGACGATTGGTGGAGCTGCGTTAGACTTGAGCGGATTATCATATGTTTCAGGTATAACTGCTGGAACCGCTCAAGCTTCAAAGGCTCTGGTATTAGATTCTGGTAAGGCTATCACGGGTATCACCTCTATTTCATCTACAAGTATTACTGGAACACTCACTGCTGGGGGACAACCAAATATTACATCGCTTGGGACTCTAACTAGTATCCTTTCTGTTTCGACAACTGCAAATAATGGAGTATCAATCTCGAATAGTTCTGCTGCTGCCCAAGCCAATATAAAATTTACAAGCAATCTTTATGCTGGGGAAATTGGAGTACGAGGTAGTTCAGCAAGCAATCCTAATACGATGTATTTCTATCATAACGGAGCTTTTCGAATGTTCATCGATTCAACTGGAAACGTCGGCATTGGAACTCTACCATCTTATCAATTGGATTTAGGTGGGTCTGGAACTGGAATTAACACTGGATCGCTAAGATTCAATGGAACTACTTTTGATCAATCATTGTACTTGTCGATTACTCAAGGTGCCGCCAGTGCAAGCAAAGCGCTTGTTCTTGATTCAAGCAGCAATATTAGCGGTATTAATAACCTATCAGCTACAAGTATTACCGGAACAATTCAAACAGCTGCTCAGCCAAACATTTCGTCGATTGGAAGTTTGGCAACTCTTACAGTCAATGCTATACAAAACGCTAATTTAGCAAATTCTGTACTAATCAATGCCAATGCAAATACGTGGGGAATTCAAGTTGCAAATGGAACAGTTCGATGCGGACTTGCAACTAATGGTTGGATTGGAACACAGTCGAATCATAATACTGTTATTGCAACTAACAACACGGCCAGAATGACTATCTCGTCAAGTGGGAATATTACCGTTGCTGATACCATTTCTGGATTACAATTAGATCTAGGTTCAACTGGAACGGGTCTAAATGTGCCAAACTTAACATTTAGAGGAACTACATTCCCCGATACTTACTACACTGGCATTACTCTAGGTTCAGCTTCACCTTCAAAGGCACTGGTATTAAATTCAACGTTAGATTTGTCTGGGATCAATAATCTTTCAATTAGTGGGGCCTTTATAGCTTCTACATCAATGGCATCACCAACTCTAACGGTTGATACGATCAATACGTCCGCTGGTCTCAACATCAACTACACGAATTTGAATCTAAATGGAGCGGCATTGACATCAACTGCTGCTAAACTCAATTACAACGATATTACAACTCTTGGGGCGTTTCAGGTATCTAAAACAATGACATTGGATAGTTCTGGTGTAGGCTTGATGCCTTTGGGCACGTCGAGTACAAATTGTTTGCGTTTTTACGGAAATACAGCTAATCGTGAAACGATGAACATTTATCGAGTATCTGATACAAATGGATTGGTCATTGCATCGAGAACAACATCAACATCAAACAACAAAACGTATCCGGTGTTGAATTTAATATCAACTGATAATCCTAGCTCATTCGTAGGCGGTGTTTCAGCTACAAGTGCGGATTTATTCAATATCAATTGGAATGACAAGCCATCCGTGGGTTTCACATCTCAGACGCATCGATTTTGTTTCAATGTTGGAAATTCACAGCCTTACAAAAGTGGTTTCCCTCATACATACACCCTTGCTACCTCAGCGGATGCTTTTTGTATAAATCCTTCCGGATCGTCGCCTACACCAACAAGTGGTTGTCTTTACCTTGTTTCTGATACTGTTAATAAAATGATATTTAACACCAATACGCCATACACTAGTTCATTTGGGACTGCTCCTCTCACACTAAACTCTGGTAATGTCTATATTAAAGCATCTAATGCACTCAATGATGGAACTGCTAACTACGATATGCCGATCTTCATGGAATCATCAAATGCAACGCCCATTGGTTTTGGATTACAAATGAACAATGCAACGAGTGCGACCTCGACTAATAGCGCATACTTTGGAACTACTACTGGCAACGATTTGGTTATGATGACTGCAAACACACGAAGACTTACAATAACTTCGACTGGCAGAGTTGGTATCGGAACTGGGTCTCCCTCAGCGTTTTTGCACGTATCAGGATCAAATTCATACACAGTTGGTGTCGGTGGAACATCAAATTGTTATCAGTACAACGTGCAAGGAAATATTTGGAGCAATCTTGGTTTAGGCCCAGTCAGTATTACAGTGTCTGCCATCTTTTCATCTTCAATATTTTGCTCGCAATCTATTTACACAAGCTCTGACAGACGACTTAAAGAGAATATTACGCCGATCTCAATTACATTGGAGCATTATGATAAGTTAGAGCCAGTTATCTACTCATGGAAAGGAGAAAGCAAGCCTAAGCTTGGTCTGATCGCACAAGACGCAATGAAAGTGTGTGGAGAAATGGTCAGCATTATGCCAAACGAAAATATGAAAGCAGAAGGCGACAACGATCTGGAAGGATATCAATATACTCTGGATTACTCTCAACTTGGCGCCTTAAATGCTGCTGCCATCAAACTTCTTATAAAAAAAGTGAATGAGTTAGAAAAAAAATTACTTGAACAACGTTCAGTTTAAATAAAGATTCCATCAAGCCAGCCTTTTAGTTCCTCTTTGTATTGCTTCATAGCAAGCTTCGACATTTTGTGCTTTCTTGGCGGCTTAGGAGCATTGTCTTCAAAATAGGCTTTGCCCTTGCGCGCCTCAATAGCTTCTCCAAATCTTTGTCGGATACTTTCGTACAGGTTATTTGCATATGAACTTTTGTAGCTGTTGATGTCGTCAGTATATACTTTTTTTATACCAGCATTCAGCCCGCGTAATCTCTTCTCTTCTTTTATTTCTTCGTCATCACTGCTCTCTGCATCATCCGAGTCTTGAAAAAGTTGTCGAGTAATCGAGGGTTCCTCCTCAGCTCGTTTAGCAGCTTTTTTTGTTGCTCGTTTGTCTGTGGGAGATTTATTTGGGGGAGTTGCAGTTCGTTTTCGTTTCAGAAGTTTTTCCGATTCTTCCATGACTTTCTCAGCAAACTTACTAGCCATTTCTTGGCGTCTCCGGTTAGAATCCTCTCGTCGGAACTCTCTTTGTTTGTTAAGATAATTTCGAACATGATCATCTACCACCTGTCTCAAAGTCTTTTTTCCCTTAATGTATGCTCGCGTATTGATAACCTTTTGGGCAACGTTATTTACTCCTCTGTAGAAATCGTCGGATGAATCTTCAGGTGCAGTGGGCTCGTCCATATTAAAGTCTGCGTCAGTTGATTGCGGAACGTACGTATGCTTCTTTGTACTCGCTTTTGGAGTTTCATGTGCTTCACCTTTGATGATTTCAGGAGGCCCTTTGGGACCTTTGAGTAGTTTCTTTGTGATTTGATCATAGTCGTACTCACGATTCTTCGCCATCACTTGCTGAAACAAATTCGCAAGTGAATCAGCACTTGCATCATCCAACGACTCGTTTTGAATTAGAGCTTTCAGCTTTTTGCCTTGAACAAAATCACTCTTCGCCATTGCATTGTAATAGCGGTCGTATGCTTTTTGCTTTGTCTGATTATCGGAGAAAAAACCACTCATGATTGATTTCGATTAGGTAGCGTATATTGAAGCTGTTTAAAAAAAATCGTTTAATAACAATTAGATTGAAGATATGGTATTTGCGATACCTAACCTTGAACTGGTCCTTGCGATACCGTACCCATAGCCGTATCGACTGTTGCAACAACTTCACGCAATACGTGGTAATAAATGGTGAGAGCGTAGTTGCAGTTGGAAGTACCAGACACGATAATACTCTTGCTCGCACCATCTTCACTTGGGAGACGACGACCAATATCTACAGCAACAAATCGATAAAGTGATTCCCATTGTCGCTGAGACAGCAAACCGGCCGAGATAACATCGTCGAGACCACCATCAACACCCGACTTTGACATCTCTTGTACAAACAAATCATATCCAAAACTCACGGGGTTGTTCCAGATAGGGACGTTTCCAACTGTGATTTGCAGATTTTTCAATGCAGCAAATGGACTTGTCGTAGCTGGTACTGTCGAAAATGGACTACGGAATGGATTGATCACATCGGATACAGTAGCACCTGCCGTTGGATTGGTAATAACAGGTTGCATGATCAAACGCTTTGGATTAGCAATGCCATTGCTGACCGTCCAAGTGAAGGACGCGCCTGGAGCAACAGTGAATTTGTTCGTGATTCGTTCGAAGTAGCGAAACGTTTTCTTCTGAGCCAACGCATGATCGGCGCTTGGGTTAGGCGAGTACGTTGGAACGAGAAGACGCGAAAATGATTGCGATGGAGTGATACCAGTTCCTGCAGTTGGGGTTCCATTAACGTCGGCAGTAATTGTAAGCGTGATCGCAGATGCAGGAAGCGCAAGGCCACCGGCCAAAGCAGTTGTCGTTGCACCACTACTTAAATTCCACAGCACTGGGCAAGTGTTGCCAAAATTCATATTGTTGCTCAAACTAGCAATAGTAGAAGGAGCCACAACGCCAGCAGTGCCAGTTGTAATCAAAGTAGTAGATGAGCTGTTGTAATTGAGGTAAATGAAGCCGCGCGTATTCTTCTGCATTGGGCATTTCTTGAAATAGTCAGAAATATCCCGCAACTTAATGCAAGCCAAGTAATGCGCGACGTAAAATGGCGACCCACCAGGAACGGAGCCAGCAGGAGCCACATAGACTTGTGGTTTCGACACGGCTTGAAGGTTTGAACTACCTCCCATAACATCGAATGCAAGTTTCGAGCTTTGTTGGTCAAGAGCGGTAAAGAGCGATCGTTCAGCGGCTCCACGGTTCGAGTAGGTGTTAGCCAATCCAAACTCACCGATGCTATTTGTAGCTGTCATAAACGACGAAGTGGCCAAGTTATCAAGCGATTGCGCTGCTCCGCTTGACCCTTGAATCGTTGGAGTAGAATATTCATCCAATACAAAGTTGCTTGTTGGACCATGTTTGACGTAAGTATTATAATCCGTTTCAGTGATAGCCTTGAACGTTGTATTCACATTCTCATGAACTTGATTCGTTTGTACAGTGGTTCCGTCAATAACAACCTGAACGCTGTCAATGAATTGCCATGCTCCGGCCTTAGGTACCAATTGATCAATGGTACAGGCAGCAGTAGATATCACTGGATTAGTACCAGCATTAAGAATCTGAAGCTTGACAGGCAACTCGATGACAGCTTCTTCCCAATTCACAAACGCGGCTTGAGACGAGATGGTAGAAAGATTGAATTGAATTTGTCCGGCATATTGACCGGTGTTAGATGTGGAATCCTGAATGTAGGTCCATTTTTTATCCTTGAAGAGCGTCTCAGCTGGAGCAGGTTCAACGGAATGCTCAAAAGCAGAAATATCTGAGGCGGAAGACATAGTTTATGCGATTATATTGATGGCGATTATATTATACTTGCCGAAAAAATAAAGCACCATGAGCGAAAAAAGAATTATTAAATTGTCTAGAACGACAGATGATCAACTCATGAAACTTGCCAATTCCCTTGGTGTCAAAGTAGATCAAATTGATTTCAAGCAGCATATAAATAGAAACAAGGATTACTGTATTCTAAACATGGGAACGCCTCAGATCGGCGGGACGCATTGGTTAGCAGTCTCAAACAAAGATAAGGCCTATTTCGACCCTCTAGGATTACCAAGACCACGTGTGATACCAAAGGATTATTCCTATCGCGAAGTTGATATTCAGGACCCTCGATTTGGACACTGTGGGCAGTATTGCGTCCTGTGGCTTTACTATCTAGGCCAGTAATAATTTTTGATGGATTTATATAGAGATGAATCTTACAAACTTGGATTATAAGATCATCGACGAATACGAAAATTATGACAAGTACTTTGTAAAGGTGTTTGGTCAGGGAGAAGCTTTCTGGTGTTATTTCATTTGCTATGATTTAGACGAGGATGCGTTTGTTTTACAGGTCGATCAATTGCTTTGTCGTGAGCATCCATTCAAATATGGAGAGCACATTATGATAAGTGCCGACAGTTGCGAGCTCGAGATGTAATACAAACTTACTTTGTTCTAATATACACAAGCAATGAATGTTGAATATATTGAAACGCACGAGCCAGAGCCGATTTGCATTGATGAGAACTACTACGCATGGCCAACTCCCAAATCAAAGGCAGAAGTCATAGTTGAGTCAAAACTTACTCTGGATGACTTAAATCGCATCACCAAGAACACTTCTCCAGCCAAGGTTTATATAGTGGAAATACCATCCCTTGCGCAGATACAAGCAAAGTATCAGTAAGATCATAATTTTTTTATGATGTCGCAGTATTACAATCTATGAACCCATCACTTTAGCGGAAGTGTGTCCAGGTGTGTATTTTTTTGTATCCTTGGTTGAAAACAGGGGGTGTTGCATCGTCTGGTTGCGCTGAGATGTCGAGCATTAAGTTGCTGTCCAGGTGAGTGGCCACGTGTGTCCAGCTTTGGTGGCCAGCTTTCTTTTGATCAGAAGCGACTATATCAGTTCTAGATCAATGTATGTTATTAGTGTCCAGGTGTCCAGCTTTTTTCTGTATTCTTATAGAAAATATTATAAAGAAAGGGGGGTAGGAGGGGGTAGTAAAAAATAGTGTAAAAGTAAAAATGGAATTTTTTTGGAGCTGGACATGGACACTTGGCCGTCATTTATCTGAATTCATAACAACTGATGTGTTCCATAACTGATATCGTCGCTTCTGATAACGAGAATCGAGGTGGCCACCATTTGAACCTCCGTATTTTCGCTCATTCAGGATCACAATGTGTTCTTGCCTTTTTTTTAAATGGTGCAATCACAGATTATTATTCTGACTCGGCAGTTGCTGCGCAAGAGATTAGATTGCTGGACGTCTATTGACGCATTGCACAGACCAATGGAGAGTACAAATCCACCAACAGAGTTGCAGGAAACCCTACCGGGAGCGCCATCCCTGGTGGAATACCAAGGATTCGACGTCCGTCCAACTGGATCACGGTTCTTGGAGCGACGATTGGGAGTGGAGCCAGCTGCACGAGTGGATTGACGCGAGCATCATACAACTTGTATTCCGCATTCGTAAAGTCGGGCTCGAATTTCACACACAGCACGTACTCAACTCCTGGCATCACAGCCCATACCGCCATCGCCTTGTGGTCGAGCTCTCCTGGTGCCATGCCCCACTGCTGAGAAACTCCAATTTCAACCTTGATCGTCCGAAAGTCTGCAAAAATTGGAATGTTTGGCGGAAGCACGGAGTGCGGTGTGTCTTCGTGTGGCCCATAACTGAGATCTGGACACCATCGTGGCCCTTGAGAATTCTTGGCGGCCATGTAGCTTGCAAGCCATCGCTTGACATGCCGCTCACGAAATTGATCGTGTAGCTCCCCGATGTATTTTTCGTGGGGAGCGTCGGCAAACTCGATGATGTGAATCTCTTCCGTGTCGGCAAACCATTCAAGATAATTGAGTCGAACGATTGGATCCTCGCTGTCAGCAAACGCGTTCCACTCGTCTTCCGTTGCGTGGCACACACGCAATGTCCCGGTCGGCGGTGGAGGCTGTGTCAGTGCAGCTTCCAGAGCAGCGTTGATGCGATCGATGCTGGAGAGCAGAGGAGTCATTGACGCCGGTGTGACTGCGTCTGTCGCAGCGACAGCTTTATTTGGCGCGCGGCGGTGGTTCCGCGTAGCTACTGCAGGTGACGAGTATGAGTCCCCGTCCCCAAAGAAAGCAACGCTCATGTTTCTTTTGTCGTCTTGTCCCAGAATGAGCATCGAGAATGTTCGTCTTGTCCGCTCGTCGTCCGCTCAACATCCGCCCAACCATCCCATATAAGAGCAACAAGAGTACCCCTAGACACCCTCAGAGACAGCGATGATGTACTATATAGTACATCACTGTACAGTATGTACCCAGGTTACTTCTGGATGTAACCTGTACCGCGTGACTTCAACGTTGTGTACGCCGACTATAACCCAGGTTACAGCATCTTTTGCACCAGCCATCGCCAATGATGGCGTCGGAGACTGCCGCGCTGTATGAGCGCATCTTGTCGCTATGACGTTCTTCGTGAAGAAATCTCGCCCGTGAACCGCGCAATGAACGACGTTTCGGCGGCTTTCTCCAAGCTGGAGGAAGTTCGAGACGCAGTGACCAAGTTGAGCAACGGATCGACAGGTGGCTGCAGTGGGAGTTTGTTAGATGCTATGACCAGTACGATGGAGCTACAGCGCAACTTAAAGCGGAAGCTGAAGTCAGTGCTAGGCGACATGGCTGCAGTAAGTGGGGCGAATATTTACGGCATCTTTCCTTATGCTTCTACTCGAGGTGACACTTGTTTTATGGTGTCCCGACAGGGACATATAAGCAATAAGCAGAAGACGACGGATGAGTCTGGGGATGTAGTCACGAAACACAGCAAGGATAATGCAGTGTCGATGAAGCCACCGCAGCCAATCGGGCACGTGCTACTTCGATTGGATGCCGTGACGGATACGAGCACCATGGACGCTCTCAACTTCAGCAAAAAGAACTGCATGGTGATGGTGCTGAGGTTGACGCGGCTGTCCGTCCAGGAGCGGAATAACCACGTGCCTGTTGTGTTGCCCGCTTTGGTGGAAGTTCTGCCCAAGATAACCCTCAACAAGGCCATCGTGGCGATGAAGTATTTGATTTTGTGGGCGCATCTAGGATCCCAAGGGGAACATCTCCTCGCAGCGTATCGCAGCTTTAGTGAAGCTTTGTCGCCGTGGATTAACCAGGAACGGCCCCCTAAACGTGCACTCGGTTTGAGAAGGTATGCGTTGCATTACATTTACAAATTGGGAGAAATTCTCGACACAATGTTAACCTTGTTGTTTTAGGCTCAACGAGACGTTGGTCGACGTTGTTGAACGCCAGAACTTGCAAAATAGTCGAGAGAAGAGAGACCATGTGCGTCTTAGCTACGACCTTTTCGCCATTCTACTGGATGCCATGGTGCCCGACGAAAGAATGAAGCAGATCCCACGGCTTCTCATTGCACTGAAAGAAGAAATGACAGGTCAAATGGCTTCAGACAAGCAGGCGGTCGAGATATCGAAGGCCTTAAAGGTGGTTGTGAAATGGGCTCTGCATGATCTTCGCGATTCGGAGCTTCTTCAGTTGTACGACCAGCTCGTCGAAGTCTCGAAATCCTACGCCGATAGTATTTCGAGCTTTATGATCTGTATAGATCTGGTTGGGTAAGTGTATTCGATTGTTGTTGTTGGCAAGTACTCTGTAAGTGTTGACTAACATGTACAATTGTTTCGATGCTGCAGTGTGATTAGAAAGATTGAGGGCACCCTTCGTGTCTTGTTCAAGACGACGGTGCAAGAGAGAGCGGTGACAGCGCTGGAGTGGGCTCGCCAGCTCAGTGAGGAAGACGTCTCGGTAGAGCATGTCGATAAGGGCATTATGTTGCTAGACGAGGTGATTCGACACAAGCAGCCAGATTGGAAACCAAGGAAACACGAAGTTGTGCTTTAATGCTACGACCTGCTGAAGGAGCACGCACAGCTGCTGGAAGCAGGAATAGTGCGGGGTCAGCGTATGGCGGAAATGGCAATTCTCTCGCAGGATGCGAGAAAAGGATGAAGACGATCACGGAATCGAAAGTGAGGGTGACAAATATGAGATTGACATGTGAACATGGAGCTACTGTGAGCAGTCTTTGTGGAAATCGGACACTTCAAATTGCTCTATTGTACTAAGTATGCAGTGTCGGCCTTCTGTAGCGCATCGAGCAAGATCCAAATTGACACGATCTTTTGTTCGAATCGGCAGACCATCAGCAACCCCCGAATTTCATGATTGCCATTGCAAACTGGAGACTTATCTCTCCACTTCAGCAATTATGGTTTATCAGTGCCGTTCATGCCCCTTTGTGCAAAATGCAAAAATTGCGTACCTCAGATAGATCCTTCAAACCCCCAAGTACGCATCAGCAGATAGAGTCTCGATTGCGAAGCGGTTAATCCGATGTACAGTGTACTGTATAAATTTGGCTTCAACATCGTGTAGCCCGACGTGACCATCCAGGTCACCGAGATGGCACCAGAAAGGTGCGTATCATCGGAGAAGTGCTGGCCTCTTTATGATTTTTTTCTCATTTGGTAGGGTGGATTCCTAAGTACCAAGAGAAAAAAAAATCATGCGGGAGAAAAAGAAGACATTGCTGGAGGACCCCAAACAAGTTTTACTTGAAAACCACAGCAAAAACGCACGAGTTGAAGTCGTAATAATGTGTAGGAAACTGGGCTAGCAAAACCTTTCACAACTTGAGATTAGTGAGCCTCCACTTCGCTATGGAGACCACGCGGTTCTGTCGAGCTTTCCACACGCTGATGCGCTTTTCTAATTCTACAGCACACTCACAAAGCTGGGGGTTTCCCTTCGGTGACCAGCCAATGATTGAGCACTGCACAATATTTTCCATCTCAGCCATAACCGCATCAATCTCCCCCAGCGCACAATTCAGCGGCAGCTCTCGTACTTGAGCCGCAACCTTTCACTCGCTTCTGCATCGTCTCAATTTCCTGAGGTGTCATGATATCTTTGCCCTCGAGCCATTTCGATATCGCTCTTGCTAGTCTACTCAAAAACCAGCGAGAAGATTGGCACAGACCATACTAAACAGGTTCAATAGTTTTGGTTGCCACGTACCTCTGAAGTGCCGTCTTCTGCTTTGACTTCGTCATCCACTTTGTGGCGCTGAAGATTATGGCGCACAGCTGTCGGTAGCTGTCGAAGAGTGAACAATCACGAGGGTCGTTCATCATCCAAACGACAATTCTCGTCATAGCTTGCGCTATTTTCTTCATCTCGGGAGCCCGCGCAGCCATTTTCACGGCCTTCTTGAACGCGTCAAGCACCTCTTCCATCCGAGTTTTTCGCCCCTCGAACGATAAAATCCCGACCTGCTCCACAAGGTCCGTAAATACGTTGATGCTGTCGCGGTTTGCTGGCGCAGCCACAGCGACGGGGGCTATCTGGGACCCCTCATTGCCAGCAAAGGATGGCACCCCTAGACTGCTCCATGTAGCTGACAGGCCGTGGATCGTTCTGGCACGCACACAAATTAAAAATGTTAGTTATCATCGTCTAAAACCACAAATAATCGAACTTTCTTACCTTTGAGCTTTCGACTTCTTCACTGATGACGGCAGTTGATCGATGAACAACTCCGCGTACGTCGCGTATTCGCTGTATAAATCAACCCAATGTCATAATTTATGACTACAATTTATACCCTACTATATATCATATTTTTTTAATCTGGAATCCTACTAAGTATCATCGTTTTTACCTTAAAAAACTATTGGCCTTTCAAAACCAGCCGTTGTAATGGCTGGTGGCAGCCTCTAAGGGCGTTCAAATGCCTGTTGTTGTCATTGTTCATTTTGCAAAAACCCCAGCAGCCTACACCCCAGCAACTCAGTCGTCCCAGCTATGGGCTTTGTGTCCCGCCCGCCGCGCCCAACGTTCACGCCACAGGGTTCTTTTTCCAACCGTCCCGCGACGACTTCGACGAAGTTATCCCTGAGTACTTCCGTTGTCGCTGCGGCACGGTTCGAAAGCAGACCCGCCGCAACGGGTTTACCAACCTCATGCAGCACATGAGGCGTGAGCATCCGAACTTCGAGGCCGAGATGCTTGAGGCCACCACAGCAGAGACGGGGCCATTGCTCAGCTACGTGCGCCGCTCCTCGCAAAACCTCTACGGGTGGCTAGTCTGGGTTGTCATGAGCAACCTCCCACTTGCCTTTTGCGAGAATCGAACGACACGGCGGTACGTTAGAAGCAATTTGTTTTACCGTGATTAACTATCCCGATTTAACTCCATATTTCTGTTTATATGTAGGTACACGAACTTGGACCCTGTCTGTATCGATATGTGACGCGGTGTCGATCCCTAAGTTCGGGTGAATGCACCTGAACCTGGGATGTCCCAATGATGTAGAGCTTGGTGATACTGGATGATTTGGAGTCTCCTATAAAAACAAGGGTAATGTCTGCGAATGGACGCTGAATCCCGGAAGATAGATCAATGTGGGCGAGTTGATCCCGTTCCATGAAGTGCAACGGAATGCGAGCGATCCTCCCCAGTATATCTAAGTACGGCGGAACTCGACTCTGGCTTACAACCTGGGAGCTGAGGCACTTCCCAGATTCCCCGTTGTTTTCCCGGAATAACGATTCCCAGACTTCGCGTTCCCAGACTTACCTCCCACAAAATTCCAAGAACGACCTCGGCTTGAGGCGTTCCGAGGCTCCAAACCCAAGAACACTTGGTTTCACTATGGCACCTTCCAAGGTCCTAGGTGTACCCAACAACTCCGAGAAGGTATCCAGTTTGGCGACCCTTCAAGGCCAGACCAACACTCCGCAGAAAGATCGCAGTCTCCGAAGGGTCGCTTAGGAAAGATTTCGTCTGCATGTGACCTTTAACCAAACAGAGTTCGTTTTGCTTCGAAGGGCACAAGTGCTTCTTTCAGAGCCTGTAAGGCCGTTCTCCACGACAAAATTCGAAGTACTTTAGGTAAGTGATCCACTGCTTCGGCCTGGAGGTGATCATATCTATTCCATATCTGTATATTTGGCGGATTGCAGACCGTCTTTGTTGTATATTTGCGGTCTGTCGAACTGAAGAAGTTGGCGACAGGGTAGATCGTTTCCTCTCCCCGAGAGGTGGTGTGCGTCCCCAAGATTGATCAAGTGTCTTGGATTTGGACCAGTTGACTTGTATTTTGGCCTTAGCCTTGGGCCTAGAGAAAGAAGAGAGGGTAAAGAAGTATTTGTGTGATTGTATAACATGCATAACTCTATTCGGGTTGGATTGTTCCAGCGTTAGCCCGGCGTAGCTGTCTGATTCACGGGGTCGATACTAACCTCCTGGTGAAAAGAAACGCTACCCAAGGGATACACATCGTGCGCCTGACCAACAGCGTGTACTGGACAACACACACCCTGTGCCAGCCGAGACGGATCCAAAGCTCTAGTAGCCTGAGGTCTGTCAAGGAGGGCCTATAACTGTTTTCTGGGAGAAAACACCGCATCGCCCCGTCACAGCTGGTGCGCGTGCCCGGATCAGGGGTTGGGAGTTGAACGTGCATTGTGAGAGTTATACCTACTAACGCTAACGCGATTGTGCCTGCTTCGAGTCCTGGAGGACGCGGACGAGGTCGTGGACGCGGTCAAGGTGCTCAACGAGTGTCAAGACCGTTGCAACTCCCTGTCCCGCCTCCGGGGCCCGGACAAGATCCTGCGATGTCGACGGAGACCGAACAACAACTGGCGCTGGCCGAACCAGCGCGCCCATCATCGACCCATTCGACACCAAGACGAGCTTCTCAAGTGATGGTTCCCCGTTCTGTGCAGTCCAGCCCTCGACGGCCCCTAGACCGTGGTTCCGACGCTCAAGCAGCACGTCTGCCGACGGAGTTGGCGCTGATCCCTGCGGCTGCAAGCGCTCTTGGAAAACGTGATCATGTGGCGCTGCGAGAGTGGCGCGAGACGAGGGTCCCGGATTCCGGTGCACCACTACGTCTTGGGCCTGCTCCTGGCACTCGTGTCTTCGGACCTGAACTGCCAACCACGCTGCACTTGACGTTCCAAGATCCGCTTCCGCTGATTCCACGGGGCACGAGTGAAATCCCAGGATCCGACGTAAACTGTCTTGCTGACGACGAAGCCCGAGCGTATGGAGCCGAACAACTGAGCCGCTGGAGCTCTCTTCCAGGAGAAGTCATCTCTCCAGTCGACGTGGTCTACGACGAGGGAGAAGAAGAGTACGACATGGAAGCTTGGGTCTTCGCCGCATTCGAGACTGGGAAATACTTGGGTCTTGTGAACGCTGGTCGGACTTCCGAGTCTTGGATCAAGGCGTTGTCTGCCAAACGCAGACGGCAACCGCTGGTCTCGGATATGAAGGCCGTCACCGTATCGCCCAAGTTGCTTCCGGCTGCTGCATGCGTCGCTGTGCTCCAGACCATGTTGATGGAGGCCGGCTTCGAGTTTCGCAATGTGATTCCTACGTGGAGTGAAGTCCGTGCGGTGTCCGAGGTGTCTGAGAATCTGATCCGCCGAGGTGTTGAAGAAGTTCAACTCAGACTCGCAGTTGAGAGTCTTGAGTGGAACAAGCTGATGGATGGCGTAGGGTTTCACATCCGACAGCCGCTGGAGCCTCTCCCAGCTGTGCAATTATCCGAGCGAAGAACAAGTTCCCCGACTGCTGCCGATGGAGACGTCCTAATGACGGACGGCGCTGTGGAACTGCTTGGCGAAGAATTGTTGCGCCGCTTGAGGATCACGCGGACCAGACGAAGAAGTCCTGCTTGAAGCGCGTCTGGACAACCAGCGCCCAAGCGTGCGGCCTTAGAAGCTGAGCGATCTCCGCCCAGTTCCCTGATGCCTCCGCCATCGTCGTCCCAGAGTCTGGTGCCCCAACCATCGGTATCCCAGAACGTCGTGCCTCGGACTCAGAGCCTAGTCCCTAGAACTCCAAGTCTTGAGCTGATGGCGAGTGTGGACTCAGTTCCTAGTCTGGTGGGACCAAGTGGTGCTTCCGACGAGTCGATGAACGCGGCCGCTGAAGGAACAGACCTGTCGGGGCACAGCTCCTCAGGATCGTCGTTCTTGTCCGCCGCGGACTGCATGGTTGGCAGTGCCTTGAGTCATATGCCTGGACCAAGCCCGATGGCGATGGTTATGATTGCGCAGGAGAGCGCGGCTGCGGCAGCTGCCGACCCGGGTTTCGGTGTCTCGGCAGGTGCTATGTCGTATCCAGTGCCGGTTTCAGCACACCCTGCGCCTTCGCTGCAACCCCTTCAGGAGTCGCCTGCGCATGTACCGCTGCCCGAGCCATCAGAGAGCAGCGCAAATCTCCAGCCAGAACACTCGACGCAACCTGCTCCCAGGTTGCATCCAACGTCGTTGCCCCCTCCAAGCTTCGTGTCTTCCACCACACCCGCAGCCGGCATGAACCGTGGCGTCTCCACATCAAAGGCTATGCCACGGACTCAAGCCACTTCGACAAAGGTCGCGGACCCGGAGTCTGAGAAGAAACCACAGAAGTCCGTGCATTCTGGGAAGTCATCGCGATCCCGGAAGTCCGCCGCGAAATCTGCGTCGTCCAAGTCTTCGATGTCAGGAATCTACTCTCGTGTGTCGTCCTCGAGGTCGTCGCGTTCCGGCGCGTCCGAGGTCGCCCTGGTCATGATGAGGCAGCAGGAGGCCGCCCTCAACCAAGTACGCGCCGACATGGCTGCCGAGTTGCGTGACATTCGCCTAGACAACCAGCAGCAGACCGCTTCCCTCATGGAGCGTCTTCAACGGAGCGAAGAAGCCCTTGCCGCCGAACGTGAGTCCCGCCGTCGCGACGCCGAAGTTGCTGAAGCTCGGGTTGCTGCCGCGGTGAAGGTAGAGCAGTCCCCAGTACCATCGTCAGTGCCTGCACCCGAGATGGGGCGCGGCACACTTATTCCCCCCGAAGCGCCATTGCCGAGTGCGGCCCTGGACGCCGCCACCGCTGCTGTGTTGGCGGCAGCCGAGGAAGTAAAGGCAGAGAGTGAGGGCATCGCGCAGAGCACGAATGCCCATTTGGCCGCGTTCGATGACCAGTTGCGCAATGTCACGTCCGCGTATCTGCAGAAGTGCGCCCTGGCCCAGAAGGTTCAACGCGAGAATGATGCTCGCCTACGTCAACAATCGACTAGTGTACCTGAATCTAGTGGAAAAGCCACCGCGAGGAGTCGCACTTCCTGCGACAAATTTGCGGGACGGTCGCCCACTTATATCGGGCAACAGCAAGTGGCCGCGGATTCGCTGGCAGCAGCGCAGCTTCAAGCGACCATACAAGCTCCAAGTCAAGTTGTCAAACGCGAGATGGGACCAGGCGAGACGAAGCTGACTGAGACACGTGAGACAAGGTCAAGTGAGACGAAGACACGTGCGACAGGCGGGACGGGGTCAAGTGAGACCAAGCGTGGAAGGCAGCCGAAGGCTGCGACACAGACTCGGTCCAGTGTCGCTGCAGTCAAGGAAGAAAACTCGGAAGAGGCCAAGAGCTCAGCGAAAGGTGTCGCTCGGGACTCTGCGAGTGGGAGTGGCCATGTCCCCAGATATTCTGGGAAGTCGGCTAATAAAAAGTCTTCCCAGAAACACAAGCGTGGAAAGAGGATCCGTCGCAATAAGCGACCAGGTGGCTATCCCTCATCGTCAGATTCAAGTTCAAGCGGCAGCTCGTCTAGCAGCGAGTCCAGCTCGGGCTCCGACTCCGACTCCGACTGGGAGCGCGGCCTTGCTGAGGAACTCGCCCCTGCAACAGTACCAGCCGCTAACGGCCAATCGTACACGTTCCGCCCGTATATCCAGTATGGGGCGGTGGAGATGTTTGATCCCCACGCCAAGCTCGAAGACCGCGTGAACTGGTGGGAGCGGTTTGTCTACGCTGCTGCGTTGGGAGTTTGGCCGGAGAAGATGAAGTTGCGTCAGCTCCTGGGCCGACTACTTGCCCCGCTACGTGCATGGTTCCGCCAACTACCCGAGAAGGACCAGAAGGACTGGTCGCGCTTGTCGAAGCTGTTTCGCAAGGAGTACTGCCGCACCGAGGCGTCCCCGTACAACCGCTATTATGAGTTGGGACCGGAGAATGGCGAGTCTGCGCGATCGTTCCTGTATCGACTCAACGCTGCAGCCAAGAAGACCGACGTCGAGTACGAAGACTCTCCGAGTGACCGGGAACTCCACATCCGTCGCTTTATCAAGAAGCTGGCGGATCGTCGTCTGAAGATCACACTACAGGGACAAACGTTCAAGTCGATGAAGGAACTCGAGAAAACTCTCAAGCGAATCGAAGCGGTGCAGCGTGATGATGGATATGAGACGCCTCCACCTCCAAAGACCCGCGATGCGAAGCCTAGTGGTGTGAGGTTTAGTCGATTCCCTCCTCCGCGTCGAACTCAAGGTGAACGTGCGTACTTGGTCGAGAACCTGGACTCAGAGTCAGAAGACAAGGCTTCCCCGCCCTCGGACTCCGAAGAGAAACCAGAACCACGTTATCTCCCGGGAACTCCGCCCCCGTCCATGGGGCGTACGGTGAATTCTAAGAAGATCAACGTAGCCCAGGCTTCTGAGACTATCGTTCAAGTACCCAGACCCCCGACGACCGAGGAGGTGTTCCGTGCTGCTGGGCAGATGGGTTGGCGCCCTCCAATTCCACAAGCGCCACCACCATCTCCATATCGAGACAACTCCCAAAGAACTCCCTTCTGTGAAAATTGCCGCAGTTTTGGGCACGACGCTCAGGATTGTTGGCGGGATCTGATCTGTGACCGATGCCATGAAGCTGGACACCCGACATATAAGTGCTCGAGTCGCCTATGTTCCAAGTGCGGAAACTTTCACCGTGAAGGGCTCTGTGCCGATTGTGCTGCTTTGAAGGCAGTCCGGGAATTGGCGCGACAAGGAGCGCTGCAAGACTTGCCGACCAAAGTTCTGAAGCAACTGCTGAAAGAACAGCCGGCTAAGTCTGGGACGTCGTTAAACAACTAGGCTCGCTGGGTAGGGACCCAGTGCGTGTCGAGCCTAAGTCCCAAGCGTATTGCGCTCTTGCATTTGTCGGTCCAGAACTTAGGCACCAGATCGGTAACCCACAATGCATACTGCCATTGCATGTGAAGATGAATCGCTGTTGGAATCGCACCCGGTTTCTCGAAACAACGTTTTCCGAGGTTCTGCATTTGAAGATGAAGCCCCAGTGGAATTCACGTTGAACCCAGGAGAACGTTACGGGTGGTGGGCAGACCACGACTCGGATAATCAAGATGCAGTGGCATTAGTGCATGGGGCGATCAACAACTATCGGGCACACATCATTCTAGATTCCGGCGCCAGCACAACTATATTGAGCCCAGACCTTGCACGCAGGTTGAAGCTTAAGTTGACGTCGCACGCCGGACTCAAGGTGAAAGGTATGGGAGGAGTGATCACGTACATCCGATCGCGGACTCGAGTGAAGTTAACTCTGGGAATGCGTGTGGTATATGTGCTGGACATGTGGGTTGGAAACATTGGAGATGGAGTCGCTTGTCTGCTGGGTATGGATTTCATGAAAGCGGCTGGAGTACGACTGTGGGCGCGTGAGCAGTTGGCTAAGCTTCCGAATGAAGAAGACATTCCTCTGGTTGGAGAGAAGGAAGTTCCACGTTACATCTTGGTAGTCCCAATTTGTGTGCGTGAGCCGGTGTATTTGGCTCCTGGTGATTCGATCATTGTTCCGGTGCGGTATGGTCAAGCTGACGCTGACACAGCTGAGGTATGGACTGCCCGAGGGAACCACTGGGTGACGCAAGTGATCTACAGCTCCAGACGGCGGCCTGCTGCAGTTCGTCTGGTCAATATCTCAGAGAAGTGGACCCAAATCATGCAGCACACGGTGGTAGCAGCGTTGGTGGAGCCTGGGCAACTGCCACGAGGAGACCGCTTTGTTCAACCAAAGACGCGTAAGTATCGAGAGTGGCAACAAGAGATTTACCAGAACACCCCTTCGCGGGAGTATCGGCGACGGGAGGAGCTGAAAGCACTTGAAGCCGAACGGAATGCCCCACCCGCCGTCCTGCGACCTCAATATGTTTGACCGACGAAGATTTTGCCACGTCCACCTGAAGAAGTCTGGAAGGCTGCTGAGCTACAGAAATCTCGGAACTCGAGTGGCCGAGCCATGAGCTCTTCGGGTCAGACTGAGGAAGACGCCCGCAGTCACTCGAGCGCTGTTGCTGATGTAAAGATTCTGGATCTGGGCATTCCAACTGCTGCGGAAGTCACTCCCATGGACGAAGCCGAAGCCTCGCAGGCAGATGAGTTAGATCCTGCGAAGGAGCTCGCCATTGATCGGGATTCTGGTGATGTTGACCGCGGACTGACTGGTGGAGGTACCAGTAGTGCCGAAGCTCGACATGAATTGAAGGACGTGTTTCGCGCAGAGCCAGTCAAGATCTGTGAGGATGCCCTGGAGCAGCTGGAGGTGGCGTACGCGATTTGTCTTCGGGTGGTCACAGCTGACTTGGATCCTGATGAAGAAGTCTTCTTCCATGAAGGAACCGAGCTGTTGACGCAGTTACGAGACCGGTTGGCTGTACTCCCAGACTTGAAGGATCTCAGCCCGAAGGTGAACATGGATGAAGCTGATGTGGGTGTCGAAGGCAAGACCACTCCTCAGATGAACAAGGAGATGAGAGGTATCTTGGAATATCATCACTCGATCTTCCTAGGAGATGGCAATGCTGTCCCCGCACCTGCCAGAGGAGTTGTCTGCGACGTGGATGTTGGGGACGCAAAACCCATTGCCCAGCGCGCTCGTCCGATTGCTCCACGCTTCATCCACCAAGTCTACGAGCTGATCAAAAAATTGTTGGAGACCGGACTCATCGAGACTTCGCATTCGGAGTGGGCCTCACCCATCGTAATCATTTTGAAGAAGAACGGCAGCGATATCAGACTTTGTATCGACTACCGGATGGTGAACCAGCTCATCAAGCTGTCTTGCTACCCGCTACCGTTGATAGATGACTTGCTGATTGGATTTGAAGCTGCGATGTGGTTTATGAGCTTGGATATGGCGAGTGGCTTCTGGGCGGTGCCCATGATCCAGAGGGCAAAGCTCATTTCTGCTTTTGTCTGTCCTCTTGGACACTACCAATGGTTGCGCATGCCCTTCGGGTTGAAAAATGCACCCCTGATATACCAGCAGATGCTGAACAACTGTCTTTGGGGTTTTGTGCGACTGGCGTCTGAGGAAGAAGCCAAGGTCGATCCCGATGTGCTTGAGTTTCTGGGAATTAAGGTAGACGAGCGAGCGGTCCCCGATTCTGGAGTGGAGATCCCAGCTCTGACAGATACAATGACTGTTTTCCACCGGAACATTCCAGTCCCAGTTTCAATGGACCCAGTCCATGGTAGAAGCTCATACATTGACGACATCGCCCATGGGGCGCCTGCCTGGGACCAGCTCTGCTCGGACCTGAACGCGTTGCTGTTCCGACTGCGCTACTGGGGAATCTCCGTGAGCATACCCAAGAGCGAGTTCGGGAAGCTGTATATTCCGTACCTGTCGCATGAAATCAGCGCCGAGGGCTTGCGAGCGAAACCCAAGATCGCGAAGGCTGTGAATGATTTGCCATTTCCGTCGACACTCAAAGGCGTGCAGTCATTTCTGGGAAGTATCAACTACTACAACAAGTTTATCGAGGATCTTCCTGTTATAGCATCGGTGCTTTACGAGCTGACCGAGGAGCAAGTCCGGGAAGGACGAGACTTGGGGCGCACCAAAGAGGCTTTCGAGATTCTGAAGAAGATGATCGTCTCGACGCCGCTGTTATGACACCCGGACCGAGAGAAAGACTTTGTTGTGGTCCTGCATGCGAATCCTTGGGCTGCAAGTGATGTCTTGGGCCAAGAATATGACGGTGTGATTTTTCCTGTTCGGTACACTGGCACCGTGTCTCACGGCCCATCACCCACGCCGACTTTCCCGTCGAGCTCGGCCCTGCGTCGCGCCCATCCATCCGCGTCGCGTTCTATCAGCCGCGTCGAGGTCCATCACTCGTGTCCTGGCGCCTTCTTCCTCCGGCGCCCGGTGCGCCCACTTCTTCTGCGGGGTACTACACCACATTCGTCCCGCTGCCACGCACGCGCACTCCCCAGGTGGGTGTGTCGTCGCAGAACCTGCCCCGCGCCTTCGCTTCGTCTCGACACCATCGCGTCTTCTGCCCTCGCAGTCCGCTTCGCGTTACTCCAAGCTTCATGGCTCGCCGCCACGACGTCGACGCCAACGACATCGACCTCGAGGAGGAAGAGCTCGATACCGAAGACCTCGAGGCCGCTGGCTGCGCGGTTTGCGCCCTCGGCGCGCATCGTCTTCGCCTCCCCGTGGCGCCCCAAGTCCAGCTTCCGGCTTCAGGCGCCCCCGTCCACTTGGTGACTGCTCTTGTCGCCGACGCGCACACTCTCCAGCGCGAGGACCAGGAGCTGCGCGCCCAGTACGAACTCGTCTCAGCGCACAATGCGGGCTTGGCTACTCACGCGTCCGTGTTGCATGACCGCAATCTCGCGATCTTGCATCGTGCTCGCGAGGGTTATCGCGCAGGCATGATCCGGCTCGAGCAGGCGCTCCGCTCCCGGGAGCACGCCGAGCGGGACTACGCCGTCCTGGAGGACCGAGTGGCCGAGTTCCGTGCTCGTGCTGAGCGCGCCGACGCTGCCGAGGCTCTACTCCGCGCCGAGCGAGGCTCCTCGTCAGAGCAATATCGTGATCTTCAAGCTCAGCTCCGGGCGGCACAAGACCAGGTCACTGACTTGACCGCCCAACTCGCGCGCGCTCCTGCTACGCCGCCTCCATCCACCGTGCCGCTAGCGCGGCTGTTTGCTGCACAAGGCGAGCGCGACGACGCGCGCGCCGAGCGTGACGACCTTCGCGTCGAGCGTGACGACCTTCGCGTCGACCTCGCAGCCGCCCAAGCCGCCCTCGCTCCTGTCCAAGCGCGCGTGGCCGCTGCCGAAGCCGAACGAGATCAGATGCGGCAGCTCGTGGCCACTGCCGAGCAGCAGCGCAACGCCGCTCTCGCCGAGCGTGACCGCGTGACCCGCGTTCTCGTGGTCGTCGAGCAAGAGCGTGACGGGGCCCTCGACATGCGGGATCAAGTGCGTCGAGACTCCACGGCCCTGAGACACGAGCGAGACGCTGCTGTCACCGAGAGGGACCAGGCATGTCGATCCGTGGCCGCCCTTGAGCAGCGGCGAGACGCTGCCGTCGCCGAGAGAGATCAGGCTCGTCAGGCCTTGACCGCCTTGGGGCAGCAGCGCGCCCCGGTCGACGAAGAGCTCTGCGCGGCCCGTGCGTCGCTTTCTCAGAGCCGCACGGAGATCGAGGCGGCCCAGAACCTGAACGTCCCGCTGCAGGACGACCGTCGGCGCGTCAACGCGCTCTTAGTGGCCCACGCCGAGGAGCTCCGCCGCGGCGCGACGTGTATCCACAAGCTGGAGGCCAGTGGCTACTGCTACGACTCTCCGTGTGGCCGCCGAGTCCGAGATGGCGCGGGCTCAAGCTGGCGAGCTTTGCGCCACATCTCGCGCGGCACAGTATCGAGCTGGGTGGCTGTCCATGCGGCGGTCGTATCAGCAGCATCGAGGAGCAGTCGGCGCGCAGACCCATCGTCTCAGCGCTCGCGTCGCCGAGCTGGAGGAGGAGCGCGACTTGGCCATCCGAGAGCGCGACGAACGCGCTGTGGCTTGGCGTCGGATTCTTCGAGACGCGCGTCGGGGCCGAGA